CGTTCCCCGATTAGTTATACTCTTTGTTGATTAGGGTAGTGCCCGTTTTTTTCGCGAAATAGGGTATAAAACTTACTTCATTAAGAGGAACCTAAAGGGGGCACTTTCTGATTAGATTTCACTTTGAAAATAGGGGCATTCCGATCAAAAAACCGGCATGACCCCTCTATCCAGAGTGAAACCTAATCAGAAAATGCCCCCTGATTAGTGCCCTCTTAACTAAGAAAGTTTTATACCGGATTTCGCGAAAAAATCCGGCATGACCCCTCCTCAATAAAGAGTACAACTAATCAGGGAACATTCCCTGATTAGTAGGGAGCAACTCCCTTAGCCGAGGGAGAAGGAAGAAACGAACCTGTTGATTGTTGTCGTTGAGGCTGCAATCCACCTAAAGTTATAACTGAAAAATTTAAAAAAATAATAAATTAAAATAAATTAAAAAATGCCCTGATCACACCCCAAACACGAATTTTTGAAATTTCATAAACCTCAGAATTTCTCAAAAATGCTGGGTAAACTTAACATAATTATAATCAACGGGTCCCAAATTATGATTTATAAACAATTAAACCCCACTAAAATCTCGAAAACCCAAAAAAAAATCGTAAAAAACAGGAAAAATCTCAAAAAAACGCAAAAAGCGAGTTTTTGCATTTTTCAAGACCTTTTTCGAAATTTTTCAGGAAAAAAGGACTGGGGTGTGAGCAGGACACTTAAACAATAAAAAAAATAAAAAAGGGAACCCAAAGTTTTTAAAAAAAACCCCAAAAAACTAAAATTTTAAAAATTTAAAAATCGGAAAATAAGGCGAAAAATGCCTATGGACAAAATGGTCAGATGGACAAAACGCCCACGGTTTATTCTAAAGCTGGTTGAAACCTAATTAAAGTAAAAAAGCGGGGTAATAGGTTTTCGGCCACGGGGAGTTTAATGCGCATGGCCAATTTGGTGCCACACTCAATGTGGCACTGAAAAGGCCGAACCAAAAATTCAACGCGTTATAGCAGTTTTTCCGTGGCCTGGAGGTCTTAGGCCTCGGGAGTGATATTGTAGGACTTAGTGTTGTTAATATATCAGTAGTTGGTCAGTTGAGTCTTGGATGAACTTTTGGAGGTCATATGGGTTTAAGAGTCGGGGTCGAAATGTCGACTTTTTTTAAAAGGTCGTTTCAGGTATTTTTGATACCCTAATTGAAAGAGCGTCCTATGGGACTCTGAAATAGGTATACATTGTGGGGGTCCACTTGATCTCAAAAAGTTATGGCCAATGTTCGCAAATGTCGCAAAAATTTCTGAGACTCTAAATGTCCGGGGAAAATTTTTTAAAATTTTCTGACGCCGGATTTGTACTTAGCGCATGCTAGAGCATCACATAGACCGTTTTTTGTGGAAAAAATAAAAACTTTTGACACGTCAAAAATTTTTCCCAATTTTTGAGACTCAAAATTTACCAAAATATTTAAAAATTCATAACTCCCCAAAAATAAACCATTTTGGAACATTTTAAAAGCTTAAAATATAGTAAAAATTCTGCTCTATTTTATAAAAATATTTGCAACAACACTCAGACTCGATATGCCCCAGAAAATTTCAAAAAACCGAAAAATTTTGAATTTTCATAAAATCGACCCTACCAGGACTCGGGTGGAATTTTTCAAAACTTTAAATAGCTCAAAAAATTTGCAATTTTTTGCTCTATTTTATGACCCTTAATTCATTTGGCTACGACAAAAATAAACAAAGTTATGCTCAATTTAAATTTCACCAAAAAATTTCAAAAGGGGGCCCTTCAAAAATGGGCCAAAAATTCGACCTCGAGAAAAATATGTTTTATAGTACTCCAATAGGTGCTGAACACGAATCTAAAGTCCGTTTATTTTTAAAAATTTTTTAAAAAAAGGTATACTCAAAAAACCGACCACTTTTTGCACCAAAAATGCCACTTTTTGCCTTATATCTCCCAGGGGCTCAGGTGTACCCCAAATAAAGTATATATTTTTCATACATTCAAAGGACGCTCTATAAACTGCTACACTCAAATCGAACTACGTTTCACGCATTAAAAAGTTGAAATTTTGAGTCTTGCGCCAAGACTCATATCTCAATCAGAAAACATCCCAGACTCGAGTGTCCCCCAAGTGAAATGTTCGGAACACTCATCCCTTCAATAATACTTCTACACTCAAAAGCTCTCCACCCAAAAATTTCACGATATAATCATTTGAAAATTTCAAGACTCAATTGTGCCCCTTAAGACTCAAGTGTCCCCCTCAAAACCATGCCCATTAATTTTCTCTTGGTCGATTACCTATAACCCCCCAAGTTCCATCTCAATCGGTTCAGCCACTCTCGAGATATAACAAATCATCAAAAGATCGCTACCCAGTGACCACGACATTTGGCCACCATTTAAAAAGGGTTAAGACGGCATATCTGTATTAAGACTTTACCGAATTTCGAAAAATTTTTTTTATTCGATATCCTCATTTAGTGACGGAGTGCCCTCACAGCGGAAGTTTTCCGATCCAACAGACGGTTCAGGAGATAGCAACTTAACCGCGGCCGTTTCGGTGCCAAGAGTTCATCGTGGGACCGAGGTTGGAGTTTTCCTGAATGCTCCGTAAAAAGTTGCAGGACCCTTCCACAACTTCCAGGCTACTCCGAAGCGGCCTGCGGCCGCCCGAGTTTTTTTAAAAATCTCGATGGGGTTTTTTATTTAAGTATTTAAAAATAATTTTGATCAAAAAATTATTTTAACAAGTAATCAAAATTAAAATTGCAACTCTGAAAGACAAAAAATTTTTTAAAAATAGAAATTGAAAATTATCCAAATTTACGGTTAATTATAAAAAATTAAAATTTAATTTTCGATGTTAACAACCAAAATTTCAAATAAAAACTTCTAAGAATTAATGAAAAATATTTAATTTAGTCAAAATTCCAAACAAAAAATTTAAAACTTACAAAATTTTCTTTCTGTAAAATAAAAAAATTATTATTATCCTTTTTCCCTAGCTTGTTGCTCGTGCGTATGATCTCAAAAGAAACAAACCAAATCCAATCAAGCGGAATGAAAGGAAAGAAAAGACTGGGAAGGAGAGAAGGAATGGGGGTTGTTGGAGGAGGAAAATAAAGGAAAAATAAATTTTGAATAAAAATAAATTTAAATATTTTTTTAATTTAAAAAGTTAGTAAATGAAGACGATAATTGGAGGAAATTAACTGATTAATTTAAATCTTTATTAATTTAAATTAATTTTAAATTTATTTAGAAATATTTTGGAAGGTGTGTAATCGTTAAAAATAAAAGAGAAGTATTTAATGTTCATGAAATTAATAAAAATTAATAAACTGAGTTGAAAAATAATAAATAAATTATAAGTATATATAAATAAATAAAAATAAATTGAAATTGAAAATACAAATAACTGAGGGAATTATTATTAAATTTTTTTGAAAATTCGAGGAGGCTAAATCAACTACTAACTGTTTATCTTCTTCCCTAAGTATATATTCACAATTGCCAACGAGTTGGCCGCAGAGTTTTGAAATGAGGAAGAAAATAAATTTTAGCTTAGCGCCAAGAAGATCAAAAGAAGCCCCGACGGCAAATAAATCACGCGGGGCAGCTGAAGAAGAGGAAGAAAAGTAAGGAAAAAAGAACAAAAAAAAAGAACAAGGACAGAAAAGACTTCCGGAGTAGGAGGAGGAGAGAGAGAAATAAATAAATAAATATACACACATCATTTGGCAGTTTTGTTAAAAAAAGTTTTTTAGAATTTTTAGGCAAAAATTATTAAGGCTTTAAATGATTGCTTCAAATTTTAAAAAATTAAATAGAAATTTGTGGCGCAAACACGACTTGAGATATTTTATTAGAACCTTGAAAATATAAAAGTTCGCTAACTTTTAGAGGATTCTTTCCGTTTAGAGGCTTAACTACTCTAACTATTTCCTAAAAATTTTAAAGACATTCTTAAATTTGAGGCCCGAAACTCAAAAAATAATGATTATCTTAATTTTTAGTACTTCAACCTTTTGCAAAATAAACTTTCCGAAAACGTGAAATTTTATAAAAGAATTAGGGAATTAGGAAAAAAAGAAAAGGCAAAAAAGAAATCTGGCGCCGAAATTCACTCTCTCAGAATTATTTGTCAGAGAGTTTAACTTCAAAAATCTGCACTCTCCCCTCACTCCCTCATAGAAAAAATAAAGACGCGCCCCTTTAAAAGTAATAAATAAAATTATTGTCTCATTGTTTTCATCCAAAAAACGGCTGCAAATCAAGTGAGCGGCTTTTACTTTAAGGTGTTTTGGAAAGCCCACACACACAAATAAAAGGCGGCTGTTCAAAAGGAAAAAAACCGCGTGGCGGTAATTCTTTTGAGATTTGAAAAAGACGGGGAGAAGCGCCGCTAAAAGTATGAAAAGTATAAAAAATATGAGGAATTTTGGAGATTTGCCTATTTTTTGTTTTGTTTCAACAATTTAATTTAATTAAAAGATTTAAAAAAATAGAAGTAAAAATAAAACATGGAAAAGGAACAAGGATATTCTTTCGAAAATAAAACTTAGAATAAAACTTAATTTTTCAACTATCCTCCAAGGTGGGGCTCTGTTTCAGGGTGGGGTTTTATTTTCGGAAATACGGTAATCTCCGTTGTAAATAATGCGAACTTAGGTTGGTGCTTGTAAAGTGGAATTGAAATTTTGGTTGTCTGGGTGTAAACCCGTAGAGACATAATCTCATTCGGTCACGAGTATTCAAGTATATGAAAACAATAAAATAAACACTTAAAGTAAAACTTCGAGATTAAATGATTTTACGAATACTTCAACAAAAAGTGAAATAACTTTTTCAAAAAAAACGGAAATTTGTATAAATTTGGCGAAATGTTTTTATTAAAATTTTCCATTTTTTCTCTCTACTCTTTTATCTTTCTACATAAAAATTTTTATTTTTTTTGTTAATTTTTTTTTGAAATTTTTAGTTACGAAAAAATGGAGCAAAGATCTATCCATCGGGATCACGGAGATTTACATTTCTTTTCAAATGAAGAATCGTCTTCTTCAAATATTCCTTCAAATGTTTATGAATATTTTCAATTAGTTGAAGATGGTTTGTTTAAATTAATTTCTCTTTTAAAGTTATTTTTTAAAGGAAAATTTCCATTTTTCAACAACACACAAGTTCATGTTTCTGCTATGAAAAATTCTGCTGGGGAAACTTTGTTGAATGCTGCCGCACGTCTTGGACATCACGAAATTGTTGAAAGACTTGTTGGGGATATTGATGTTGAGGAAACTGATTATGATGGATGGACAGCTTTATTAAATGCTTCACATCATGGATTTGCTGATATTGTTAGAACTTTGTTGAATGCTGGGGCTTCTATTGAAAATCCGGATTTGGTATTTTTTAATTTTTGGAATTATTTTCTTTTGTGTTATTTTTGCGGAAAAACTAGTAGATTTATTTTTATATTTAATTTAGTGTCTTACCTATATAAAATTAATCTTATAAAATTTAACCTTCCGGGAAAATAATTTTTTTATTTTTCTATTTTATTTTTTCTTATCTCTTTAAAATTTTCTTTATTTATTAAAATTTAATTATTAGATGGGTTGGACTTCTTTAATGTGGGCCTGTTATAAAAATCGACCTGAAGTTGTTGATGTACTCATTGAATTTAAAGCACATGTAAATATTGTTGGAGAAGAGGATGGACTTACACCTTTAATTATTGCTTCAGGTTAAGGAAAAGTTTTCGCTTTTTTTTTAAATTAATAAAAATTTTAAGGAAGAGGATTTGTTGAATTAGTTCCAAAATTATTAGAAGCTGGGGCCCAAGTAAATACTAGTGACAAATTTGGAAGTACAGCTTTAATTTGGGCAGCAAGGAAAGGTCACCTTCAAATTGTTCAATATCTTTTAAATTCTGGGGCTGAATTGGATGCTGTTGGAATGCAAGGTTTTCTTTTCTAATTTTTATTTTTTAAAAATTAATTTTTGTAGCTTCGAGTGCTTTAATGCTTGCTACACGAGGAAATTATATTCCTGTTGTTGAGGCATTGTTGGCACGTGAACCTAATGTGAATATTGTTGATTATAATGGACTTTCTGCACTTGGAATTGCAGCTAGAGAAGGTTTTGAATTTATTTTGTTTCTCTTTAGACTTGATTCTAAAAGTCCAATGAGCTTTGCTTCTAAAAGAATCCTAAAATTCTTTCATTTTTTTCGATTCTATTTATATATTTTTTGGCTTCCCTGAATGTTTATTCATTCTTTGTTTTATTTTTACATTTTTATTTTAGGCTACACGGAAATAGCTGCTTCATTACTTCAATCCGGTGCTTTTGTTAATACAGTTGATCGTTTTGGTAATTCAATTTTGGCTAACGCTGTTCGTTCTGGAAATATAAATTTGGTAAATTTTTATTTAATTTATTTTAGTTTTTTAAATATTTTAAGGTCCGTATGCTTTTAGAAAGGCATGCCGATGTTAATGCTAAGGATTCTGAAGGGAGAACACCTCTACATTTGGCTATCGATAAAAATTATTCAGGTATATTTTCTTTCTATGGGATTAGGTATTCTCCAATTTGTTTGTAGGTTTTCAAACTCATTTCTAGTCATTTAAGTTTTTATCCCCATTTTTTGACATTCTTTTGATTTATTTTTTTAATTAAGATAACCAAAAATTATTGCATTTTAAGATATTGTTTTGGCTTTACTTGAAAAGAAACCCAATTTGGAATTAAAAAATCGAGATGGTGATACTGCTTTACTTAGAGCTGTAAATTTTAATAAAAAAATTATTTTTTTTCAATTTTCTAATAAGATTAAAAATCGTGATGTCCAAGTTTCTCAATTATTAGTTAGTATGGGAGCAAAATTAAGTACAACAGATAATGCTGGAGATAATGGTTTTTTATATTTTTTCTTTAATTTTAATTTTTGTTTTAAGCTCTTCATTTGGCACTTAGAGCTCGTTCTCGTCGTCTTACTCAAATTTTGCTGGTTAACCCGTCAGATTCAAAACTGCTTTATCGACCTAATAAATTAGGTGAAACACCTTATTCAATAGGTTTGTTTGAGAAAAGTTTTTTTTTATTTTTTTACATTTTCTTTGGATTTCATTTTTAAACAAATTTTTTGAAATTTGATTGTTTCTGAAATCAATAATAATTTGTAGTATTTTAGTTTTAATTTGAATATATAATTTTTAGACCAAGAATCACCCCAGCCAATATTGCCTACTATATTTGGTCCATTTGGAACAGAAGTTGATTTGAAAAGTCTTTTGGGATTTGATTCATATGGAGATGTTATTCTTTAAAAAATATTTTTTTCAAGTGATTTTCAGGTAATCGCTGATGTTGTTTGTGAACCAAATCTTTCTTTACCTTTAACAATTGGTCTTTATGCAAAATGGGGATCTGGAAAATCAATATTATTATCTCGAATTAGAAATTCAATGAAATCTTTTTCTCGAACTTGGCTAGATGGAATTGAATTATATTGGAGTTGGAGCCTAATTTTAATTGTTCTTTTAATTTCTGCATTAATTACTTTATTAAGTGCAGCATTATTTTCTATTGTACAAGAAGGGAATGAATTATTTTTTTCTCTTGGTGTTGGATTGGGAATGTTTTTATTATTTTTATGTGCTTATAGTTTTATTTATTATGGAAGCGAGGTTTCTTTTTTGTTAAAATTATTTTTTAATTGAGATTATACATTAGTTTGTTGGAGTGGTTAGAAGGAGGGTCGTTCACGCCCGGTTAATTTCTGCCTGTGGCTGCTCGACTGGTGAATTCCAATTAATCAAAGGACGTTTAAGCCGTCACATACGAAAATTAACTGGTCGTGAACAACCCTAGTTTAAGTAAAAAAAATTTTATTTTTAAAAATTTGTTTCTGATGTTAGTAAAATTTTTTCGAAATTTATATTGTTTTAAAAATATTTCATATAAATTTTTAATTTAAGAATCATTTTTCAGGTTCGTCTTTGGAATGGTTCAATCTCTGCTGCACGTTTATTAGCGCGAACCTTTGCTCGTTTTAAATTAATGCTTTCTGTTTTGACTTTGAATGCTCCAACACGTGGAACAGAAAAAGAAATTCATGAAAAAAAGTTTTCCTTTCCTTTCAAATTTTTTTAAATAAATAAATTAATTTAAAAAAGGTTAATATCTCCAGTCAGTTTTCTTTTTGCTGACAATCATCGACTTTCTTTTATTGGTGGAGAACAAGCATTGGCTAATATTGTTCAATCATTATTTGTAGCTGCTGAAGGTTTTTTTTGATTTACGGATTTTTAAAAATTCATTTTTTAAAGAGCATTATGGAACACTTGCTGTTCGTTTATTTACAAGTTTTAAACAATATCAAAATGCGGAAAATAGTTCTAAACTTCAAAGTATTTGTGGAATTCCTGTTTTATTAATTATTTTAATGTTTCCTCTTTCTTTGGCTATATCCTCTCTTTTATTTATTCAAAATCAACATTTGGCTGCTTCTGTTTTTATTGCTTTTAGTGTTATTTCTGGAACTGTTTTACTTTATGTTTTGAGTATTAGATTAATTATTAATTTGGTTAGTTTTTTGTTTTATTCTGGGAATGAAATACAGTCTATGGTTTTTGATTGCGTTTCTGGTCAGAGACCGGAGTTTTAGAAGATTTGGATCATGAAAGGGGAAATGGACATAGAACACAAACAATCGAGCGGGATTTGGACCAGTTCCCCCTCTTATTTTAATCTTTTTTATTTTTAAAAAGACGTCAATAATTTATTTTTTTATAGCCAAAGCATCGAATTGCCCGTATAATAAACAGAATTCACCTTCAACCATTTGAACGAATGTTACAAAAATTACAAAAAGAAGTTGATTTACTTGTGTCTTTGGTATAATTTATACAATTATTTAAAATTATTTTTTTAAAGGTAACAACTCTTGATGCTTTTATAAATAGTCAAACAAGACTAGTAATAATGGTAGATGGTTTGGATAGTTGTGAACAAAATAAAATGGTTCAATTATTGGATGTATATTTTATTTATTTTTTATTCTAAAAAATTCTAATTATTTTTTAGGCGTTCAATTTATTTTTTTGTTCTCGTCAAAATGCTCCATTCGTTGTTTTACTTGCTTTAGATAGAAATATCGTAATTTCTACAATTCAACAAAATTTGCGTTCTTCTGGTTCTGAAAATGAAATAACTGGACGTGATTATTTAAAGAATATTGTTACAATGTAAATGAGAGAATTTAAATAAATAACACTTGGGGATGAAATAATAATATTAAAAAATGGGGCTTGTTTTAAATTGAAGAGGGTATCAGGTAGGGATTCACGGCTTTTTTCAAACTGAACCCCGACCCGTGTCCAAAATCCGGTCCAACTTTTTTCTCAACTAGTAACATTTCTGTTATCAAATAGGTTCACAATCAGTAGTCAATTAAATTTTAAAAACATCTAAAATAATTTTTGGGGGTACTCGAATTGGAGTCGTATATATACATATTTTTATTGTTTTGTAGGCCATTTTTCCTCGATCACATTGTTGCACTTAGAAGAATGAGAAATCAACAAAATGCAAAGAAAATGGCTTTAGATGTAAATAATTTAAGTGCTCTCCCATTAAAAGATAGAATTCGTTCTGATACTTTTCTTGGTTCGAAAATGTCACTTCGAGCAACAGATCGAACAGATTCTGCAGGCGTTGGAGGAATCTCAACAAATGTTAATGAAATTAGCCATTTTTCCCCTTCTTTTGATTTATTTGCAAATATAAATCCACGAATTTTGTAAATTTTTTAAAAATAATTTTAACAAATTTTCTTTTTTAAAGACGTCGAATAGTTAACAGTATTGCTTTGACTGGAAGATTACTTAGAGTTTTTGAAGTAGAATTTAATTGGTGGCAAGTATATGCTTGGGTTTCTTTAATTGAACAGTGGCCATGGTTTGTTGTTATTTTATTTTCTATACTTAAAAACAATTCAAGAATGTTAAAATAAATAAAAAATATTTTTAAGTATTACTCCATTAAAAATTTACGTTTTAGAAAGGGAATATCCGGTCGGGATTGACAGTATTTCATAATTTTACGATTTTTTAATTTTGCACAGACATTTAATGACTTCCCAGGATCTCTCTCAACCTTACCTAGTAAATTTTAAAATTATTTTATTTTTTAGGAGAATGTGTTGGTTAATTGATGTTGCTTGTAGTTTACAGGTTTATAATTATAAATTTTTAATTAAAAAACAAAAAAAAATTTTAGGATGATTCCCTTCTCCTTTACGAACTTTACTGCCAATTGAAAAGTAGAATTTCTATTCGAGAAGGGATGGAAGATTTGGATAGAAATAGCTCAGAATTTGAATCAGTTTTTAGAAAATTATGTGCTGGAAAACAAAATCAAGTTTAAAAAAATTCTTTTCAAAAAAAAATTTTTTAAGTTAACCGTTGGACATGCCAGATCATTTGCCCCGTGTACTTCAAATTTAGATCCTTATATGAGAAGATTAATAAGAGAACAGAGAGGAGGAGAACCTTTAGTTGATTTAGCAGAAGAAACAGAAGAACAAGAAAAGGGTGGTGGAGGGAGTAGTCATGACCCTTTTGGACCTTTAAAAGAATTGTTGGGGTCTGAAGCTGAGTTTCTTTTTGATGATCCGTTGGTGTGGGCAAGTATTTCAAAACCTCTTGCGAGGATGTCTGTTGGGGAAATTGATGCTTTAATGAAAAGATTAAATATTTCTAAAGTAAATTAGAAGATTATTGTTTAATTTTTTAATATTTAAAGGATAAGGTTCAGCATGTTGGTGAAAAATTAATTAAACATAATTTAAATGGTTTGGCTTTACATTCTTGCAATTTGGAGGAATTAAGAATTGTTTTGAATGTGAGATTTTTTAAAATTATTTTTCCTTCTTTCCTTCCTTTAATTCTGGAGTAGGATAACTGGTTTCCCCCAAACTGTTTAGTATTTGACTTACAGACTTAACTATAATTTTGCTTTTTTGTGTACACTCTGACCTAAATCAAAAAAAAATAAATTTGCCAAAAAAATATTTTTTAAAGCTTCCACTCGGTGATTGGACTCTTTTTCAATTATTCATAACTTGTATGAGAAAATGGAAACCATTTATTACTCAATCATTAACTGCTACACTTGGAGGGAGTAATTCTGCTACAACAACAACAACAGAAAACACAGAATGTAAAAGTCCAAGTGAAAGACCAACACCTTTAAGAAGTATAATTGAAGAAGATGGTGCACAATCAACACCTTTATCTATATTAGAAAGAGAAGAGAAATCACCAAATGAAGGAGAAAGAGGAGGTGGAGGAGAAGAAGATAATGATGATGATAATGATGAAGATACAAATAGTGTTGCTTCTGTAGCTGGTTCTGAACATTGTCTTTTAAAAACATCAAATGCACCTCTTATGGAATGAAAAAAGGGGAAAAGGGTGAGTGGACATACATATATTTAGGGACTTTTTTGAATGCTTTAATTTTTAATATAGTAGTTTTGCCAATATTCGCAAATACTTTAATAACTTTCATAAATTTTGAAATCTAGTCAGTTTTATATTTTTAAAGAAATTTTATTTTGATAAAATAATTAAGAAATTAATTTGCTTAATTTTTTTAACCTCTATTAAATTTTACTAGACATTTAGGTTTAGTGCAATGTTTTAATGTTGTTAAAAAATAAAAACAAAGGAAATATTTTACCAGACAAATTTTAATTTCGAAACAAAATACAAATTTAAAATAAAAATTCAAAATAATTTAAAAAAAGATTGGCTCTTAAATTTCCGGAAATATAAAATAAATTTTAAATAAATCCCAAAAAAACTTAATAAAATCCATTCAGACTCAATAACACCAACCAAATCACGAATTACCTACTCAACTTTTGGTAAAGTATTTATAGTACTTTATTTTTGTTTTTCCCTTTTTTATCCTTCTTTGCCTGATAGTTTTTCTTTCCAAAATATCCCATAAAATGACTTTCTTTATAAGTTTCTTTTTCACGTTCTAATCCGAACGGTAATTTATTTATTTGAACCATTTCTTTACTTTTTTCTTCACTAAACAATTCCCATTCATAATTTCCATTAATATCATCCAAATCCAATTTCAAATAATTATTTTTCAGATAATTATTAGAGTCATTAACATAGAACAACTTCTAAAATAAAAAAAATTAAACATAAAAATCCCTTAATTAATTCAACTCTAAAATCCTTCTTTACTATTTAACAATTAAAAGTACCCAATTAATTTAACGAGGGAAACATATTCTTCTAAAAATAATATATTATTTAATTAAAATCACACAAAAAGGTGTCTCTCCTATATAAATCTACTATTTCTCTGAAAATCAAAATTTGGGTGCTAAATATTAAAAATTCTAAAAAGAGAATTTTAATTAATTTAAAGACAAGAAATTTCAAAAATTAATAGAATTTAGAAGACACTCTCAAAACACACTCAAAACAACCCCCTAATTAATTACCAATTTCAACACAAGAATGTTTTTGATTTTCTTTAATTTCAAATCCTTCTTTATAACTCAATGCTCCTCTACAATCTTTGCATCTGTAATAAGCGGAACTGCGAGAGCCATTATAACAAGACTGATATTTAAAATTTTTGTATATTCTATTCTTCAAAAAATACCAATAATCACCTAAAAATATTAAACAAAATATTGAATAAAAATTAAAAAACAAACCAAAATTTGTTGGCAATTCGATTAAGGTATTGTTGTTACACGCATCTTTAATTGAATTAATATCTTCTTTTTCTTGATCACGAAATCTTTGTTGGTCACGTCTTTTTCCAGATTCTTAAAATAATTAAATTTTATTAAAAATAAACAACGGCGGCTCAACCGCCTGCAGTTTAAAATTATTTATTCCTTCAGCTAAAAATTAGTTATTAATCTTCGAGAAAATGTAAAAGTGTCGGAGTCACAATACTTTCACTAAAAAATTTTTAGATAAAAAAACAATTACGATTAACATCTATATTTTGAATATGTTTGCATAATTCTTTCATTATTTCATCATTTCTATCTTTTGTTAAAATATAAATATTAAAATATATAATTTAAATTTTTAACATACTAGTAGTCCCTTCAATTATATTATTAAAAGAAGACGATGATGCTTGTTGGGTTGGAAGTAAATTTGTATTATAAACAGAAGGAAAGCCTTGATTAACTTGAAAGTTTTCTGGAAGGTTTTGAACTGTGCCAGAATGTGAGGAATCACCGGAATAGATAGAGGGATGGTTTGGAATAAAATGTTGATTGTTTGGGTAATGTCCACCAAAATATTGAAAATTTGAGGAATAAGGGAATTGATTTGTAGAGGATGGGGAAAACATATTTTGTTGATGGAAATTTGGATTAAATTGAGGGGGTTGAATGTTTTGGTTATAGAAGGGATGGAAAGGATTTGCTTGAATTGGGGTTGATGAGTTGATTTCGACATTAGGATTGTTTTGTATATCCTAAAAAGTGAGTATTATTTCTTTGAAAAAATCTACTATCTAGGGAGTCTTGAGTCAGAAGCCACTTCTAGCGTAGGGACTGGATTTCTCAGCAGAATTTATCCCCTGCTCATAACTCATATATTTTTGCATTAAATTTCTCCTCATGCCTTCGACTGTGTATCCTCGTAAAGGGTTGGTACTTCAAAAATTCCCGACTATATTTATATCTTGGTTAATTCTTTATATCTCAATATTTTAAATTTGAATAAAGTTATGGCATAAATAATGTGTCATAAAGTTTTATGGTCACCCTGTAGTATTCAAGATGAAAACACGATAAGTAATACACAACAAATAAAATAAATTACCTCCTGTATCAAACTATTTGTTGTGCCAAAAGCTCCACTTCTCCTCAAAAAATACTCGATAGTATCCTTTTCAGGGTCCATTCCATCATTTTTTGTTATAATAAAAATAAATAATAAATTTATTTTTATAAAATTCCTTAGCATTTTTTTTAATTTTAAAAATTGTTAATGAATAAATTAAGAAAAATTTATTTTATAAATAAAAATTATTAAGGGGTGGAGTTTTTAATAAGAGTGGATATGTCGGGGTAAAATTTTTGGCTCTTATGACATGCGTTAGGGCATGCGTCCCAGGATCTTTTATGTGTCCCATGAGAGTATACAGTGCTGCAAAAAGTACTTTAAAATGCCCTTTAAGATAGATTCTCAAAATTATCAGCGTGACGCATAAAGCTCATGGGACGCTTAAAAGCTCATGGGACGCGTGTGTAAAGAAAGTATTACCCAAATAAAATTTTAATTTCTACTCTTTATAAAATTCTACAAAAAATACAGTAAATATAGCTATCGATATTATAAAAACTTGAAAAAGAATTAGCACCATATCTCATTTTATTGTCGAGATCTCGATACCCTGAAAGTCAACGTAAGACGGGTTTTCAGCTTCAAAATTTTTTTTCGAACCCCCCTCCATTAAACTTTACTAGACATTTAGGTTTGTTTTAATGTTGTTAAAAAATAGAAAAAACAAAAAGTTAGTATTTTACCAGACAAATTTTAATTTCTAAATAAAATACAAATTCAAAATTTAAAATAAAAATTCGAAATAATTTTAAAAAATTGGTTCTTAAATTTCCGAAAATATAAAATAAATTTTAAATAAATAAATTAATAAATAAATAAATCCCAAAAAATAATTTTAAAAAAATTAAATAAATAAAATAAATAATAATTTTTAAATAGGGTTTCAAGCCCGGTCCAGTCCGGTCCGAAAGATCGAGTCGGGCATCGAATTTTGGCCCGAGGACTCGGTCGGTCCGGCCCGAAGAAAATGACTCGAGCGTCAACCCAACTTGAAAACAACAACCCTAATTTTAAATAAAAAAATCCCAAAAAAATAAATTTAAAAAATTCCATTTAGAGTCAATAACACCACCCAAATCACAAACTTTCTACTCAACTTTCGGTTAAAGTATTTATACTTTGTTTTTGTTTTTCTTTTTGTTATCCTTATTTAACTGATAGTTATTCTTTTCTAAATATCCCATAAAATGACTGTTCTTATAAATTAATCCTTCACGTCCTAGACCGAACGGTAATTTATTTATTTGATTTAATTCATTTATTTTTTCTTCACTAAACAATTCCCATTTATAATTATTTATATCCAAATCCAATTTCAATTGATAATTTTCCAGATATTTAGAATCATTAACATAGAACGTCCTCTAAAATAAAAATTTGTAAATCTAAAATTCCTTTTGTCAATTAAACAATTTGATAGAGTGAGTTAGGCTAACGTAAAAAATATTGTATAAAATCTACATTTAATATGAATGTCTTCAATAACTTTTTAGGCAATACTTATTAAGAAAAAAAACTAAAAAAATAATGTTACCTTATTTTTTGTAAAAAAAATTTGTTTAAATATCTCACCACCCCCCCCCCCCCTCACCCTAAATTTTTTTTTATTTATTTCACCTCATTATGTATATCTTCATTAGAATTTAAATTTAAATTAACATTTATCCATTTAATTTTAATTTCAATTTGTTTCAATCCAAAAGGAATTGGGTATTCTTTACATTCTTCCCCAATCTCTTGAGTTCCAATAAATTGTTCATTTCCATTACCGTTATTTATAAAAATTGAATAACTTGTAGACATTCGATTTTTAAATTTTGATTTAATGCAAATTGAAGCAAGGTAAACATTTTCTTCTAAAAAATAATATACCTATATTCTTTTAATTACATAAATATTAATAATTTTTACATACTAAACAAATCAAGAATAAATATTAAAAATTCTTAAAAGAGAATTCTAATTATAATTAAAAACAAGGAATACCGTATTTCTTCCGTATTTCTCTAATAGACTGACCCCTTCTAATAAACCGACCGACCCTCTAGAGGATGGTTGAAAAATAAACCGACCGGTCGTACTATTAGAAGAAATACGGTAATTAAAACAAAATATCGCCTCTTCAATTCTATAAATTTAAAGACAAGAACTTTCAGAAATTAATGGAATTTAGAAAACACTACTCGAAACACACTCAAAACAACCCCCTAATAATTACCAATTTCCACACAAGAATGTTTTTGCTTTTCTGTAATTTTAAATCCTTTGTCATAACGCAATATTCCTACACAGTTAGCTTTTTTGTTAGAACAAAAGTAATAGGCATAACTTCTTTGGAATGCACCAGAAGATTGATATTTAAAATTTTTGTATATTTTAGTCTTCAAAAAATACCAATAATCACCTGGAAATTTTAAATAAAAAATTGGGTACTTTATTAATATCCTCCCCCCCCCAACCCCTTTTGAGTCTCAGATTAATTTTTCTTTTATTCTTCTCTGCCTCGTAATGGCCAAATTTTCTTCTTTATAAATGTTAATTTTTGCCTATAGTGTATGGTTTCTGTTATTACAGTTTATCTTTTCCTGCCTAATAACTTGTCTTTTACTCGTAATGTTTGACGGAAATTAATGATTGACAGAAAAAAGGAAAATTAGTCTGAGACTCAAATAGGGGGGGGGGGGTATAAACAAAATGCCAAAAAATGAATAAAAATTAAAAAACAAACCAAAATTTGTCGGCAATTCTAAACTAGTTTTGTTGTTACAAGCACTTTTAATTGAATTAATATCTTCTTTTTCTTGTTCACGAAATCTTTGTTGGTCACGTCTTTTTCCAGTTTCTTAAAATAATTAAATTTTAATACTTTTTAATTGAAATAAAAAGTCAAATACAAAACACCTGCACAAAACTTTCACTAAAAATTTTTAAAAGAAAAAAAACAATTACGATTAACATCTATATTTTGAATATGTTTGCATAATTCTTTCATTATTTCATCATTTTCATCTTTTGTTAAAATATAAATATTAAAATATATACCTAATTTACATACTTTAATATAAGCCCAGGCAAAGTTAAACTTTGAAAAATATAAGCCCAGGGCTTATTTTAGAGTATTTACGGTAATTTAAATTTCATAACATACTAGTCATTTCATTATTTTTAAAAGATGACGATGATGCTTGTTGGGTTGGAAAGGTTTCTGAAAAAGTTTGAGCCTTGTCAGAATGTGAAGAATCACCAAAATAGTTTGAATGGTTTGGAACAAAATGTTGGTTGTTTGGGTAATGTCCACCAAAATATTGAAGGGGATTTGTAGAGGATGATGAAGAGATATTTTGTGATTGAGGATTATGGAAATTTGGATAGAATTTAAGGGGGTGAATGGCATGATTATAAGTTGGAGAATGTAAAGAATCATCGAAATAGTTTGGATGGTTTGGAACAAAATGTTGATTATCTGGATAATGCCCAGGAAAATAATTTTGATGATAGGGGAATTGATTTGTAGAGGATGAAGGAAACATATTTTGTTGAGGAAAATTTGGATTAAATTGAGGGGGTTGAATGTTTTGATTATACAAAGATGGATGGGGATGATTTGTTTGAATAGGGGTGGTTGAGTTGGTTTCGGCATTAGGAATGCTTTGATTCTCCTAAAATGTGAGAAATTATTTCTTTGGAAATTTTTAAGAGGAAATTATATAACTAGTTCAGTTAATGGATATTCTTCAATTTGTACAGGGTGAGCAGCAAGTTTAGGACACTTTTCATTTTTCCATAACTTTTTTTCTCATTTACAAATTTTACTATTATTAAACATTTTGTTCCTAAACTTTTATGGTCACCCTGTAGTATTCAAGGTAATACACAGAAAATAATATAGGTAGGTAAATTACCTCCTGTCTCAAACTATTTGTTGTGTCAAAAGCTCCACTTCCCCTCAAGAAATACTCAATAGTATCCTTTTCAGGGTCCATTCCATCATTTTTTGTTATAATAAAAATAAATAATAATAAATTTATTTTTATAAAATTCTTTAGCATTTTTTTTTTAATTTTTTAAAATTTGTTAATGAATAAATAAAAAAACATTTATTTTATAAATAAAAAATATTAAAAGGAGGAGTTTAATAATAGTGTATGTCAGGAGTGGCGCTCGTCTCGTATTTTGTGGACTTGCGCCACCCCTGGTGTATGTGTCCTTGGTAATAATTTTTTATTTAAATCACAGCCGTCTCGAAATTTCGATCTTCGAGGTTTTCTCTTTCGAATCCTAGCATAGAAAAGGGAATAATAAACATGTGACAATAAATTAAATTTATTTAATTAAAAAAAATTTTTATTTAATTTTAAAATTAATTTATTCGTTTAATGTCAAAACTTTTACATAAATCTGATTATTTATTTATTTAGTTATTGCAGGGCTCCGATCGACAAAATGCCACTCAAAAGTATCAAAATCTTGTAAAAAAAGTACATAGGGAGAAAATTTGCAAATAAAAAGTACACTCAAAATTAAATTTGAAAATATTTATTCGTGATCAATCTTTTATATTTCTCTCCTAAATTAATCTTTTCTAATAATTTCTTGTTTCAACTGAGCATTTTGTGCATTTCATTGCATGACATGTCAAAATTTGCTGTCACATGAAGCAAAGCTCTGACAGTCTTAACCTCAAGCGAGTTTCTTTCCTTCGTCCATTGAATGTTTGCCATTGAGAAGCGCCGCAGGCGAAAATTTTTTGAAATTTGGAGGTCCTTAAGCCAGATTTCTTCTTTTTCAGCGCCGCAGGCGAAAATTTTAAGAATTTTGGAGGTCCTTAAGCCAGATTTCTTCTTTTTCAGCGCCGCAGGCGAAAATTTTAAGAATTTTGGAGGTCCTTAAGCCAGATTTCTTCGTTTTTTCAAAAATGTTGATAAAAAAGTACATACTTTCAAAAAAGTACAAATTCAATTTCGGAAGTACGAAGGTCGATAAAAAAGTACAATACTTTTAAAAAAGTACGAATCGGAGCCCTGAGTTATTGCCATAAAGGCGTCAATGCAAATAAAACAACAACAAAGTCAATTAAAATAAAATAATGTCAAAATAATAATACTGCTAACATGCGTTGGGGCATGCGTCCCAGGATCTTTTATGTGTCCCATGAGAAGGCTGCAAAAATTACTATAAAATGCCCTTTAAGTAGATTCTGAAAATTATCGGCCGGCTCTAGACATTTGTCCCATAAGTTTTTAAGCGTCCCATGAACAAGTAAAAGCGTCCCGGTAAATGCAAAAATTCTTTTAGTTTCCATCAGCCATAGAATGATTTGTTGAAAGTTTGGCGCGGATAGCAAAGGGAACAAACTGAAAAATGTTTATTTACAAATAATTTATTTATAAATTCGTGATTCCTTCTAATATTGTTTTCAAAGCAAAACAAATTTCATTTGGAAGTGTATACCTCAACCTTTTTTTAAATTTATTTATGTACCTAACTAACTCGATAATTTTAATAATTTATTTTTAGTGATTTTAGATTATATGTACTAAAAGTAATAATTAAATATGGATCAATTCGGCACTTCACCAGCAAATCCTCAATCTTTATTAAATCTTTTAAGTGGTGGACAAACACCTATGCACAGTGGAGTTTTAAATTTTGGTTCGAATGGCCCCGGATCGGTATCTCAACAGCCTTTATCAAATTATCAAAATTTGTTTGGAAGTGCCGGTCCAGGCTCTACAATAAATATTGGGGCGCAATCTATGCATTCTGTTGGAGGGCCAGGTTTTTAATTTGAATTATTTAATTTTTTTTAGGATTATAATTAGGTTTTTGACATTTGATAGACTAACTTTGAACCCAAAACTAATTTTTTTTCTAAAACAGCCTCTGTATTCAACAGTCAAGGTCCAGGATCTGTTCTCAATCCATTTTCTTCAAGTGGAGGAAATGAATATAAAGGCCCCTCTTCTGTTGTAAATTTGGCAGGAATTCCAGCTTCAGCAAGTAATTATAATGATGGAGGGCCTGAAAGTGTTCTAAATAATTTAAATATTCCAATGACTCCACTACAAGGAGGGTATTCTGTTAGAGATTCTCAACATCATATTGGCTCTCAATTACCTGCTTCAAATATTCCAACAGTTATTCCTCAGACTCCTTTTAGTGCTCCGGCAGAAGTACCTTCTCCTACCTTACAAAATATTGTATCTACTGTTAATTTAGGTTTATTTTTTGGATTTTGTTGTTTTTAAGGTAATATTGAACTAGACAGACTTCTTTTTTCCTACCCAATTTTTCCCCTATATTTTTGCAAAATGGTCAGACTTCCTTTCTTCCATCCAAATTGCTCTGCTAATTTTTGCCTACAATCAAACAAAATTATTTAATTTTATACAAGTACATGCCAAAAACAAGTAAAAGGAGGAAAATATAAGAAAAATTGGGGAGGAAAAAAAGGGGTCTGTCCAGTTGAATATTACCTGTTTTTAATTTATTTTTTTAATTTTTTAGGTGTTCAATTGGATCTTAAACAAATTGCTTTGAGAGCTCGTAATGCTGAATATAATCCAAAGTAAAAAATTATTACAAATTTTTTTATTTTTTTAAATTATTTTTTAGACGTTTTGCGGCAGTTATTATGCGCATTCGGGATCCCAGAACGACTGCATTAATTTTCTCTTCTGGAAAAATGGTTTGCACTGGAGCAAAGTTTTTATTTTAATTTAAATTAAATTAATTTTAAAATTTAGATCAGAAGAAATGAGCCGTTTGGCTGCTAGAAAATATGCACGAATTGTTCAAAAATTGGGATTTAATGCAAAATTTACAGAATTTAAAGTTCAAAATATGGTTGGGTCTTGTGATGTTAAATTCCCTATACAATTGGAAGGTTTATATTTAATTGATAAGAATTAAATACGAATTAAATTTTATTGGGGAATTTTGAAAATCAAAGTTTTAATGAATCTTAAACCAGAATTTTCTTTCAATAAACCTGAAAATCAAAAAATTTTTTATTAAATTATTCCCTTTGATTTTGAGCTACTAAAATAAATCTAAAAATTAGAGCCAGGCCGGAGGTGTCGGTCAATATTTTTCGATAATATCGAAAAATATTCGGTGCGGACATAATGCTTGCCGTTTTTTTATTATTTGCAGAGGAGAGAAAAACGGAAAGTAGTTATGCCGGGCTCTACTAAAAATCAGCATTTTTCACGAATAATCTTTAATTATTTTTTTCTAGGTCTTTGTATTACCCACGCCCAATTCAGTACTTACGAGCCTGAATTATTTCCTGGGTTAATTTATCGAATGGTTAAAGTATGTTTTTAATTAAAATTTTTTTATTTAAAAAAATTAATTTAAGCCTCGTGTTGTTTTACTTATTTTCGTTAGCGGAAAAGTAGTTATAACTGGGGCAAAATATAAAAAGGATATTGACGAGGCGTTTAATCAGGTTTTTCTTTAAATGTTTTTTTATTATTAAATTTTTATTTTTAACAGATTTATCCAATTTTGAAAGGTTTTAAAAAATGAAATTTTTTGTTTGCATTTTTATTGAGAAAAATTTACTCATATATTCTATATCGAATTTTAAAAGTTTATTTTTATATTTTAGTTAAATATTCTAGTTATAGGCATAGACAAAAATTATTTAAAATGGGGGTAATTAAATGGAATTTATTTTAATTTTAAATTAATTTTTGGGAAGTTTTAGATTCAATTTATTGAAATTTTTAGTAAAAGAAATTTCCCGTTTTCGTACATATAAAAGGGGATTTGGCGCTGGTTTATTGTTAGTTTATGCATCCAATGAACTTCTATGCGTCCAACCCAATGGACTTACAATTAGGTCTCGAACACGAAGAAATGTTTTGGAACCATATCCCCAACTTTGCATTACCAAGAAAAATCCAATTTTTTGTTGCTTGGATGCATAAACTAAACCAGCGCCTAAGATTCTTCCCCTTAATTTGATCAAAAATAAAAAATTTTTCATTAAACAATAGAATATTAAAAATATATTTCTGTGTTAAAAACACTCTTCTTCCATTCAATCCCTGGTTATCATTTTTTGTCTTATCTGCTTCAATGTATTCTTTAAGACTCATATTTAAAAGCATATTCTATAGATACATAACTTTACATATTTTTTTCTTTTAAATTTTTTTAAATTTTTAATAAATGGTTTGAATTAAAAATATTTTAATTTTTTTATAAAGTTTTTAAATTTATTTTAATATTTTTTTAAAATTTAAATATTTTTTAATAAAAAAAGTTTTTACCTTTATAATGCAAAATAAAAATGAATTTTTAATTCTTTTACGTCAACAAATTAAAAATTTAAAGGAAGATGATTTATTTGAGTGTGCAGTTTCTCATTTATTAATCTTTGTTGGGGCTAACTTTGCTGGATTTGAACGTTTATTTTTTATTTTTTTAATTCAAAAATAATTTTTAGGTCAATCTGTAGGCTGTAAAAACCTTCTTGAAGGTTTTGAATCGCTTGAAGAATTGAAAGAAGTTTCTTTTAATGAACTTTCTTTTGGATTGAATAAACCGTTTGATGGGGCTCGGTTGGTTATTTAAATTAGAATTTAAATTTCTTTTGTTAAAACTTCAGCATCCTACTGGCTCATCAGTACTTATTAGTGAACGGAAAAATTGTTTTTTTCGGAACCGGATTTGGCAATTGAGCCGGACCGGATTTTTCCGGATTAATCCGGTCCGGAAAAATTCGAAGATCGCGAAAAAAAACCCGGATTTGGGATCCGGACTCCAGGAGAATCCGGCCGGATCCGGTCCGGTTCCGCTCACTAGTACTTATCATTTAAGCATTAGAGTCCATTATATCATATTAACTTAAGGAAGGGATATTTAATTTTTCCTCTAAATTTTTAGTTTTATTGAACATTTGTTTGCAGCAAAGGAAGCCTTTAGTCATTTACCTACTTCTTCAAATTCATCTTTTGAACATCTTTTATGGAAATATCGTTTTTTAAATATTTGGTCAAATATTTTGATTGACAAACAAATTGATTTATTTAAACAAATGAATGAATTGGTTAAGTTTAAATTAATTTTTAATTTATTTTTTAATTATTTTTAGTCCAATTTATTATTTAAAATTTCTTCTTTAACTACCAAAAATCTTCAAATAGAATTTCTTTTGGAAAGAGCACTTTCTCTTTTAAATTTTTTTGAATTTTCCTTTTCAAAAAAATGTTTAGAAGAAGCAATTAAACTTGCTGGATTTAAACAATTACAATTAGGGGGAGCTTTAGGTAAAGAATTTATTTAATTTTTAAAGAAAATTATATTGAATTAGGGTTTTATATTTAAGCCCAACTCACTTATTTTAGAAATTCAATTGTTTTTTATTAAATGTACTTTGAGAATGAATTTTAATTTAATTCTGTCTTTGGCCTCTTAAGCATCCAAAAAAATATTTAGAGTATGGGTTAAATAATTTAGAAAAAAAATTCGTTTCCTGCCCTGGTGAATTTAATCAATCGATAACCTTATTTCTGTAGCTTATTTTTATTTGGAGAACTTTTCTCTATATGTACTTTTGAATTAAACCTTTATCAATACGAAATCTTTATTAAATTACATATCTTTTTAGGAAAAAGAACTCAATTTCAAGAAAAAAGTGTTCCCCAACTTTTTGTTGAAGTTTGTTTTAATTTACTTATTTCTCAAAAATATTTCACCTTTATTATTAAAATATGCACTCTGGGTTTTAAAAAACCATTTAAAATCTAGAATGACCACTTTTAATAATTTTCGAATTTCACTTTTTTGTGAATGAAAAACTACACAATATTTTTTTAGTTTGAAATAACTTCTACCAATCAAAAAATAGACGAACCAACAGAAATAATCCAAAATACAAAAAATGGGGATGATACACTTTTAGAAAAAATTTTGTTTGATGAAAAACCCAAAAATAAAATACAAAAAATTAATTCCCACCAAATTGCTTGTATTTTGGTTAGTGCATTATTGGAAAGGAAAGGAAATAAAATTGAAAAACAAATTGAAGATGAAACTTGTATGGCTTTTTTGGAAGAAGTTTTGTTCGGAAATAAATTTTTTTAATTAAAATTTAGGTAATAGATCAACGTCCTTTTTGGCCTTTACAAATGAGGGCATTAATTGAACGTTCAAAGTTAGAAGCAAAAAATTCTAGACGAATTGAAAGAGCTTGTTCTCAAATGGAAATATTAGCTAATATTTTGAATGAAAATGTTAAAAATGAGGTTAATTTTATATTAAAAGGAAGGACTTGAAATTCAAAATTTTTGTATTAAAATGGAAAAGTTGAAGGAGTTGGGGAGTATGGTTGTCGGATAGTTGGAAATCATTGAATATACGAACCAAAAATTTCGGATATCCTGTCTTTTTTCGTATCCGGATCCGACAACCTTATTGGTGAGTTTTCTTGCGTGCAATATTTGTATAAACTTTTATTGGGTGTTTTTAATTAAATCAGAATTTTTGGAATTAACTTTATCAAGAATGTCAAACCTATTTAATTAAAAACACCCAATAAAAAGTCCAGTTTGACATTTTAACGGTTTTTGGGGGTTTGATATTTTATTGTTTTAACGTTATGAGACTCTCTGAAACTTAAAATTTGAAATATTTAAAAATCACAAATTTCTTTTAAACTTTTCACAGTCTGTAGAATCAGAACGACTCAATTTAATTTTTGTTTCTTCTCCTCTTCCATTCTGGAAAGTTAGCAAATTACATGCAGAAATTTTACTTTCGCTTGGATGTTTTTTTGAGGCTATTAGAATATTTGAAAAATTAAATTATTGGGAAGATGTTGTTAAATGTTATTTAAATTCTGGACAATCTGAAAAGGCCGAAATTTTAATTAAAAAACTTTTGGAGGAAAAAGGAGAAAATCCTTTTTATTATTGTCTTCTTGGAAGTATTACAAATGAAGAATGTTTTTATTTAAAAGCTATTGAAGTTTGTTTGTTTTTTAAATTTTTTATCTGTTGGGGGAGGGTGGGGTTTTTGAGGGAGATTTTTATTTAAATATTTTTTGAAAAAACTAAAATATTAAAAAATATTCTCAAATTTTTTCCTCCACAAAAAACGGTCAAAAATTCTTTTTAGGTTTCCGGTGATGGAAATGCACTTGCCAGGGCATCATTAGGAAATTTAATGTTAAAACGAAAAAATTTTTCTGAAGCAATGAAACATTTTGAAAGATCGTTGGATATCCAACCATTACAGGTTTTTGTTTGTTTATTATTTATTTCATTTAAATTAATTTCTATTTTTAGCCTGGTATTTATTTTAATTATGGTTATTCTGCAATGAAATCCGGCAATTTTCAGGTTAACTCAAGCAAAAATTTTTTACTTTTTAAATTGTTTAGACTTCAGTAAAAGCTTTTCATCGTTGTGTAAATATTGAACCTGAACATTTTGAAGCTTGGAATAATTTGGGTAAATTTTTTGATTTTAATTTAAATATATTTTAAATTATTAAAAAAAACTTTTTTTAGCAGCTTCATATATTCATTTAAATCAAAAACATCGAGCACACAAAATTTTACAAGTATTTTTGTATTTCTTTTTAAATTTAATTTCTTTTTTAATTTTTAAGGAAGCCTTAAAATTAAGTTGGGAAAATACTTACCTTTGGACAAATTTTCTTTTAATTTCTGTTGATATTGGGGATTATGAGAATGGAATATCTGCTTTGGAAAGATTAATGGATTTGGACAAAAATTTAAAAATCGATGAAAGCCCTCTAGAAATTATGTCGATTGAAATATTAAATGAACAAAATAAAGAAAAATTGGAAGGAATGAAGAAATCACTTTTGAAGGTTTTGGCACGTGCAAGTTCGAGACAGTCTTTTGGCGGGAAGGTTGGAGATTTGTTTTTGTTTGATAAAATATAATGGAATCTATATGGATAATTATTTAAATTTTGAACTTTTTGATAAAATTAAATAGGTCCAAAAAATTGACTTTTATTATTTTCCTTAATCATAATTTAAGTAAAGCTACTAAAAATAAATGATTGGCTGATAAAATTTATTTATGATTATGTAAGAAATCCCATTCTAAAAATATTCAAATACAAACTTACCCCTTCCCAGAAAATACCAAAAGATTTGATGAGTTTAGTCCTTGTAGCTCTCCGGTTCAACCTCTTCTTCTTTTTAACTTGGTAAAATTCCTTGCAATTTTTACTAGAATATCTTTCTCTCTAAAATTCAGAAAAATTTTTTGTAAATTTTGTAGAATACTTTTAATTATTTTTTAGTTACAACGTCTTCACGCATTTTTAAAAAAGCCAGAAAATGGAGAGGATATTACACAATGGACAATTTTTGTTAATTTACTTGAGAAAGCTTTTAAAAAAGAATTTGATAGAATTACTATAGGAAAGGTATTTTCAAAAAAAATTTTAATTTTTTTTGAAAAAATATTTTATTTTTAGATTTTTAAAAATTACAAGGATTTATTAAATCAATTTTTGGAATTAATTGAGGAATTTAAATTGTTTTGGAAAATACAAAAATTAGAAGAAATTCAGATAAATTCTCAACTTAAATTGAGGATAAAACCAATTATTGGATTTTTTGAAAAAGAATTTGGAGAAAATTGTGAATTATGTGAAGATGAAGAATTTAATAAATTATTTAGAGAAATTAAAAATTTGTGTATTTTCTAATTAAATTTTGTTATTTTCTAATATTTTGTTTGAAAATTTATTAAAAATGATTGTTTATCGTTTTTGTACCATCTTTCCTGTTCGAATTATAATTGAAGAAACAGAAAAACTGACTAAGGTTTTTACACAAAGTACCAGCCTTGACAGTACAACAATCAAGTACATTTTCCCCCTCTTTTCTAGCGGGTGTCATTTTACTCCTTTTCTTCCGTTCACAATAAATTGCTAGTTGTTTAGCCTCACATTTATATCAGCTTTTTTCCAATTGAATTTAGAAATTGAAATTTATCCAAATAATTGATTAGAGTAGTTAAGTAGTTTAATTTTAGTTTCAATCACGGCTATTTATTTTTGGTTGTAAAAATTATTTAATTTTTTTATTAAAGCCCCATTAAATGTTTTTAATTTGTTTATTCATTTCAAGGTTATTTCTCCTTCCAATTTGAATTATAATGGGAGAAATATTCACAAAAAGAAATTACCAAAAATAATTTAAAGGAAGATGTAGTAGTTACTTCCAAATAAAATAAATCAATTTCTTTTTTCTTTTAATGACTTTGATTATTACTATTTTTATTTGTCTTTTAATTTTAAAAAGTTTTGATTTAATCAAAGCAGAGTTTGTTTTTTTAATTAATTTTTAAATTAAATAAAATTAAGGAATGTTTATTGCACATATTACAGGTAAATAATTTTGAATTATTTATAAATAAAGAGATAAATTAATTTAAATATTTTTAAGAGAATCAAATGAAATTACTTGCGGGTATTTTTAAAAATTTTAAAAAATTAAAATTAATTTAGTTCTGTAACTTGTGAAACACACATTCCAACTCCAACATTTACAGAAGAAAATGGAATTGATACAAAATTGTCTAGGTAAATTTAAAATAAAAAGTTGAAATTTCTTTTTAATTTTTAGAGGCTGGTACAGAATAGGAACGGTAAATTTAATAAAAATTTAATAAAATTAAAAATAGCAGAACTTAAATTTTGTTGAAATTATTTTATAAGGGGTAGAATATGAATTTTAAATGAAACAATGAAAGTATAAAATTCCCAATTATTTTAAAAATAATTTAAACAAAATAACCAATTAATCTTTAATTTTAAATTAATTAGTTAACAATAAGACAAGACCATGCTTGGTTTAATCTCTACAGGTAAAGAAATTAATATTTTGTTAAAATATTGACCCTATATGAAATGAAGTCCCAAATCAAATTTTTTCCATCTATCTTAAACTGAGTAATTTCCTTTACATTTCTCTCTATTTTTGATTTGTGCCGTAAGGCTATAAATGTAAAAGGATTAACTGAACGTGTGTGTTCGTGGTTTTATGACCGTGTGTGTCCGTTTCTCTGTCTGTGTCTGTCCGAGTTTTGTCTGTCCGAGTTCGTCCGTGTCTGTGGAGCCGGTAAAGGCAAAGGTCCAGAACCGATTTAAAACTGGTTCGGACGACTCGGACAGGCAAACACGGACGAACTCGGACAGACAAAACACGGACGAACACGGACAGACAAACACGGACGAACTCGGACAGACACAGACAGAGAAAACGCGGACACATACGGTCATAAAACCACGAACACACACGTTCAGTTAATCCTTTTACATTTATAGCCTTACGGCACAAATCAAAAATAGAGAAAATTGTAAAGGAAATTACTCATTTTAAGGAAGATGGAAAAAATTTGATTTGGGACTTCATTTCATATAGAGCCAAAATATTCTTCAAAAAAAGGAGAAGAGCGACAGGGCTTGGTTATTGGGATTTTTACACTCAAATACCCGAAAGAAGCTGTGTTGGGTATAATTTTTACTAAAAATTTTGCAAAAATTTTTTTCAAGTCATTTTGGTCTACACGCAGGAGAAAATATTGCGGGGTCTGTTACTGTAAAAGATAAAAGGTGTTTTGACCGTTTGGTTATGCAAATTGAACGAAAATCGACCACCGAAAAATTTGATGTTTTTCAATGCAGAAAATGTATTTTTAATTCTTGTTGGTTAGGAAATAGAATTTTACACGAACAGAGGACTTATCTGACGAATTTACGGTCTTATTAATTTTTTTATTAACGGTTGTTGACGACCGGTTAATTTTTCCTTGTGGCGGCTCTAAAGCATTTATTCTTTTCTATTTGAGATGACACAGGGAAAAATTAACAGGTATCCAACAACACTATTTTTTATGTTAAAAACAAAATTTTCAAAAAATAAATACACTACTCTCAATATTTTCTTCCATTCTTTAACTCTAATAAATAATTACCTTCATTTATTTAAATAAAAGATTGACACAGTTTTCTTTAAAATCCGCACAAAATATTTTTTATTTGTAAAAGTCAAAAGTATCACTGTCCTTCTTGACCACTTGTTTATATGCCTTGTTAAAATCTTTGCTAAGGACCATGTAGCGATTCTCTCTAACAGCATACATTCCTGCCTTTAAAGTTTTGGAAAAAATTATTATTTAAAATCCGGAGATAATGTTGGAACCCAAACATGAGAACTTCTCTTTTACTTTTATTTAAGAAATACCGACAAAACAAAAAATTTATTAATTCACCGAGGAAGAATTAATTTCCAAAATTTAACAAATCCTTTGTTTCAATAATCTTTCCCCGCTCCCCAAGAAATTTCAGGAGATAATTTATAAATTAAAAAACCTCTTGACAGATTGAAGCAATTTCAGCACACGAAATTTTATCTGGACGAGAAACAAAATCTTCAAGATCAATTTCATCACTTAAATTCATTTTGGCTGTCACAGTTGAAAAAACTAAACGTTTTTGTCGACGATCAGGCATTGGAAATTCAATTTTTCTATCCAATCTGCCTGGACGAAGTAATGCAGGATCGAGGGTGTCTTGACGATTTGTTGCCATTATAACCTTTTAAAAAATTTCTTCATCCTCAAGAATGTTTTAGAAAATAGGAAAAAATTCCTGACATACAAGAATTTCTAGTAAATGCCGAAATGGGGATGAAATTTAAGAAATAAATTTTGTTTATTTTTTATACCTTAACATTTGTATTTTGATCAAATCCATCCATTTGATTTAATAATTCCAACAAAATTCGTTGTACTTCTCTATCAGCCCCCGTCTGTGCATCAAAACGTCTTGTAGCAATTGCATCAATTTCATCAATAAAAATAATGCAAGGACTATTTTCTTTAGCCAAACGAAAAACATCTCGAACCATTCGAGGGCCTTCTCCCAAATATTTTTGAACAAATTCACTTCCAACAACTTTAATAAATGAAGCTTTTGTATGATGAGCTACTGCTTTAGCAAGCATGGTTTTTCCACATCCTGGAGGCCCAAAAAGGAGAACTCCACGAGGAGGGTCGATTCCAATCTGAATTTGAAAAATTTTTAAATTTATATCCTTAAATTTTTTAGAAATGTATAGTTGACGTTACAAAAAACACCCTTATGTGATTTTCCAAAAATAATGGATACATGAAAAACCACATATATTTAAAATAACATTCTTAAAATTTTCCCAAACCTGTTCATAAAGTTCACGATTAGTGAGAGGAAGTTCCACAGCCTCTCGCACTTCTTGCTTTTGAGTATCCAACCCACCAATATCTGAATAAGAGACGTCAGGTTTTTCATCTGGTCGAAGCATTTGAATAGAAGAATCAGATTCTGGTGGAAGAACATCAACCAGAGCATTGCTGTATTTATGCAAAGCAACGCTACAACCAGGCTTTAACAATTCACGATCGAGGATTGAAAGAACACGAACAAAATAACTTGAACCTAAAAATTAAATAAAAAATTTTTGAATTATAAATGACAAAAAATTTCAAAAAAATCCTAAAAATAAAGACCTGTAGTTGAGCTAACAATTGCATGATCATAATCAACAGCTTCGAGAAATTGGCCAATAATTAAAGGAACAGATTGAATACGTTTAACCTTAAAATTAAAGTAAAAATAATTTTAAAATTTCAAAAACCTCTTCCTGTGCATGAACTAATTCTTTCTCCAAATTACGCATATCCTTTTTGAGATACTAAAAAAAATAAAATTTCTACACAATAATTAAACAGAAAAAACAACAAAGACCCAATCTCTAAATATTTTCTATAATATTATTAAAAAACCCCTACAAATTCCATAACATCCAAATGTGCCAATTTATTCTCCAATTTCTTTAACGTCAAATAATCATCTTCACCAATAAGTGTCTCTATTTCACTTGGAATAGTAGCATCAAGATCTACTGGTGTGTCAACTTCCATTTTAAAAATATTGAAAGATTTTCTAAAAACGTGAAAAATTTAACAAAAAAATGAAAATTAATAAAATCAAAAAATAAAAATCAAGTAAAAAAAATTGTTCAGTCATCATTTAGATATTTCGTATTAAATTTAAGAGAATATTCAAAATACATAAAACCTTAAAATATTCAAAAGGGTAAGTACAAAAAGGTAAATAATGGAATATTACTTGTTTGATCGCCTCTTTTAACTAGTTTCTTCCTTTAATCGGTATTTTTACAAAAAGTTTATTTGTTTTAAACTAATTTTTAACATAAAATGTGTTATCAATTTACTTTTTAATTTTCAAGTAGATTTAAAGATAAAGTAGTCTGCATTGTTTACTTTTCGATTTTATAGACACACAGTATTTTAAGCCCGCTGACACACGCGTATAAACTCCTTAAGGGCATTTTATCCTACGAATACTGAATTGTCCTCTTTTACCCGGATACTGAGTCGGCGATACTTAATCGTCCTTTACCGAGTTTTACCCAATTCAAAAATTTAAAAAAATATTTTTCTACTTCATTGCTTTACTTATTTTTATTCTTTGATTCATTAACCAACTATTCTGTAATCAAAAACAGTTATATTTTATTTTAATTTAAGTATACACATTACTTTATTTATCAGAGAAAATGGCTCAAAAATTATTTAAAAAATATTTTTGTAAAATTATCTCTTTTTAATTCATTTTTCTTATCTTTTTATTTATTTATTTATTCCCTCCACAAAAATATTTAAAAGTAAATAATTTACCAAATATTTTTATCATTTAAATATATTTACTCGTTTTTGCAAAACATTTTCCCTAATTTTTAATATATATATATAAAAAAAGTTACTTTGCCTATAAAAGTAGTGGTTTTAGCTAGAAAAAAGTCCCACACTTTCCAGAGTTGAGATACGGGCTTGAAAGTTTGACATGTCCGGAGTCAAATTTCATGTAGTATTCAGGAAAATTATGACTTTGGGGGTACCTCTATTCCTTTGTACCTAAATCGTGTCGGTACCGAGGATATCTCCGGAACGGATAAAGATAGAGAAAAAGTTCCGCCGGGAGGGCGTTGAAGCTTGATTTGGAGATGATGAAACCAGAAAACCCGATGTCGAAATGTCAAGTCTAAAGGTCGATATGCCTGACACAAAATTGGTTTTTCGGTAAAATGTCCGATTTTTCGGAAATGACGAAATCCTGGGGGCATATCTTATAGGTGAGAGAGAAAATGTGATTGATGGATGAAATTTCGAGTTGAAACAAGGTAAAGTCGAAACTGAAGCAAGTTTCGAGTTGAAGCAGGGGAGGTTGAAGCAAGTTTTGAGGGGTCGAACTTCGGGATCCGGGTTTTTTGGGATTTTTAAGTATGGGTGAGTAGGTAGTCGTTTGAGAACTGGGAGTAAGGGAAGTTAAATGGGAAAAGGGATAACGTCGAAAGTCGAAGTTCGGAGTTCGAACTTCGAAATCCGGGATTTTCGGGATTGAGAAGCATGGTCGAATGAGTACTCATTCAAGAGGGGATATCGAGGGGAGTATAATGGGATAAGGGATGAGGTTTAAAGTCGAAGGTCGGAGTTCGAACTTCGAAAGCCGGGATTTAGGGTTGAGATAAATATGGGAGTGGGTAGTCTTTCAAGAGGGAATAATGAGGGGAGTTCAGTGGGGTTATTAAAAATGTCGAAACTTGAACTGTATAAGTCGAAGTTCGAGATTCGACATTTCCGGGATTTGAGATTGCAAAGGAAAAAAGGGATAACGTCGAAATTTGTTAACGGAATTAACCAAAAACGGAATTAACCAAAAAGACTAATTTCAAAGTTTGTAGTTTGAAATCCGAGATTTGAGTCTGGAACTGATATGGTTTTTGGGCTAACTTTTCGGGGACTTAATCTATCTAAAACTTATCCCGACCACAACATTAATAGACCCCTGTATGTGCTTCACTTTAATAGTATATTTGCCTTCATAAGTATTGAATACAGTTCAGTATATCAATTTAAATTTCCAAAAGTCTGACTGAAAGTGGAAGGATGGAAGGATGACTGAAAGTGGAAGGATGAGTCCCAAATTGGGAAAGAGGAGGGCCGAGGGCTCGAAGATTGAATTGTTTTAGCTCCTTACCCATGCCATCCGTGGAGTTTTAGCTGCTGAGGAGGAAGCCAGGCATGCACTTCTCATCGTTATAGGAATAGGATAATGTTACTAGCCAAGAACCCAGCGACCGTTGACTCCGCGCGAGGCGCGTGCCGCAAAACCCCGCGCGAAGCGCGGGGTTTTGCACAAGCGCCTCGCCTAACCTCCATAGGTTTACGTTGACCAGTTTTATCCTGTTTAACCTGGCTCAGGCCCTTGCTCTCCCATCTAAAAGGGAGGGCGAGGGGCCGAAGGCCGAGCTGAACACCCATCTAAGAAAAGTGGCGAGGGCCGAAGGCCCAAGCTGACACTCATCTAAAAGGGAGGGCCCCCTCGCCCTCCCAGCTAAAAGGGAGGGCGAGGGGCCGAAGGCCCGAGCTGAACACCCATCTAAGATAAAGGGCGAGGGCCGAAGGCCCAAGCTGACACTCATCTAAAAGGGAGGGCCTCCCTCGCCCTCCCAGCTAAAAGGGAGGGCGAGCCCTCCCAGCTAAAAGGGAGGGCGAGGAGCCGAAGGCCCGAGCTGAACACCCATCTAAGATAAAGGGCGAGGGCCGAAGGCCCAAGCTGACACTCATCTAAAAGGGAGGGCGAGGAGCCAAAGGCCCGAGCTGAACACCCATCTAAAAAGGAGAATACAGAGGTTCCAAAATTTGTGGGGTGGAGTACCGTATCCGGAAAATTATGGTAGGGAGAGGGAAAAAAGATTGACAGGTGAAATTGGTGGCAGAAATTGGTGAACTTTTGAAATTTTGGTTTACGAAGCAAATTTGCTTCAACTATGGAAATTTTCTAAACTTGAAGCAATTTGCTTCAACTTTTCAAAGTTTTGCTTTTTAGCTGACAAAAGTTGAAGGACGAGTCCCATTGGGGGAAAGACGAGGACCGAAGGCCCGAAGTAACAACCAACTTAAAGGGAATCCGAGATGACACCCGTCTAAAATTGACACCCATCGTCTTCCCTAACGTGGGGAAGACGAGGGCCAAATGATCGAAGTGTCTCTAAGTGGAATGTTAAGTCCTAACGAGGGGAAGACGAAGGCGAGGGCCGAAGGCCCGAGTTGGCTGAAAAGGCCCGAGTTGGCCATCCAAACTTTCTAGCAGCGCGCGAAGCGCGCCCCAAAGCCGATAGGCTTTCCAACGGGCAAAACAAAATAAACCGCCAGAGTATCCTAATAGGCACCCAGCTATCCGCAGCCATCAGTGGCCAAACCCATCGCTAGTTATCATTTATATATTTTTTAGAATTAATTAACACAATTTATTTATTTTACTAAAAAAAATTAAAAATAAAAATGTCTGCTGAGGATAAAATTTGTGAAAATATATTTAAGTAAGTGTTTTGTTTTTATAAAAATATTTTTGAAATTATGAGGCTAGAAATTGTGGGGGGAAAATTAGAAAATTCTTTTTCGAAGGATTTTTTAGTTTTGGATATAATTTTCTTGGGTTAATTGTGTAAATATATAAACCACACAAAAAATTATATTTTTTTAAATAGTGCCCCCTTTTTTAAAGCCATTCCCCCTTTTGGTGGGTCGGAAAGGATCACCCTGCTCTCTAGTTCATACATTAATTTAAAAAAATATTTATTTTATTCTAGATATATCGAATCAAACAAAAATTTATGGATTGAACGTTTACGTGAGGCTGTTGCAATTCCAAGTGTTTCTGCAACTGCTGAACACCGACAGGATGTCTTTAAGTAAGAAGAGAATTTTACAAAAATAATTAAAATATTTTTTTCTTTTTTTAGAATGATTGAATGGACTGAAAAAGTATTTTTTAATTAATTTTTTTAATTTAAACAAAAATTCTAAAGATGATGACAAAACTTGGAATTTCTTGTAAACAAATAGAAAACAGTACCCAAACATTGCCTGACGGAACAACAATTCCCCTTCCTCCAGTTCTTTTTGGGACTTTGGGGAAGGACAAAAATAAGAAGACTTTGCTTATTTATGGACATTTGGATGTTCAACCAGCCAATTTTGATGACGGATGGTAAATTAAGAAATATATATTTTTTTTTGAAAATTTTACAAAAGTTTTGGACGTTGAAAATTTTATGTAAAGGGATTTGAACTAGAACCTCTTTGTTTTCAAATAGGGTAGCACCCCCGAGCCTCTTTTTGTCGTGGTAGAACCTTCGGGATTTTTACCTAAAAATTCGTCGGGGGTTTCGGGGACCGAGTGCACAAGGGACAAATAATTAGGGACTAGGAATACCTTTAAGTAGGGTTATTTTGTTAATTTTTACCTGTGGTGCTCAAAATTTATTATTCTCCATACATATGCCGCCACATAAAATAAACCGGTCATAAACAAAACTTTTAATAAAGTTTTGATACTTTTATTTAAAGGAAAAAAGGAAGGACACAAGAATCAAATAAAACAAAATTTCTTTTAAATATTTTTTAGGAATACCGAACCTTTTAAATTAACCGAAATTGATGGGAAATTATTTGGACGAGGTTCTACAGACGATAAGGGTCCAGTACTTGGATGGCTTAATGTTATTGAAAGTTTACAAAAATTGGGAATTGAAATTCCGATTAATTTAAAAGTTTTTTTTAATTTTTTTGGAATTGAAAAGAAATTTTATTTTTAGTTTTGTTTTGAAGGAATGGAGGAAAGTGGCTCTTTGGGATTAGACACAATTTTAAATAAATATAAAAAAGAATTTTTGGAAGATGTTGACTTTACTTGTATTTCTGATAATTATTGGCTTGGAAAGGAAAAACCTTGTATTACTTATGGACTTAGGTATTTATTTGATTTTTAACTTTTAAAAAATTAATTTAATGTTGAACATTTATAGACGGTGATTAAATCACTAAATGAAATTGAATTTTTGTTAGTTTACTAATAAGCAAGTCCTCAGTCTATATTAGAGATAGGGAACTCATTTAGAATATATAGTTATTAAAAACTCCCCACATCAGGAGATTCTACCCCGTTACTAAACTTTTAATAATTCTTTTAAATAATTTTCTCTTATTTTTAATTTAATTAAAGAGGAATCTGTTCCTATCAAGTAGAGGTTACTTCTCCAAAACAAGATTTACATTCTGGGACTTATGGAGGGGCAATGTTTGTTTTTTAATTATAAATTTGGGTACTTCTCGGTTGTCCCCTTAAATTTTTTTGCAGGCTCGTAGTGGTGATTAGAAAACGATCAGTATGAGAATTTAGTAAATCTCTATAGAATTTGAATGGAAATAACCCAAAAATACCAAAACCGAGAAATACTCAAGTTAATACTAGAGCACAAATATAAATAAATTTTTAAGACACGAACCAATGATTGATCTTTGCTGGATTTTGAGTCAATTAACTGACAATAATGGCAATATTCTTATAAGGTATCTAGTGTATATTTCTATAAATTCAAAAAAAATATTTTTTAGTGGATTGGATAAAATGGTGGCAGAATTGACAAAAGAAGAGTCTGAGGTAAACAATTCAACCCAATTAATCGTACAATTAATTGGTGTGCAATTTTTGGGTTAAAGCCCCACGCCTACTTTCATTGTTCCTTGATAGGAAGTTGAAAGAGAGTGTGACTTATGCTGAAGAAAGCAATAGGCTACGCCCCAAGGGCATAGCCTGGAGGCTAAAGCCCCCCCCCCCGAAATGGGGAAAAGTGAAAAATTTGAGGTGGAGCCAAAATTTTGGCGAACACCTCCATTTCAGCCCCCTGAAATCGACCCCCTATCTGCCCTTGCTATTCCCAATTAATTGTACTCTAATAAATAATTGTTTTTAAAGGATTTCTTTTTTTTCTAGCTTTATGACAAGATTACATCATTTGACATGGTCGGAGTTTTATTTTTTAAATTCAAAAACATCCACTTTTAGGAGGCATTTCAAAAGGATATTGGAGTTGGCAAGTTAACTTCAACAAATCCAAAAGAAATTTTAATGCGTAGATGGCGTCAACCTTCACTTTCTGTTCACGGTAGGGTTTGAGAGAATTTTTTATTTAAAAAATAATTTTTTTAGGTATTGAGGGGGCTTTTTATGGGAAAGGAACAAAAACTGTTATACCAGCTAAAGTTATTGGAAAATTCAGCATTCGGTTAGTGAAAATATAATTCATAAAAAATTCCAATTTTTATAGACTCGTGCCAGATATGTTTCCAGCCGAAGTAGATAAAGTTGTGATTGCTCATTTGACTAAAATCTTTGCTGAAAGAAATACTGCCAACAAAATTAGGTAAATTAAAAAAGTTTTACAGAAAAATATTTTTTCTTTAGAGTAATTCCTAGCGGCGGTGCTTTGGCTTGGTTGGGTGATTTTAGACATGCACATTATAAAGCTGGGGCTAATGCTGTTAAAAAAGGTTTTTTGAAAAGTGATTTTTTTATTTCTGATTTTTTTAAAGTTTATGGAGTTGAGCCTGATTTTACTAGAGAAGGTGGAAGTATTCCTGTTACTTTGACATTCCAAGTTTATTTTTAATTTAAAAAAAAATTTTAAAAATATTTTTTGAAGAATATTACTGGAAAGAATGTTATGCTTTTGCCTATGGGACGTTCTGATGATATGGCACATTCACAGGTTTTTTTAAATTTAATTTTTTTAATAAAAATTTTTTTAGAATGAAAAATTGGATGTCTACAATTACATAAATGGAATGAAAATGTTTGCGGCTTATTTCTTTGAATGCGCGAAGATTTAAATAAATAAATTATTTTAAATTATAGAAGATATTTTTAAAGACTAAAAGTATATTTTTAATTTAATTTCGTAAAATCTTTATTTAATTTTAAAATTTTTAAGAGATTTTTTTATTTTCAGGTGTAGACTACTTATCAATTTTCAAATGGATTGTACAAATTACAAATTGGAAATGAATATTTGTACTATTTTTATACCAACAAAACATTGGAGAATCTCTTGCAGGTTCTTTAGAAAATATAATCCATAATTTACACAACCAATTTGGTAACCTATCATCCTACATCTGAAAATAATAAAATACCGTTTAAGAATCTTAAAAATGCTCATTTTAAAGCTAATCCATCTGCCGTACGCTCATGATTGAGCGATTTATCTACATACTCCAGACCTTTCTCCAAAAATCTGTTTCTATTCTCAGGAGTAATATTACATTAGCTGTTTCAAGGTGGAGTTCAGCAAATGATCGTAATAGTTCTTCAGCATTTGTTTCCAAAAAGGGCGAATTTCATCGAGAGGTTAATTTTCGTTTAACTACATAGTATGTCCACAAGCAAGTCGAAAAATTTTGATTGTCAAAATTAAAAAAATAAATGCAAACATACAATCTTGTGAATAGATAGACATGACTAGACCCCTACTAAAAAAGTTAAACGAAAATTAACCTCTCGATGAAATTCGCCCTTTTTGGAAACAAATGCTGAAGAACTATTACGATCATTTGCTGAACTCCACCTTGAAACAGCTAATGTAATATTACTCCTGAGAATAGAAACAGATTTTTGGAGAAAGGTCTGGAGTATGTAGATAAATCGCTCAATCATGAGCGTACGGCAGATGGATTAGCTTTAAAATGAGCATTTTTAAGATTCTTAAACGGTATTTTATTATTTTCAGATGTAGGATGATAGGTTACCAAATTGGTTGTGTAAATTATGGATTATATTTTCTAAAGAACCTTTAAAAGATTCTCCAATGTTTTGTTGGTATAAAAATAGTACAAATATTCATTTATAATTTGCACAAGCCACTTGAAAATTAATTGATAAATAGTTACACCTGAAAATAAAATAATCTCTTATTTAAGAATTTTTATTTTCTTGAAATTTTTTTTGATTTTATATAAGATAAATGTGTTTGATTTTAGAAAAATATTGAGTGTCTTCATTAATACATTTGATGTTTATTTAAAAAAGTTGATTAAAATTTTATTTTTCTCTTATAGGGTAATTGTGTCGGATCCAAAGATTTCAGTTCGAATCTGTTATTTTCGAAGAAATGAGTATTCCCTATTCCAATCCCCTTTTAGAGTTTTGCAGTCTCATTTTTCGTTCTTTTTTAATAATATTTAATTTTTAGAACAAAAAAATGTTAAAATTAAATAGATTATTTAATTCTTATTTTTGTAGACAATCTAATTTTAGAGCTTTAACTTTTTGTTTTGTTAAATTTTCTAGTTATAATAGAAATTCGTCTTCTTTTGAGGTTTTTTCTTTATTTAATTTTTATTTTTTGTTAAATTATAGTTAATTGAATCTAGTAATGAAGTTATAAATCAAGCAAATGTTGGTATAAAATATAAAGGTATTTTTAAAGTTTTTATAAATAAATTTTTTGTTAATTGTAAAGACCGTGTAACTAAGATTGCCGTTTTCGAGTTGGGCCGATGGTAGAGGCATTTTTTTCGGGCTTGTTTTTATCGAGTCGGGCCGTACGAGTCTTCGTGCCAAACATATAGGCCCGACTAGATCTTTCGGTCCGAGTCGGGCCATTTTGGTAACCCTACATGTATCTATCCTCTACCCTTTATTAAAACAAAATAAAAAAATATTTTTTAATTCCAAAATGCCATTAAAGTTTGTAGATTGGAATTTTCAATTAAAGATTTGTCCGCAAATCTTTGTCCGCAAATTTATAGAATAACTTTTTTAATTTTTAGGGTCAATAGAAGCTTGTTTAATTCAAGAAGAATTACAGCTTGGAGAAAATAATATAATTCAAATTTCATTAATACAAGGGAAATCTGGCAAAAGAACAATTAGTTTTGCAAGAATGTTTAAAACAGAAAATTCTGAATGGAAATATTTACGTTTACCTAATTTATTGATGCCGACTGATGCTTACAAATTTGTTAGAGCTTTGGATAGAATTATTATTGCTTGTAATGGGGAAAAGGTTTTTGATGAATTTAGTAAGGTTTTTTGGGGAATAAAAAATATAAAAAGTTTTTTTCTGAAACTGGGTAATACCAAGGCTGCCCCCCCCCCTTTTTTATAATAATAATATAACGTCTTCTCCTCTGTCAAAATTCTAATGAGCAATTGGTAATTCTTCGGCTGGCGTCCCCTTTTTTCTGTTTCCCTGACCATTTTGGGCTTTTTGCTTGACATATAATTTACGATATGACTTTCTTTTTTTCGAGCCTTTCGACTTGGCTCGAAGAGCTCTTTCTAATGGATTTAATTTGTCATAGAAAATGAAAAAACTAGAACAGAAAAAAGGGGAGGGGAGCAGCCTCGGTATTACCCAAAACGGTCGAAATCTTGATTTTTGTAAAAAAAAACTCGGGAATTTCTCTAAATATTTTTATTTAAAATTATTTTAATAATTTTAGATTTAAACAAAAAATTAGCATTTGAAGAAATAATTACCGATTTTTATGATATTTCTCTTATTTTATTTCGAAATGAGAAAGGCCAACTTGGATTTAAATTAATTAAAAAATTAAAGTCAGAAAATAAAATAAATTCAATTTTTATCCCAATTAATTCCTTACTTTGGATTCGAAAAATATTTGTTAAAATACTTGAAGAATTTGATGGAAGTGAAAAATTAAAAGAATTAAGGGTTGATTTAAAGGTTTTAAATATTTTATATTTTCTACTTTTTTTTATTTTATAGAACTTTGAATCTAATGAATTTATAGAACAAATAGATGTTGTAAATCAAAAAGGTTTTTTATTTTTTATTATTAAAAACGGGACAGATGAAAATGTATCAGTAAAAAATATCAGTTCTGAGCTGGAGCCGCTTCCCTTCTTGAGCTGGGGGAAAATGAAAAATTTTGTGAGGGAAAATATCAACAAAATGAATTTTTTTCCACCTACAACCCCCTTCACTTCTCATAATTTTCACCTCCAAAATCTTTAAATAATATCCACAAATATATTAATTTTTTTAAATTTTTAGGAGGGACAACTTTGGCTTCAGATGAATTGAAACTTGGGGAAAATAATAAAATAAAAATTGAATTGAGAGAAGGAGTGTCGGGCAACAGAACTATTCAAATAAAGAATGTTTATAGATTACAAAATGATAGTCAATGGAGAGATTTATATTTACCTAAATTGTTATTGCCAGATGCTTTTAATTTTGTTAAGGCTTTGGATAAAATTATTATTGCTTGTGATGGGGAACGGGTTTTTGATCTCTCAAGTAAGTTATCCACAATTAATTAAGCCCCAAATTGTTCCAAAATATTCGAAAATATATTTTGGGGAAAGTTTAAGAGTAGGATTGTCGATTTCACCATCTTCGATTAACTGAAATTGAAAAATCGTCGTATAATGGAACTCTCGCAGGCGAAAGCCCGCCTGGATACACCCTTGGAATCCAGGCAACGAAGGATTTCGATTTTAGTGCCACAATCGAAAATTTTCTCAGCCTGAATCGAGTCCTTCGATTAACAAAACCGAAAATTTTTGGATCTGTTTTAAATTAGCAATTCTGTTCTGGAAAAGTTGAATCAAGAAAACCCCTAACACTATTAATACCAGGATTCGGATTCGTACTTATTTTGGAAGTACAGTACTTACAAATCGACCTTCGTACTTCCAAAATTAAAAATGTACTTATTTGTAAGTACGTACTTACAAATAGACTTTTTGGTTAAAAAATTAAATTTAACATTAAAAATTCCAAAATTTTCGCCTGCGGCGCAAAAAATGGAAGAAATCTGGCTTATGGACCCCCGAAATTCTCAAAATTTTCGCCTGCGGCGCAAAAAATGGAAGAAATCTGGCTTAAGGACCCCCGAAATTCTCAAAATTTTCGCCTGCGGCGCAAAAAATGGAAGACTTTTTAGCAGTTTCGGCACTAAAAAAGGTTTTTGAAAAATTTTTTAGCGTACTTACATTTTGAAAATTTTTCCCCCTGTGTACTTCCAATTTGAACTTTTTGTACTTACACTTGACATTTTCTCGATCCGAACCCTGATTAATACCTATATTATTATTTTTAATTTAACAGATGTAAACAAAAAATTAGCTTTTGAAGAAATAAATGCAAATATTTATGATATTTCATTAAATTTATTTCGAAATGAAAGAGGGTTTCTTGTATTTCAAATTTTACAAAGAAAGAAGACAGAAAACGGAAAACCTCTTAAAAAAGAACGTTTAACTTCACAATCTTTACAAATTAATTCTTTACTTTGGATCAGAGAAATAATTGCTAAAATGATTGAAGAATTTGATGGAAGCAAAACTTTATTAAAATTACCAGTCGTTAAATTCCCTTTTATTGTTTATCAAGAAAATTGTTTTGATTAAAAATAAACTAAAAAATTTGAAAACAAGCGCAATTATTGTGCAATTTTAGTGCCGCAGGCGTTTTGAACTTTCAAAAGTCGATGAAACTCAAGGTGGATCCACAAAATTCGGGTCCAACTTTAAATCCGCTAAGTTGGGATTTAAAACTCGATTTTTTAATTTCGGTAATACAGAAAACCGAAATAATCATTTACCGAATCCTAATCCTCATACCGTATATACTGTATTAATTACCCTGGGTAATTATTGTTTCGATCTCTCGCTGGAGGGGGTAATAAAAGCAGGTGGGGTAATTATTTGAGGGAGGGCAATTATTATTTCGACCTGTAAATTTTTATTTTATCGTAAAGATATGAACAGTAATATACAATATGTTACCGAATGCAGAGATAAATATTAGTAAATTTTTACAGATATTTTTTATTCCCTTAATACTTTCATATATAATATACCCCAATACGGTACAATAACACCAATGCTTCCTCCCTGGGAGATATAAAGACACGATGGTCATGTATAAAAGTATGTATGATTCCTATTTAAGGAATATACCCTACATTCTGTAAATATACTTCTTATAATATGACTAAAGACAGAATATTGATCCATAAATGCTTAAAAATTAAAAGTATCCGGGTTATCCTCTCCAAATCCTTTTATTTTCTTGATTAATTTTTTATATGATCCTTAAAATGCCCATTGTTAAAATCATAATGTTTTTAATAAATATTTTCAACATTAGCTTAGAAAAAATAGGGGGTAATTATTTGAGGGAGGGCAATTATTGTTTCGATCTCTTGCTAAAGGGGGTAATAAAAGCAGGTGGGGTAACTATTTGAGGGAGGGTAATAAATACAGTATATACGGTAAGCTAAAAACAACCATATTCTAGCTGTGTTGAAAACAAGCCGTTTTGGAAACTTTTATTAGCGGCGTAGGCTGGGCTTGCTGTATAGGGAGGGGGATGTGGGAATGCTCGAATTTTCCTTTTCTCCAAAATGCTGTCAAGGCTTCAATCTAAAAGAAGATACAAACGCTTAAATTAATGTTTTTTGGGTTCGCCAACACTAACATGTATTAATAAGAGAGAACTCATCTTTCAATTAAAATGAATACACTCAATATCTTTTTAAAAATTAAACACATTTATTTAAAATCAAAAAAAAATTAAGAGAGGATACATATATAGAGAGAGAACAACAAAAATGAGTGTTTTTAAAAAATCCAAATAATATAATAGTAATTAATAATTACCCGGGAGTGTGGAAAAGAAAACAAGTTAAATATGTAGTTGGTTGTGTGTCGATAATCAAAACAAAATTAATAAAAACATAAAAATGGCAAATGTGAAACGAATATAGATATATTAAACCTTTTATAAAGACAATTCACTTAAAGGAGAGAATCACCAAAAAATTTAAAGAAAATTTTTTGAAGCTCGAAATTTCAAAAAAATCATCCCACAACCGACAGTTTGTTTCTAATTTTTTCGGTTAAATTATCTCTTTTAAATGAATTGTCCTTATAAAATTAAACAAAAAATAATATTTAAAATTTCATTATTAAAATTAACTAACCCTTACAAATAATTTTCTTTTCTTTTTCCTCTTTTTTTTAATTTTCTCCCAAAAATATTTTTCTAATAACCTCACATCATTATATTCAAGTTCCATTAGATTGTTGTTCTGTTGGAATAGAACAAACACTACAAGAATTAGCAACACTCATAAACAAACTAAAAAATAAAAAAATTAGGTTATATTTTCCATTCACCCACATAAACCGTTCGATTTCTGGTGCACAACGGACAAAATCATGTTTCCAAAAATTGTAACGCGGGTTTCTTATGAGCTCAATAAAAGTTATGAGAAGACCCCAAGGATGTGGTCGAAGTGCTACGAGACGTTCAAATAAAATTCTGAAATTTAAAAAATAAAAATAACAGAAACGAGAAGTGAAAGGAGCAAAAAACTTTGGAAAACCTCAAAAATGGTAAAGAAGTTAAACAAGTTAAAACAAAAAAATGTTTTTAAATTTAAAGGACATTCTCGGACTGGATCATTCTCCCAAATAAACAGAATATATAAATTTCTTACCGAGTAATTTGTTCTTGAATTTGTTCAGAATTTGCCTCCAAAAAGAGGTAAAGCATTGTACAACTAAAGTAATGAGTATGCGAGTTTGGATATCGCAATTGGTTGGCAATGGCATTGAAGAGCAAATATTTACCTAAATTTTAAGTTAATTTTTGGTGTTTCAAGAAAAGAAAAATTTTTGGATTCCCTAGGAATCAGTACCAGCCCGTTTTTTCAGTTCAAATATATTTTAAAAACAACTTTCAAAAAAAACCTTCAGTGCAAAGAGAAACAGCCAAATTCTGAAAAATATCCATAAAAGCAGTATGTGCAATACTTTCCATAGAAATTTTTTGTTGTTTCTTTTCATTAATAGAATCAATAGCTTTAACACCAACATACATAACAACAGCATTAACAACACTAATATTATATTTTTGACTAGGTGATGATGACGATGGTTGTTGTTGTAATGATGTTTCAAGAAATGTTGGTAAGTCAGACAAAAAGCTAATTGAAGAACGAGTCTCTAAATAATCATCCAAACGTTTACGCAAATCTTGAGAAATTATATTATTAATTTCTTTGTGGGTTTTTGGATTTGTACTCATTTCTGGAAAGTTTTCAATCTAAAAAAAGGAAATTTTTTTAAAGAAATATTATTTTTAAAAAACCTTCGAAAAATTCTCTGCAAAAGGATCTGGAAGTCTCATGTCTCTGGGATAGGCACTTAAAATCAAATTGCGCAGCTGCACACAATTTGGTGGAATTGCATCGCAGAGAACATAGTGATACTCACAAAGAATTTCTGAAATTAAAAATAATGAATTTATCCACACTGTGTGGAAATGAAAACTAAGAAATGGAAAAGTCAAAAGAATCTCCCCGTATTTTTGAATATTAAGACTCAAGATTAAAAACTAAAAAATACCTGGAAAGTCATGCAGAATGACCAACAAAACCCTCAAAGTTCCTTTATAAATAAAAGAAATAGGTTTTGGAAGTTGAACGTTGCGAAGAAAAAGTGCCAAGAATTTAAGATGGCAGAGAATTAATTGAGTATACATAGCACCAGTTCGACCCAAATCAAAAGAATCAGCAAGCAATCGTCCAATAAAGTTTCGATGTCCAATGATATCAAGCCAATGAAAAGCAAATCCAGGCACACGACGAGGTTGTAGTAAGAAAAGTGTTTGTCTAAAAATATGTGAGATTATTTACATAATATTTTTTAATAAAAATTTCATGGAAAAATAATCGTCACTGTGTTAGTGTCAAGAAAGTTATAAAAATTATTTGGTAATTTATTGGACAGTTAACTAATTATTTAAAAGTCAAAATACCCGAAAGCCTCAAGAATGTGCCACTGGATTGGATCCAAAACTGGATCTGGAGCTGTCAATTCATTAAACATAATAATCAAAATTCGATGGAAAGGCATCCCATTAAAATCAAATTTTCGTTGTTCATGATCTTTGTGGACAGCGCTGCTCAGAATGTTCAAAACCTTTTTGAGTAAATTAACTTTTGTTGAATGATGTTGTCCATCACTGTACTTAACCATTAAACTAAAATTGTTTTTATTAAAAGTATTCTAAAATTTAAAAGAAAAACCAAGTTAATTTAGTAAAGGCATCCAAAGTATAATAACAACGTTGACGAACAACTGTTGATTGTCCAATACAATCATTTTTGAGAAGACGATAGGAAACATCAAAGCAAATATCAGCACAAATCTTGAAGAATTTGGTGATCATTTCATCAGTTGCTAATACTCCATTGTCATGCATCTATAAAAATTTAAAAAATTATTCAGGAATCTCCCAACAAAAGATTTATCAAAAGAAAATGTAGATTCCCAAAAATTTTATTAAATTTTGTGCCTAACTCTATTCCCAGTGTTTAATTCAATTTACCCAATATTACCAAAGAATATAAGTATAAAAATTAAAACAAACCATTTGAACAATACATGCCAAAGCATGTTGAGGATCACGTTGTGCCATTGGAGTATAGCAAATAGTAATCCATTCCCTCAAAATAGTCTCTACTTTGCTTTGCAATATCTGATCCTCATTCATTTTTCTTAATCCAAGATTTGTAGAGTTAAAAGCATTTTCATCAGGAAATAGAGAATTTGAATTCATTTGCATTCTATCACCGCCCATAATTGCTGTTGGATGTTGCAATTGCGATGGATGAGAAGGAAGCATATTTGGCAAAGTAATTGCAGTAGGAGGACGACCATCGGGTAATGATGAGATACTTGTAGCTGGAACAAATGGCGTAGAGAAGGCATTTGTTGGTGTTCGACTTGGGCCACTACCAGCTGCAGGAGTTGTCATTTGACCACGACGTGTGAACTCGATAAAACGCTCTTCAGGAACGAGAGGCTTGAAACCACAAATCTTTCTAAAAAAGTAAAAGGATTAGAAATGTTTTAGTAATTTAAAAAATTCATACGCAGAAAAGTCGTCATAAATTTTAATATTCGATTCTGTTGTAACTCCTTGATGAATTCGAATCATTTCAGGAACTTTCTCCAAAACAGCCGTCAATTCAGTCCCACTTTGGAATGTTCTACCTTCTTTCATAGCCAATCTACGCGCAGCAAATTCAGAATCCAAACGTTTTTCAATTTCAATAACTGCCTTCTCGCAAGAACTTTTTACAATGAAATTTGTTGCCAAAGTTATATTTGCTTCTGTTACAGCAATTGCTGTTTCATCAATCATTTTTGCTTGATCACTTCCAGTTAGAATATTTCCTATAGAATTACAAAGTGCTTGTTTAAGCATTCCAAGCATTGTTGTTGCCAATGGTTCTCGACATGTAATTGCCGCCATTCCTGCAGTCATTGCGCGCATCATTTGATGAGCTGCCCGACGAATGTTTTGCTCTGATGGATCTAGGCAAAAGTCTTTACGGCAGACATGTTCTGTTGCAGTTATTGCAACGCTAATTGCACGATCGGCAATTCCACCTGTTTGTTAAAGGAAAATTATAAAACTTATAAAAATAAAATAAACCAATAAGTTCTTTAATTGCATGTAGAATTGCATTCTTGCAGAGATACTTCAAATTTGGATGCATTTGGAAAAGAATAAGATGTTGTGGAATTGTTGTATTTTGCAAAAGACCTAAACAAAGAATAAATGCATTAAAAATTTAAAAATAAGCATTGATTTCTACGACCACTAAAATTAATTCTATAAAAGAATTCAGTTTAAGTGCAAGGATAAGAAATAATAAGGGATGAATCTTACTAGTACTTTCAATAGTAATTAAAAACCTGATTGAGTAAAAATGTTCAAATCAGCATAATTGAAAGCAGGAATTGCCGGAGTTTGAACAGAACTTCTTGAAGGCAATTGCAAAGCTTGTTGTGAAGAAAAGGCAGGCGATGCAGAAAATGCTGAATCTCTTCCTCCAGTAGACGAGATATTTAAATTAGAAAGCATTTCTGAAGCAGAACCAGGCCTGTTTACTCCACCAAACATAGACATCCCTGAATGGAAAGCCTGTTGAATTGGTCCCATAGATGAAGATGGAACAGGTGAAAGCCCATCCGGTTTGACAGGTAAAAGCTTTGGCTAAAAATAAAAATAATTAAAACTTAAATTTTCTTTAAAAATCTAACCAGTCTGCTAGATTCCTTCAAATAATTCCCAACTTCCACGCTTCGTAAGTCAATACTAAGGTCTTTGCATAAAACTTCAATTTCAAATTTTAAGTTGAGTTTAAGGTCCGGTTCGTTGTGAATTTCGACAAGCACTTTGAGAAGAGAATAAATCCAAGCACACCGAGGTCCAAAAATCTGCAAAATTATTTAATACACTCTGTTCCAAAAGTATATGCCCACCTATATTTTTGGCTTTATCTATGTGATATCGCTATAGATTTTTCTTAATTTTTTTATAATTAAATTCCACCACATTTAGAAACAAAATACAGAAAAAATACAAAAATATATGTTTTTCTTTATTGTAAAAAATCAAAATCTAAATATTTTGTGTTCCAAAAGTATATGCCCACCTTTATTTTACAGGTTTTTAAGAATGGGAAAAATCCACAAAAATTCTTGTGAACATATCTATCAATATAGATAATAAATACAAAAGACATGAAGTTTTTATGTACTCCCATCATCGAGATCTTGAAGCCCAAAAATCAACGGAAAACCAGGAGTAGACGTCTTTAAAAAATATTTTCGACCCCTTACAGGTAAAATAAAAATCTTATTTTAGGCTTATCTAAAAGCCCTTGAAATTTGCTACAAGATAGTTTTTATCTCATAATCTAGAAAAAATTCATCCTTAAGAAATAATAAGTTAAGTTTATAAGTCACATTTTCATCACTTTTTGGGGGCGTTTGAGTGATTTTTAATACCTGAAAGTTTATTACATTTTGTCTTAAAGGTTAATTTTTTTCGGAAAATAAAATTAATGCTATCTTGTAGCAAATTTCAAGGGCTTTCAGGTAAGCCTAAAATAAGATTTTTATTTTGCCCGTAAGGGGTCGAAAATATTTTTTAAAGACGACTACCCCCGGTTTTCCGTTGATTTTCGGGTTTCAAGATCTCGATGATGGGAGTACATAAAAACTTCATTTCTTTTGTATTCTTTGTCTATCTTAATAGTTATGTTAACAAAAAATTTTGTGGATTTTTTCCACCATTAAAAACCTATAGAACAAGGGTGGGCATATACTTTTGGAACACTCAATATTTAGATTTTGATCTTTTTGCAATAAAGAAAAGCAAATATTTTAAAAAAATTTTTGTATTTTGTTTCTAAATGTGGTGGTATTTAATCATAAAAATTTAAGAAAAATCTATAGCGATATCACATAGATAAAGCCAAAAATATAGGTGGGCATATACTTTTGGAACAGAGTGTAACTAGATAAAATGTCGAGGAAGTTATAAAATTCCTTTGGACATATATCAAATACGTATGGGAAAATAAAACATAGACACGACAAAAAAGATATTGAAAAGGATTGTAAAAAACGTAAAATACTAAATTAGGAAACCTCAAGTCACCCAATTAAAAAAATCAAAATAAAATTAAACCGTGCTCTTAGCGCTCGCATTCAGACATTTAACCACAAATGGAATAATATAAAGTAATTCTTGTTGTCCTTTATAGAAAGCTTCAATCAACAAATACTTCAAATCCAAATTTCTAGCCAAAACTGGTTGATCTCTTCCAATAGTAATTATTCCAAGCCAATGTCCAAGATTTTTAAGTAATTGACGATCACCAAAATTAGAAACAGCTTGGCGTTTGTCACTTTTTAGAAGAATATCAATATTTCGAAAAGTCTCTTTACGAATAAATTCATCCAAAGTCTCGTTGTTTATTAGCATCAAAAAAGAATTGTAAAGAGGTTGGAAGTTTTGCTCGACAGTTACACGCTTCATGACCAGATATTGGGCAAACCATTTGTTAAACTCTTCACCACCTTCCTTTACGAGTTCGTTGATTTCTTGAGTCTGAAAATGTTCTATGATTAGTATATCAAGGAAGGATGGTAGAATTTGGGAACCAAGTAAACACGAAAAGTAAGAGGAAATAAATTTTGTTAGTTTTGATCGGGAAAGGGCCCAAATTTTTATAAAGAAAAAAAACCTTTTCCATGAGGTTGTTAGTACACAGATTGTTGCAAGTAAAAGCAACTTTTTCAAAAACAACTTGTGGAGGCTGTTTGACTTGTGTACCATCTCTCTCGGTCGCACTAACAAGAATGTCGACATTGGTGACGTTTAACATAGAATTTCCCTGAAATTAAAAGGGATGGATTATTAAGATTTGAAAAATGAAGAAAGTCCTCTTACCGCATTAAGTCCTCTTGGAGCAGAAAACTTCATCCCTCCAATATTTGGTGGAATTGACAAAGGCTGTGTCGATCCAATCATTGGAATATTAAAGGGCGAAGCTTGAATCATCCCTCCAGTTGGAATAAAAGATTGCCCAGATGTCCAAGTAATATCACCTCTGTCACCACTGTGTGTTGGAGGAAGTTGACTTTTCACTCCAAACGTCAAATAGTCTTTCAGCCCAGAAGGAAAGCGATTAAAACTTTCAAGAGCAACAACCATTTCACAAAATTTTGGATACTTATGAAGAATTGCTCGACAGCTATTTAAAGCAATAATTCCAAAAGTCCAAAGCATACTTCCAGGTTCATCATTTAATGACTCAATAACACGGCGAACGGCCGTAGCAAATTGAATTTGTCTATAACTAATTTAAATTTGTAAAAAAAATATCAAGAAAACTTACTCAACAATTTCTTCTCTTATAATGCCTCCATAGACTTCTGCCGTTGTTCGCAATTCACGCTCAGGGTATTCGCGAAAAAATCTGTATTCGTCAAACAGATTTTTTATAACACAGAGGAGAAGCTCCTAGAATAAAAGAATATAAGTACGTTAGGTAAAGACCAAGTTTTGTCTATAATTGGAGAGAGTCTAATGAACAAGATATTCTATACATAGTACAAGAGAACACGAAAAACGAAGTATGTAAAAAACGATCAATGATGGGGTTTCAGACATTCTAATCGATCGCAGACAAAACTTACACAGAAATATATAACTTACCCTATCCCGAGGATTAGCGGAGATCTTGAATGATTTAAGCTTTGAAATAAATTCTGCAACAGACATCCGTCCATTTGGAGCATAAATCTTTAAATTAAAATAATCAATAAATTCAAAACTAAAAAAGAAAGGACTTGTTGAAAATAAGAATTTGCTTCTTCCTGAATTTCCTCAGCAAACACAACAGTGCTCAAGTCATCTAAATAAGTCAGGTATTGATTTGTTGGTTGTAGCATTTGAGTTTTTAAGTAAAGTCATACATAATTAATTTAAAATTTCTTAAAAAGTACCGCTTAAAAATATCGAAAACAAACGAAAATGAAAAAGAAAATTGGAGAAAATTTTTGAATTAGAAAGGACAAAATGTCCAAATTTAAATTGACAAAATGCCAATCCTATTGGAATGATTTTTCAAGCGATTTTTTAAATCTTTGACAGTATCTTTAAGTTACTTAGGTATTTAGGTATTCCATTTAGGTATTCCATTTAGTATTTAGGTATATTTAGGTATTTAGGTATTGTGACTTTTTGGTATTAAGCTACTTATTTTTTTTGTTTTAAATTTTTACACCAATCAGACCTCCAAAATCAACATTTCCATGGCTAGGAGATCCACTGTGCAAATGAGACAAATTTCGAAAGTCGGGACTTCGAAATTCATTTCCAGGTGTTGAACGTAAATTTCGCATAATTTGATCTCTTTGTTGGAAAAGAGTAAAAGGGTTTGATGTTGGTGTATTTGGAGTTCCAATATGCCCTCCTCCTCCTGCTGCCCCAGATCCAATAACTGGTGTTCCTGCAGATGTCCTTCCTTCATTCATTTTAATAGGCATAAATGGAAGAGCTCCTCCTCCCATGAAAGATGTTGAAGTTGAAGATGTTGATGAAGTACCTGTCCTTGGAATAGCCTTAAAAAATTAATTCAATATTTTGAAAAATGAATAAATTTGTTTTTTGCCTTGCTTCTAAGCAATCCAATTAATTGAGTTAATTCTGTGGCTATTATTGGCCAAGCAGTTGCTCTTGGTTGTAATGCTGAGAATATTAATTGGAAGTTTTCTGTTGATAATGGGTTGTTAGTTCCAAGACCGGGACATCGCCTTCTCATAGCTTGACACAAATCTTGTGCAAATCGCTCTCCTATATATAAAGGTGTTGATTTATTTGTTTCGGATTTTAGTTAGGAATAAGCATAACGGGAGAAGGATAGCTCCAGATCATCCCCAAGGTGGAGAAATTAACTAATTTCTAAAGTCAAAAAGGAGATAAGAGGGTCTACAAGGAATGAATGGAATGGGAATGAAGAGGAAAAGAAAGGTTTTGAAGGAGTCAGACTCCTAACAGATTCTTCACAATTGGTATAAGGATTGCTTAAACAGAATTCTGTTCAGCTACTATCCCTAAAACAAAAATTCCTCTAACCCAGGACAATAATTTAAAGTAAATTTAATTAATTCGTATTTTCTACTCAAAATAATTCAATTCTTTCCTTCTCACCGTGTTCAGTTAATTTATCTTCAATAAATTTATCCAATTTCAAAAAATCCCTTCTCGCAGCCAAAATAGCCATGTCAATAACAAACGGGAATTGATTTATACTCAACAATTCACTCAGCCCTTTCAATTCGTGTGTAATTTCCAAAATTCGGGTTAAACGGCTTTGGTCTTCCGGATTTTGTGAATAATAAGCGGCCATTGAACCAAACAAAATTTGGCGCATTTGGACACGGTGATTTTCGAAATTCCAAGCAAATTGAAATACTGGGACGGCATTTGAATGGCCAGATAATAAAACAGAAACGAGGTATTTAAGTACATGAACACGAAATTGTGTCATTGGCATCTAAATAAATTCAGAAATTATTTTGATAAAATTTTGAAGAATTGAGGAGAGAATTCTGACTGAGGAAAAAATTCTAATTAATATAAAAACAAATTCCAATTTAATAAAAAGAGTTCTGATTTTTAAATAAATTCTGATTTTTATAAATTAAAAAATCAGAAATTATTAAAAAATACAAAGAAAATACACTTCCTAAAATCAAAATTTTCTGTTAGAGAATTAAAATAGCGTTCCTCTTCTACTAATACTTATTTTGTGTTTTTTTCTGATTTTTATTTGTTAAATACAGGGTGACAAGAAAGAAATGGGGCACACATTTTATGCCATAACTTTATTCAAATTAGAGATAATGGGATCAAAACAAGCTTATATGATAGCGAATTAAACAAGGAACAGATATTATCAAAAGTTTTCTAAGTGCCCACACTTTGCTCGGAAATAGAGTTGAATGCGCGCGGAAAAATTTTAGGCAAAAGTTCGCAAGTCAAAAAAATTTTTTTCAGACGGAAATTTTTTTATGAACGGAACATCTCAAACTAATAAAAATGACAGATATTGTACCCCAAAGTCTCTTTCTGATCCAATTGTTACTGATTCCCAAAACCTTTTTTCTTTAATGATATAGTTTGTTATTTGCAAAAGGGTCAAAATCCCCTAATTTTCGTGAATCCTGGGGGTTTTCGTGGATTTACCGGAAATCCTTCAAGATGTTTTACAGCCTTGGATCTGAAGCCACTTTTGGCGTATGGAAGGGATCCTTCATTAGAATTCTTCCTTTTTTAATAAGACCTTTAAAGTGCAGGGCTGGCGTGCAGCCAATTTAACCGGTTTTAACCCATCTCAAATATTGCCACCGTACTCATCGGATTTGAATCCTTTGGATTTAATTTTTATTCTGTTTTGAAGGCAAGGGTCAGTTCTTAATAAAACAGAAGTTTTGAGTCGCTTCGTCAATCACTCGCCCAGAAAATCCCAACCATGTAGGTCCGAACTTTTGCCTAAAATTTTTCCGCGCGCATTCAACTCTATTTCCGAGCAAAGTGTGGGCACTTAGAAAACTTTTGATAATATCTGTTCCTTGTTTAATTCTCTATCATATAAGCTTGTTTTGATCTTATTATCTCTAATTTGAATAAAGTTATGGCATAAAATGTGTGCCCCATTTCTTTCTTGTCACCCTGTATATCTTAGAATTCTGATAATTAAATATACATACACTTATCTGCAAAACACCAAGGAAAAGTAAATCTGGACATAAAGCCATCGGTCCTGGACTGAAAATTAAAAACATAATATCAACACAAAATCCAAACAAAAAACCTTCTTCTCAATAAAGTCAATACTTGATTACTCAAAGCTGGAATATCTCCCAATCGAAATATAATTTCAACTAAATCAAGAGATTTCCACATCCCCACAGCTCTGTTTGATTCGTCTGGAAATACTTTTAAACATCCCAAATTGCCAACAGGATGGTGTGGATAGTCGAGAACGTAGAACGGAAAAATTAAGAAAAAATTATTTTTAGAAAATTTAACTGTTTATAGAGAATTTTTTTATCTTTTACAATAGGAGGACAAATAAGAGGACTTGAAAGAATACTAAGGATTGGGATACATATTTAAGAAAGGAATAGTAAATAAATTTTGTGGAGGGAGGGGGGAGACGTATTTTACCCTTAGATTTTAGTGTTAGAATTGAATTTCAAGGTTAGTAGTCAGAAATACATATTTCTAAGACGTTGTTAATCCAGGCAGGATATATACATTAAAAATGGGGGTATAGGCAAGAAAAGAGAATAATTTAGCTGCCAGGATAGACTAGAATTAAGCAATAAAATGCTAGTATAGTAAATCTTTGGAGGGAGGTAATTTTTGGAGGGGGGTAATCCACGCTATCGTGTATATCAAAGAGATAATAAATTCCTCATAAACTATTAATATTTAGTTAATTACCACATCAGGATGATGAATAATTTGGCTGAGCAAAGAAAGTTGTCCACCTTTATTTCCAGCCCATAATCGATAAATTAGTCCGATAGGGAAAGGATTTGGGGCAATTCCCGTTATTAAAATAATCATAAGTAATTGTAAAGCATTTTTAGATTTGATAAAAAAATGTTGATTATCCAACGTTTGGAGAACTTCTGACCAATCCAACGTTGGGGACTTGAAAATTTTTTTATAAATCTCAAAAAAAAATCTTTCCCGAACCATAGCTCGAATAGCATTTACAAAAATAGCCCCATCATAAGGAATGGCTGTTGAAGTGACATTTGGTCCACTTAAAAGCATATCCCAATTACTTTTTTCTTCATGAGGAAATGAAGAAGAGGAGGAAGAAGAATAATATTCTCCTGTAGATATAATCATCGCCGTAATCTTTTATTTAAATTTTTTAATTTTTTCATTTAATACTAACCAGTCTGGCAGTAGAAATAGTATCTAAAGGTATATCTCCAAGTATTGCTAAAATTTGTTGTTGACATATTTCGATACTAGAAGTGAATGAAGATCCGAGTTTCTGTTAAATATGTATTTTTTATAAAATTTCCAAGATTTTTAGTATTTTTGAAGGAAATTTTAGATTAGTTTAACTTGCACAGGAAAATTTTCGAATGGGGGTCAGGGCCAAAAAAGCCAAAAACTGGCAATAGGTTATCGACCTTGCTCTACACGATCGTGCAAAAGAAAATCCGAAATTTTTGACTACAGTTCAAAATGTTCCCTTGTGAGAAGATAAATTCACAACCCAAATATCTTTTCAGACCCCATCAATCGAGAGTAATAACTCTAAAAGTTTCGATTCCAGTGACCGAGATTTTGTGTTGATTTCTCGATTTAACACCAAAATTAAATACCTCATCACAATCCTCTCCGTCTTTACTGGAATTTATTTTCCTATCGCATTTAATATTTTCATTATTTTTGGAGGGTTTTATTTCAATTATTTTATCAGAAATTTTATTAAGATTTTTGGAATTAAAGCTCATTTTATTTTTAAAATGAGAATATTTATGTTCACATTTATATACCAATTTTTAACAGTCAACAATCAAAACCGGCAATTTTCTAATTTCTCAGGATTAATTGTGAAGTATATTTTTGAGGAAATTTTTGTTTCATAGATGAAACAAACCCGCAGTATTCACAAATTTCCTTCAAATGCCAATAAAAGGATTGGAGGGCATGATCAAAGCAAAAAAATAAAGTTGAGGGAGAGGGGGGGGGGGACAATCAAAGATTAAAATTTTTTTAATTTTTTATATACCTGTATTCTAAGAATAAGCTCGTTGTTAGACAAAGGATCGCCTGGACTTGCCAAATCCATGAAAATTTGTTAAATTTTTATTTAATTTTTTTTATTAAATGTTAAACTTAAAATTTAATAAGTTTATTTTTTAGACTAAAAAGAAGGATTTAAAAATGTTTTATAAATATTTGTCAGGTATTGGTAATTTAATAGATCAATAACCTTCCTTGCCAACATGAATTTACTTTTCTAAAAAATATGTATTGATCTTCACATGGCTTTGGTGCACATGATCGGGGTATAGCACAAAAGGGAAAAAGGTGCGCGGCCATAACGGCGCAAAGCCTTAACTTGCTTCAAAATTACCAAATCTTAACAAATTTAGTTTATTAAACAATTCAACTAGTCAAGCTAAAGAGATTGGTCCAAAATTGATAAGGGCCAGAAAGCCAGAAAGAGATAGTTATGGCTTTGCGCCGTTGTGGCCGCGCGCGTGATCGATTTCTTAATTTTGTCCTTTTTGAAAAAAATTTTTTGAAACGAATTTATTTATTTTTGGCAGAAATTTAAATCTTATTTTTGACGATTTTTGGTCGCGGAGACAAATTAAATTTTTTTGTTGTGATTAATTTTAGTTTTGTTTATTTTGATTATTTATCTCGTCAACTGCAAAAATAAATTCTTTTTAGTTAAAGGAAGATCGAAAAATTCTCGTGCCTTAATTTTTAAATTTATGGCTAAACTGACCTCCATTAAATTTGATTTTAAATTTGTTACTTTCTTGTTTTTCTTAATCTTTTTATTTTTAGAATAGTTATATCAATAAATAAAATTAATTAAAAAAATGTCTGGTGGAGGCAAAGATAGAATTGCTGTTTTTCCTTCTCGAATGTAAGCTGTTTTTTAGATCTTTTTAAAATTTATTTTTCAAATAAAAGGGCACAATCGGTAATGAAGACTCGTCTTAAAGGGGCTCAGAAAGGGCATAGTTTGTTGAAGAAAAAGGCAGATGCTTTGAACTTGCGTTTTCGTGAAATTCTGAAGAAAATTACGGAGGTTTTTTTAATTTTTGATGTTTTTGGAGGTTCTAAGATGCTCAAAAGGCTTACCTTTATATTTAGTTAATAACTCATTAAAAATAAATTTATTTTAGAATAAGAAAAAGATGGCAGAAATACTTAAAGAAGCGGCCTTTTCTTTAGCTGAAGCAAAATTTACTGCTGGCGATTTTTCTCCACATGTCGTTCAAAATGTTTCTACACAGGCTCAATACACTGTTAGGCTTTTTTGTCTGTTTTTAATTAAAATTTTATTTTTTAGATTAAAATGAGGAAAGATAATGTTGTTGGTTTGTTTAACTAAAAATTTGTTTTTAAATAATTATTTTTAGGTGTTTTTCTTCCCGTTTTTGAAGCTCATAGGCGTGAAGGGTTGGATGGGGATGCTTATAATTTGACAGGTCTTGGAAAGGGTGGAGCGAATATTGGGAAGTTAAAAAAGGTTTTTTTATTAGGAAATTTTATTTTTTAAATCAAGAAAAACCCTTTCTGTTACATTTCCTCATAAAATGATTTTTTTAAATTTTTGGTTACTTACAATTAGTTAACGATCGATTAATAGAAAACTTTTTAACAATTAAAGAAAAAATATTTTTATTTGTTTTTTAGAATTACAATAAAGCAATTGAATTATTGGTTGAACTTGCAACATTACAAACTTGTTTTATTACTTTGGATGAAGCTATAAAAATTACTAATCGACGTGTTAATGCTATTGAACATGTTATTATTCCTAAAATTGAAAATACTTTGACTTATATTGGTTTGTTTTTTGTTTATTTAGAAGGCTTCTAATGTTAGTTTAGAGTTTTGGATCAAGTGTGGGTCCAAGGGTAAATAGGAAAATTTTTTGGAAGGGAATGTTTTCCCGGTTCTCCCTATCTTTAAAATTTGAATTTTTCTTAAATTTAAATTTTAGTTGTGCCACTCAATCTGATTAGAATTTTATTTTAACATTTTAAAAAAATTTTTATTTTTAGTAACAGAATTGGATGAAATGGAAAGAGAAGAATTCTTTCGAATGAAGAAAATTCAGGCAAAAAAGAAGAGAGACAGAGCTTTGGCTGAAACTAAAGATGAATATAATGAGAGACAACCAGATGATGGACGTCCAATTCGTAATATGTTAGACGAGGAAGATGATTTGCCTGTACTTTTTACTTAAATAAAGAAGGAAGGAAATGATTAATTTAGGTTTTTAATTAAATTTTGGAAATTAATTATTTAAACTAATTTTGGAGGGAAATACAAACAAAACAAGTTGTTTTCTTAAGATTTTTCAAGTTTCCGATTTATATTTAAGTTGGATAACTTGTTTTTAGATTTTTCCAACGAGAAGAAAACAACTTGTTTTTTTATTTGGGATCCAAGAAAATACATATAAGGTAAAATATTGGGGTAGTGGACGATTTTCAGAATCGCCGTTTCAGTTTCGAGGCCGTTTTTGGGTCAACCTTCTTGCTTCTTAACCGACATAAATATTATTATATCAACGAAAGTTATTAATGGGAGGATTATTTTAGCTAAAAGTTATAATGGCCTCGACCTAAAACAGCCTTTACCGAAATTCTGACATGAGACTTGGAGGCTAAAATTCCGTTACCCAGTTTAGCCTTTTTTTGTGATTTCTCTTCTAAATAAAATATTCCAAAACAAACCTTTTAATATTTTTCTTTTTAAAGAATAAATTTTAGTTTTCTTTAAATTATTTTTTAAATTAAAAAGTTTTCTCTTTTAATATTTCTGTTAACACAAAATTCCAAAAAAAATTATTTTTATTTTTTTAAAGGCCATTTCCAAATATATAAACAACCCCCCAACATACATCGATTCTCTATTCTCGCTTGTGTCTTTTTTAACTAAAATTGTGTAGTAATTTTTATTTATTTTTTCTTTAGCCTTCCAACAATTAAAGCTAGTGAGTGTATATGTCTATCTCTAGTATTTTCTAAGTTTTTTTTAGTTAATTTTATTTTCCTTTTATTGAAAAGACAGGTTTTTGTTTAATGCCAGAAACTTTAAAAATGCTTAACCTGTCCTTTAATATTCGTAAATTTTATTGGCTTAAAAATCTCAGTTTTCCAAGATTCCTTAAGATTATTCTCATTCTTAACTTCTCTTTTTATTTATTCCCTAAATCTTTAAAATTAGGGTTGCCGTTTTCAGTTCGAGCCGACGTTCGGTGCATTTTTTCGAGCTTGGTTTTTTTCGATTCGATCCGTTTTCGAGCTTTTCGAGCTGAAAAACCTTGGCTCGCTCGATCTGTCGTGTTTCGGTTCGAGCGAGCTTGCAACCCTAATTCCAAGCTCACATTTCCTCTCAATCCATTCAATTTAAATATTTTAGATTTCTTTCTAATGTCATTAATTTTCGAATCCCCACCTTTACTGGATGAACGGCAAAGCACAAAATTATTTAATTATTTATTTATTCTTTCCCAATGTTTTGGAATTTTGGCAGTTTTTGGTGTTGCTATTTGGATGGGGGCTTTTGAAGATGGAGGGTTTTCTTGGAGTGAAAACCCTTCAAAACAATTTCATTATCACCCAACGGTTGGAAAAAAATTAAAATTTAATTAAATATTTAATACTCTAATGTACTCTTTAATTCTCTTTTTCTCCCAAAATCTCCCAAATAAAAATTATTTGAGTCTGAAAATTTTTAAATAATTTTCATTAGAGATCGACACGGGACAGGATCCCTTACGGGATTTTACGGGATCTTGTCCCGAAATCCCGTATTTTAAGCGATGAACGGGATTAATCCCGCGTGATCCTGTCCCGTAAAAATTTTTGAAAAGAATCCTTTTAGGATCCCGGGAAAGCAATTTTACCGACCTCTAATCTACATAACTAGTTAAAAATATTTTTATTTTAGTTTATGGTGATTGCTGTTATTTTTCTTCAAGGCGAATCTATGTATGAAAAATATAATTTATTTTTAAATTAATTTTTCTAAAATTCCTTTTTTTAAGTCTAGTCTATCGAGTTTTTCGGTAAATTTATTTTTTTATTTTTTTTTAAATCCCTTAATATTTTTATAGAAATGAACGTAAACGATTTGTTAAAGTAATTTTTAAATAAAAATTTAATTTTAAAAAATTTTTAAAAAAAGTTACTTCATTTATCAACACATTCTGTTGCTCTTTTATTAGTTTTAATTGCCCTAAAGGCTGTTTGGGATTCTCATGGTTATTTTTGAATTTTTATTGGAAATAATTGGTTTTTTGTTTATCCTTTCAACAGCCAATTTTATGATATAGACATTAGTTTCACCGAAAGTTCCGGCTCAGGAAAGTTCCTGCGTTTTTTTGGTTTCGGTTCCAGGATCCGGAACTCAAATTAAATCCGATTCCGGCTCCTATCAAAATTTCAGTTCCGGTGAAGACTACTAAATAGTAACTGACTTTATAGATTAAAGTCTAGAGTTGTCTTTATATTTTTGGGCTTTTCAGAATTTAGGCTGGGATGGGGGGAAGTAAAATTTTGTTATGTGTTGGTAGGATCCCTTCGGTGTTATGGCAATTGTGAATTAGCCCCCAGTTAAGCACTTCCCATCTTTATTTACAAAGATCTCTGGATCAGGGATGTCACGGGTTACCCGAAACCCGATACCCGAAACCCGAAACCCGGCCTTTTTTTCGACCCGATACCCGAAACCCGATCCGAGAAATTTTCTAAAACCCGACCCGAAACCCGACCCGAGAATTTTTATTTTTCAAAACCCGACCCGAAACCCGACCCGAGTTTTCTCAAAATTTTCGCCCGCGTCGCAGAAAAAAGGAAGATTTTTAGCTTAATGATCTTCCAAAATTCTAAAAATTTTCGCCTGCGGCGCTGAAAAAGGAAGAAATCTGGCTTCGGACCTTCAAGAATTCTCAAAATTTTCGCCTGCGGCGCTGAGAAGGGAAGATTTTTGGCTTCTTGGCCTTCCAAAATTTTCAAAATTTTAGCTTTTTTTCGACCCGAAACCCGAAACCCGATCCGAAGAAAATTTTGAAAACCCGATCCGAAACCCGACCCGACTTTTTGCTCAACCCGAAACCCGAAACCCGATCCGAGAAAAATTTTGGAAACCCGACCCGAAACCCGACCCGACATTTTTTTCAACCCGTGACATCCCTGCTCTGGATATATTTAATTAATTTTTCTAAACCCTAATTACAATTCCCCCTCAACAGATTTACATAAAAACAGCCAAGGCGAGGATGACCCTTTACCCAATCTAGTTTCTCTTCATTCTTGGATTGGAATATCTTCTGTTATTTTTTATCTTCTTCAGGTATATTTCCTAATCTCTCCTTCCCTTCCATTTTTTTTAATTTTTAAAAAAGTTTGGTGCCGGTTTTCTTTCATTTTTCTGGCCAGGACTTTCTCAAGATTTTCGCAGAGCAATTTTACCTTTTCACCAATTGGGGGGACTTTTAATTTTATTTGCTTGCACAGTTACAGCTTTATTGGGGATTTCTGAATATGCTGCTTGGCATCATAGGTATATAGAAATTGGAAAAAAATTTTTTAAATTAATTTTCTAAAGTTGTTGGACAATCGGGAAAGAACTTTGTGGACGCCAATTACTTTCTAATTTATTGGGATTTTCATTAATTGGGTTTTCTGCTTGTGTATTTTTATTAATAGCAAATCCACGTTGGAAACGAAGGCCGTTACCAGAAGAGGAATGTTTAAATTCTTTGGTAGATGAAGAATAAATTAAAAAAAATTAATTTTTTAATTAAAAAATAATTATTTGATCCTTTTTTTGAATGTAAAGAGGAATTTGTGAGGATTTTCTTTACTTCTTCCCTCTTTCCTTTTAGATTTTTCTAAAATTCACCCCTCTCAAAATTCGACCCTCTAGTAGTTTATTCTAGGGTAGCACCCCGAGCCTTCGGGGGCTGGAGTTGCCGGATTAGAGCCTTCGGAGGTTGGGGTTTCGGAGGACGGGGTGCTACCCTAGCTTATTCCACATATTGGAGAATGCTTTATTCATTTCCACATTTCGGGCACTTCTTCAAACTCCCTGGAATAATTCCTTTGTATGAAACTTGGCAGCATATTAATTTTAAAAATATATATTTTTGCATATCACATATTTAATATAAATATATTATGTCAAATATTTTTTAAATAATAAATAATAATGATGGCAACTGTGCCCAATCATTTTTTCTTGATTTGTGGTTTGAAAAAACAAAACAATTTGTCTATTCCTCATCTTTTCCATGCATTATTAATAAATAAATCAATGTCAGAAATTGTTTTTTTGTTTAATAACTTTAAATTTGTTATTTAATATAAGTAGAGTTCAGCGGTATCGGGATTTCGAGAAAAACCCGGGATCGGGATTTAGGAATGGTGATCCCGATCCCGATCCCGGATCCCGTCACGGGATCGGGATTAGCCGAAATCGGGATCGGGATTTGGACTGGAGATCCCGATCCCGAATCGGGACCGGGATTAGAAAATCGGGATCGGGATTTACTAAAAAAATTTTTATTTTTAAATTTTCATTTTCTTCACATACGACTCAGTATAATTCTAAAATTGCACTGCGGTGCTGAAATATTGAGTTTAAGTCTCATAGACGCATAATTTACTTTCCGGCTCAGGGGATTAAGGGGGCATATTTGGATGTCAAGATGCCATATTTCTTCCATTTTCTGCGCCGCAGGCAAAAATTTTTCTTACTTTCATGTCTCCCCTCTTCTGTTAACTTTATTTCACAGACTTCTAGTCAATTTATAAAATCGGGATTTGCATCGGGATCTGATGCACATCCCGATCCCGATCCCGGATCCCGGCTCGGGATTGAGATTGGCCGGGATCGGGATATTTATTTCGGGACCGGGATCAGAAAAATCGGGATCGGGATTCGAAAAACCCGGGATAATCCCGCCCGATCCCGACCGGGATCCCGATCCCGCTGAACTCTAAATATAAGTATATCCATACATTTAGTAACAATAATTCAACCCCTTTGGGTGGAGTTATCATTGGGTTAATCTTTAACAAACAGATTAATTTATAATTTAATTTATAATTTTTGTTCATCAATTATTAATTATGGATCTGACCGAGACGGGATCTCGAATAAAAATCTCATTTTTGTCTCGATTCCCGTACAAAACTCCAGTCCCCCAGGGGCGGTATGCAAAAAAGCGGGGGAGAACCTGTAAGTCTAGCAGGTTCTATTACTCGGGTAATAGAACTCTCAGTTGAGGGCTAACCCTTATTCAAAAAAAAATCGACCCAGAACTCGATGATTACCCGCAGCTGCCTATTGGAGAGAATGAGTCCCTTTTTTGCTCAAAAATGGGGTACTTTACGCGAAAATTTATAGTAAATTTATTTTTCAACAAAAATTTTTAAAAATTATATCAAAAAATAGAGCACACTCTAATCTATCTAAAAATATTTAATTTGTAATTTTTCGATTGAGTTTGGATTTATAAAAAATTTTTAAAGAGATGCGGGTAAGATTTTAACCCTCATCGGAGCAGGGTTAAAATCTTACCCGCAGCTGCGGGTTCTATTACCTGCAACCCTCATTTTTGAATAAGGGTTAGAACCATACCCGCAGCTGCGGGTTCTATTACCCGAGTAACTAACCATAGCTGCGGGTTACCCCTACCTCCATTTTTGAATAAGGGTTCTGGGTTAACCTACCCGCAGCTGAGGGTTGGTTAACCCCTACCTCCTTTTTTGCATACCGCCCCAGAGGAACCTCCAATGCTATCTCTAACATTTTTGCCATAATTTCTTAATTTTTGAAAATTCTTAAATTTAAAAAAACTTTGAACAACACCTTTGCCTCTACTAAATTATTTCTTTTAATTAAATATACAGTCAAGCTATTATTCAATGCCCCTTATAATTTAGAACATTTTGAAGTCATTCTATTATAATAAAGTTTAATATTGTTTTAGGCCTTCTTTACTTTTTTAAACACATTTATTTGGTTTTCAAACATTCTTTCTCTAAATAGTGCCAACAGAAAACGTCTAAAATTTAAAATATATTTTAGTAGGTAAAATGTTGTTAAATTGTATTAGACAGCGGCCAGTAACTACTTGGAGATCTGATTATGGATGTGATATTAATGAAGTATTTTCTATGCCTTTTGGGGATGATTTGTGTGAACGTTGTATTCAAATTAAATCAGAAAAAATAAATGAAGGAGAAAGGAAAATGAAGACAAATAATAATAGAAGAAGAATTTTAAATAAAGGTAGAGTAATATTGTTTTTGATATAAAAAAATTTTTAAGAATGGGAGTTTTCGGTTATCATAATTCTAACTTTTTCACAATAGTATTTGGGAGAGTTTAGGGAGAATAATGTGAACGATTTTTACAGATTAAAATAAAAAAATTGTCTTTTAAAAGATTTGAAAAATTTACATATTATTTTAAAAATAAAATTTAAAAACACAAAATTTGTCTCCAAGAAAATTCCTTTACTATTTCTTTTTACTTGCTAAAATAAATTGTTAAAAATATAATTCAACGTCATTTTTAAATTCTTTTAAAATTAATGTTGCCATAAATATATTTTTATTTATTTCCTTCAATCCCCCCAACAACGTTTCTCTTCAAAAATATTTTTCCCTTTTATCAATTCAACTTAAAACAATTTATACCAACTTCTTCCTTCCACTTAAAAATTCTTCTTTAGCTTTTTAGCTTTAAATATATTTCTTCTTTCACACAAATCTACTTAATCTTGTTATTATTATTATTGCTATTTTGTTTTGTTGTAAAGTGTGTGCCTCTTTAACTATACCTTTATTTGCTAAAAAGAATTTTTCTTTAAGTTTTCTCGACCGATCCATTGCCCCTAAAGATCTTCAATTTTCTCTCTTCTCAAAACTGTTTAGAGGGATCAATTCACCAACTGATCAATTCGCCTAATTGACACGAAAGTCAAAAATAATAATTTATTTAATAAGAAAATTCTCTAAATATCATCAGAAATATTTATGTTTTAAACTAATTTATCTGCAAATTCTGTTAGTTTAATTTAATAAGCCAAATTGTTGAATTCCTGACCATTTCAGAAAATCCAGTCACCATTCAGTGATTTGTCATTTCCGTGAATTGTCCTCTCTTTTCTTTCAAACCTTTCCTTCCTTCAATATTGGCCATTCCCGTGTAAAAATAAATCGTTGTCAGCTTTTTCTTTTCAAAACTTTTTTTTCTGGTCATTTATTGGTTTCATTTTACACTTTTAAAAAGTAAAGAAAGATAAATAATATGCCCAAACCTTCCTCTCTTTTTACCAAATTACAAGTCCGCCTAAAACGTTTTCCTCGATTGGATGACGGTTTAGAGTCAACAGACGAAGAAGGAGAATCAGAATTTCACGCTAAAAAATTTCCTAATCCTTTATTTGATGGAGAAATTATTGAAACTACACCAAAAATGACAGGAAGAAGACAAAGAGCTGTTCGCTTCAGTGAAGGCCAGGAAGGAGATTATGGCGGGATTTATACATATACCTAATTATTTTAATTTTTAAGAGGGTAATAGGGGAGGGATATTTAGTACTTTCAAATTAATAAGTTGTTGATTTTTTCGTAAAAATTAAAAAATAACAACTTTTAGATTTTGTGTTGTTATAAAGTAGGGTCAAGTAATTAAGTCAGCGCCGTAACATTACCGCGCCAGAATATACACAAATTTCTTTTAAAAATATTTTCCCCTTTTATTTAGACTCTCCAAATGGTCTGTCTCCACCTTCAGCTCCTCCTCGCCCACCTCTGCCAAATTCATTTCCTTCTGGCAACGCTGCAGCATTACCTCCAAAACCAAAATCTCCCCAACCGGCCCCAAGGCGTTCATTTTCTCAAATAAGCCCTCCCTCAATTTATTATTCACAAAATGGAAATAATTCTTCTGATGAAAATACTTGGATTGCTAGTAATCAAGATAATAAAAATAATTTTGGAGAAAATTCACAACCACCAAGGCCTAATCGAAATAATGTAAGTAATTAAAGAAGGGGATGTTTGGGCGCAGCGAATTGGGGGGGGGGGCGTTAAATGTTAATTGCTCCCCTCAAAAAACTCTAATAAAATTTAAAAAAAAATAAATTTAAAAAATTAAGAATAACTGTCAAAGAGCAAATTCATTATTACGACAAATGAGAAATTCAGAGTCAAATGAGTTTGACGAACCTATTGAATGTAGCAGTAGACAAAGAGCAGGTAATTACATAACTAAAAATTTAGAAATTTACAATAAGGGGATTGAGGATAGAGATTTTTGAAGGAAGAAAGGGGAATTAGAAAGGAATGTCTATGAAAGTAACTTTATTCTAAGAGTCTCTCCCTCCAATATCGGGAATTCTAAATTCGCGGGGAATGGAGGTTACACTAAAAATAAATCCTCGTTACATCTATAATCAAAAGATATCACTCTCCTCTATCTTATCACTCCCCTTCTACTAATTATTATTAATTAAAAGGTTTATCATCCTCATCACCAATTTATTTATTTTTGGAGCATCAAGGAGAAACTAAACGTTCAACATTTCCCCCTAATCTACGTTCAATAGAACATTTAAAAAGTTTATTTTTGCGTTCATTTCCTTTATTAGAATCCAAACATTTACATTCAAATAATGTAAAGATTTATATACAAAAATTAAATTCTCCACACGGATTGTTTTATGAATTGGAGAATTTGGAGGATTTGGAAGATTCTTGTGTTTTAAGGTAAATTAATTGACCTTCACAAAGAGATAAACCAAGCATTAATTCGTATAAGGAGGAAGGGAAACCTTCAGGGCCCGTAGTATAAGACGATGGTTGCTGGTCAGGTGACTACGGGCCCAGGCTGTACATGGCGGACGAAGGCACCTAGTAATAACTGCAGGAGAAATGTAGCAGAGAACCCCCAAAGTAAAGGTTAAGAACAGGGTTGGGCACAGCGGTTATTAACAGATATACCCCCAAGTTTTTGGCTCCTATTTGGTTAACCGTTAAATTTTATTTTAATTTTAAATTTAACCAACCCAAGTTAAAAGGAAGGGCAAATAAAAATACTTTTTTAAAAATGTTTTTTTTACTTTTAAAGACTTTTTGAACAAAATTTGCCTTCTTCGCCTTCATTTAACCGTCGAAATAATGCCCCAATAATTGAATGTCTTAGTGAACCAGAAATTAATGAATGGGGGGATGAATTAAATAAACAACAAATTATTAGACCAGCATCCGTTTTAGGCTCTAATTTTAATAAAAACAAACAAAAAAGGAGAATATTAATTGATGGGGGACATACAAGTGATTCTTCTACTTGTTCTTTTGGGGGAAATCAAACACCTATTTATTATACTACAAAATCGGGATCGAGCACTCCAAGGGAAGAAATTGTTGAACAACACCAACAAGAAGAAACACGTAGAAAGGTATTGGAAATAAAAAGAAAATTGTTGTAGTTAGTGATGGATAAATGTATTTATATCCTTGTAGGTACACTTAATACTAGTTCCAGTTCCGGGATCCGGAGCTCAAATTGGATCCGGTTCAGGTCAAGATTTTGGTTCCAGTGAAATATACTTAATACCAGAACTACATCTCTATCTTCATTCTCTCAATTGTTTGTTTAACCCATATTTCTGGAAATTCAGTTTGATGAAATATGGAGAAAGCAAAGCGTTTAAACATAAGGATAATTCGCCTAGCTTTAAACACTTACGCGGTGACTAAATATAAGGAGAAATTGAAAGCATTAAGTTATTGCCCCAAGTGATAGAGCACCTCCAAACATGTAAGCGAAGTACTTAGTAAGCGAAGTATCTTCTTTCACTGTTGTAATGGAGAGATAAAAACATAAATTAATGAAAAAAGAAAAACAAATTTAACATTTTTTAAATTTAAAAGGTTGACAGTTTAGAACGTCAAATGGCTACATTATGTTCATTAGTTCAATGTGCTCTATTGCCTTATCGAGAAGGAAATGTTAACAATAATTCTGAACGTCAAATGCTTCAATTTGACGGTGCTCTAGCTTTGGCTGATTCCACAACTTCAACAACACTTTCTAATGGATCTGAATGTTTTGATAGATTTAAGAATGATTTTAAGGAATGGGGGCATATAATTAATGAATTGGAGGTGATTAAAGGGGATTTGGATTTACTTAAACATGATGTTCAGGTAAAGGAAGTTTTTTTTGTTTGTTTGGAATTTAAGACTTTTAAAAGTTTGGGATATTTAAAAGAATATAGGAAAAATAATAGGTGCAAACAGGCGGGTCAAAAGGGGACTAGGGTTCGGCACCAAATTCGAGTGAACGAACCGAAAATTTCGGTTCGGATCGAGTTTAAACCGACAACACTAAAATGACTATTTATTGTGTTTAATAAACAAAATTGAATTAGCAACACTAATTGATCAGAGCTCCGTTAGATTTTATAACATTAATCTTTGCATTGGTAATTCTCCTTACTACGAGTTGAATTAATAATTGTTCTTGAGTTAATAATTCCCTATGTTTAGTCCACAACTTTTCTTTCTCAGATATTCCACATTTCGATTTTCCCTTACTCCCACAGCTCAGATTATCTCAAAAATGTACCCAAACAAAAATAAATTTAATTCTTTTTAAAAAAGAGAAACACATTAAATGGAAATGAAATGATACAAGATGTATTAAATCAAATAAAGAGAACAACCAATTTAAATACAAATTTATTTCAACAAAATTTATTTATTACAAATTATTTAAATAGATTATTTAATGTCCAATCTTCTTTAAAAAATTTTGAATCTAATTTAGAGAATACGAGAAGTTCTGTTTTAAATTCTACAAGAAGATTGAAATTAGATGAAGTTAATGAATTAACTACGGCTTTGGGGGAAATTGGGCGGGAATCTGTGGAATTGAAAGGTGCTTAATTTAATTTGTTTGGAAGTTGAAATAAATAAATTTGTTTGGAAAGTGTTTAATTTCACATTAGTTGATAAATTCGAGTTCCCTTCCTTTTTTTAAATCTTTGGCCTAAAATTAACTTTTTCCCAGATCGAAATTTCGAGCCCACCCCAAAAGACCTACAAATTTAGCGAATATCGAGGGATTTTGAGGATTAAGGAGGCCATAACTCTGAATTTGTAAAGATCTCTATCCCCTCCAATCACACTAAATCCGTCGATCCCCCCTAATTCCCGCCAAATACCTGATATTCTCTCTTGATACTCGCTTTAAAAATCTGTAGGTTTTTTGGGTTGACCCCGAGATTTCGAAGGAAATATTCGCTACTAGAATTAAATTTTCAAATTACCCCTTTAGAAGAGTTTAACTCCCTTCCCAGATATGTAATTTATGTGGATTTTTAATGGAAATCTTTTTTCCTTTTTTCATTTTTAATTTCTCTGAATTTATTTTTAATTATTAAAAATATTTTTTAAACAGTTGAAATACCCATTTTACAAAGAAAAATAGAAATGGAAATTAGACAAACAATGGAAAGAATGGCTAGAGAGGAACGTTTATTACAAGAAAAATGTTTTTTAATTTAAAATTTAATTAAACAAAAATTTAATTTTTAAGTGCCGTTGGTGGATGGGTTTTTAAGAAGATGTAAAACATTGGCTAATATGATGGTAATTAAATTAATAAATAATTTAGAAAATATTTATTTGTTTGATAGGTGACAATGAAAAAATTAGCAATAATACAAGACGAAGAACGTCCACAAACACAAAGGAGAGCAATTCCGGGTAAGAGAATTGAAGAAATGGAGAATAATGGATAATGGGGAATAATCTCTATTTTTATAAAATTCTGTTCAGAATTTGTGAAGCGTATGGGGTTATTTGGATGCATCAATGTTTGGGTGAGGGATCAGAAATTTTATGATAAAAAAAAGCTAAAATTCTAAAATTCTTAGAAGTTACTCATCGGGGTTACCCCTACAAAATTCTTGTATTTCTTCAGCTCCTTGTATGTCCCTTAGTCTTTTATATTCGAGTCCACACATTGCTGCGTCTAAAATACCCTTTAAATTTCAAAAAAAAATTTTTTAATTTTTAAAGTCAGACAAATTTCCCTTCGAAATTTCCGTCCCCCAATAACTACTACACAAAAACAAAAAATAAATGAAAATAACAATAATCATCCATTGGATGCAATACTTGATGAATTAGGTGAAAATAATAAACAACAAAATAATGAAATACAAGCTTCGTTTACACTTCGACTTGGAGGCTCTAATAAAGAAAATGGAAATATTTGGGGAAAATGAGAGGAAAAATTATTTTTTTTAATTCCAAAAAAAAACAATTTTCAATTTTATTTAAAAATTAAATAGTTGTTTTTCAAGTAAAGTTTAAATATTAATTAATATATATCAATTTAAAATATATTAACGATTTTTGTTGGCTTTTTCTAATTTTAATTCCTCAAAAAATTAAATTCCTAAAATTTTCCGTAAAATATTAAAACAAAGAAAACAAAAAATATTTAAATTCTACTAATTTTTTTATCAAAGAGAAACAAATTCAGAAGATTACTAGTCCCTAGAAGATCTGGATTATTTTTAAATCGAATAATCTGAATTTTCAACTCAACACACACACTCGATTATGCTTTGGCAAAACAATTTTTTATATTTTCCTTTTCTGGGGACAAATCAATCATTTAATCTTTCCCTCCAACAATTTTAAAGCAAAAACAAACAAATTAAGAGAAAAAATATTTTAATTTAATTTCATATTTTCTTCTCTCATTCTTTTTAAACTATTTTTAATTCTTTGTTCTCTTTCCTTCAACTCATTTTCAAACCCTTCCAATTCTCTAGGGACATTCTTTTCTCGAAAAACTTTGTAAAAAGAAACTTGTCCAATAATTAAATGATTTTTAATTAATTCTAATCCAGCCCCAATACCAAAACCAAAAATAAAAAGTGACAAATCATTTCTCATTAATGTATGGGCTAATTCCGAAATAAAATTACTTTTCCATCGACCACCAACACCGCTATAAATATTTCCTATTTTTTTGGCCTTGAAAAAGAATAAAATAAATTAAAAGTTAATTGAATAAATGGAAAACAAAGAATGTTAATCTGACACAAAAACATTCAAATTTTTAGGTTTTAACTAAAAATAATGGAAAGTTTGAACATGAAAATATGTAAAATTGACGGTAAAATTGAAGTTCGTATACCCTCTTCTTTTTTCTTCCTCAATGTATTAAAAGACACAGTCCCCAGGTTCTGCAATTAACCTATGCCAACGTTTGGTGTGTACCACTACTACTATTCAAAACAAGTTAATCTTATTCCTTTAAAATTTTTTGGGAATAGAAGACCCTACTCACTCAGAGTTATAGTACACGACGCAAGGACCATAGGTCCTAAAAAACCATTTTTAATACTTTGAGGAAGAAAAAGGAGGTGGTACCCGAAACACAATTTTACCAAATTGACTATTTTGGGCTATGAAATTTTATCGAAAAATTGATTGGAATCTACCCTTAACTGGCCATTTACAGTCTAAATTCAATGGGGAAACTTTATTTGATCCTAACTTTATTGACACCTATCCATCTTTCTAAAACTAACAATTATTTGTGTATTTTTAAAGAAAAATATTTAAAAATTAATTCAAAAACAAACCTTTCCAACAACATTCATTTTAATTATTTTCTTCTTTAAATTTAAACCCAGCCAATTGAGCCTGTAAAATTTCAAATTCCAAACGTCGCCTTTCTTGTTTCTTAATTGGTTTTTCGTAAAGATAATAAATAAAACCAGTTGTAACAATAAATGAAGAAGTGTAAGGCAAAAAGGCGAGAGTAATGAATCTGACAATACCTAAAAAATAATTATTTGAAGAAAATTTTTTAAATATTTATGCTTAAAGGTTGTTAATGACTTGTTTTCAAACTAAAATTTTTGATATATTTCGTGCCAAAAATTAACCATTTTATGAAGTTTAAAAAATTATGAGTGATTTTTCTAGAAAAATTACTCCGAACTAGAACCTTTCTTTAGCTAAAACTCAAATCCTAAAGCCATGAAATATGAAACATTTGAAAACCGGGGATACCGCTTAATGACAAGTAGTGAACAAACCTAGTCCAAAGTTAACAAATATAAATTTAAAAAATCAGATAAATTTTTAAAATAAAAATTTCTAAAATTTCCCAACAATAAATTCTCAAAAACCAAGAAAATCCCCAAAATTATTTTTTAAAAACCTCACTCAAATGCAAAATATCCAAACGTCGATTTGTAAGCAAACGGCGATATAAAGGTCTTGTATCGGGTCGCCTAGAAAGTCTGGCCAAACTCAAAAGCATAAATCTTTTAAAAATTAAATTAAAAAAAAACAAAATTAATTAAAAATAATTTCGATTGTATTTTTAACAATAAAAATAAATTTTAAAAAAAATTTCATATTTTAACAACAATTTATTAATTACATTAAATATTTAATTTACAAAAATGAAGGAAAACAAAAGAAGGGATATAAATAATTTAAAAAATATTTTGGGTTTTTGGTTTTGTGAGTTCCAGAAAACTTTTCTACTCCTACTTCCACATAAACCCAAATAGTCTCTTTCATCTCCCTCCATTCTTTTGTTAATTTGTAAGTGAAGCTCTCCATAATAAACAAAAATAGTAATGAAAGTTGATAAATTTATAAAATATTTTTTTCAGTCAGACCTCAATTATATACAAAACTCTTGCAGCCAGAAAATGTAAATTAAGAAAAATATTTAACTAAAATTAAAAAAAATCCATGGCCAACCAAATTGAAAAAAAACTTCAAAAATTGAGAATGTACGTAAATTGAGGTCTGATTAAATAAAAATAATTTTGAAAGAAAATATTTTCGTAAACTATGGAGGGTTTTAATTTAAAAATACTAACTAAAAAATAAAAAATATTTAAAACAAAAATTAGTCTTTTTGGTTCTGAGGCATTAAAAATTAAAAAGAAAAGGCAAGGGAATGTCTGACATGAGCAAAAACACAAACTTTTTAAAATTCGAATTTATTTTGTTGCTTTTTTTATTTCTCCCTCTGGAGTAGCAAAATAAGCAGCATCAATAACATTGAGGAATAATCCCGTCTCTGTTACACCTAAAAAATTTTTTTAAACCTTAAAAAATAGCAAATAAACCTGGAATACACAACAAACTATTATTAACTAAATTCCAATCAAAATTATCATTTTCAGGTATTGGAAAATGCCAATCTAACTAAAAAAACAACATTAAAAATATTTTTAAAAAAATAATTAAAAATATACCAAATAATTATGATTTTCTGTAATTACTGGGAAACATTTTCGAGAATCCATTCTCAATATACACTTTCCTCCTTTAAACAATTTTAAAATTAATCTAAAAGCATTAGATGATATAAAAAATTTTAGGGATAATTTATAGAACATGTATAGAAATGAAAGACGGGACACTTTTCCAAGCCGTCGATTTCGTTCTATTCAAGTAGTTTAAAGTTCTCTAGCACCCAAGGGCGTATTCAGGACTTGCCCGCGGTTTATGTTCGGAACGCCAAAACTTTGGCGCACGCCTAACGTTGGCCCCCCTGAAATCGACCCTCTGAATACGCCTTTGCTAGCACCTAATATGTAAATATTTTGGTTCTGTTTTTAATGGTTTCCAAAAATTTCTAAGAGTGGTTCTGGTTTCTCAAAGATTCTGGTCCCAGTATAGTTAACCAAAAATTCGGCGTTTTAAAATTTTACAAAATAAATTTAAAAACCATGTTTTTCAGTAATCCATTTCTGTACAGGGACAAGACTTAAAGGAGCAATTTCAATTGGAATACTATTTGCAACACATCCAAAAACTCCAGAATATTTATCAAATCCACCAATAACAACAAAACGTTTAGCACAATTTTGGACAATTTTTTCTTGTAATAAACAACCACCGGCCCCTTTTATACCTTTAAATTTAAATTTTTTATTTCAAATAATTTAATTTTACAATTTAAATCGTTATCAACTTCGTCAGCACCGTCAATAGCCAAATCTAAATTGCTAAGTTGATCTAAACAGTAAACAGGCAAATTAGCATTATTTAACCAAACACGAGTCTAAAATTAAAAATAAAAGAATTTTGGATTGAATTTAAAAGAAATTACAAGCGAAAATAATCGAAGTAGATTTGTAAATGAGTATAGAGATCGAGCTGGGTCTGGACCAAGGCCTGGGTTATCGCTGTACTCAGAGTCCAGGACTAGGCATTTTTTGACCTCCCTGGGTTTTTCTTAGACTACAGGCCCAGGGTCCAGCCCAGGTCAATAAATCAAATACAGAACCCAACAGGCCCAGGCTTTTTAACTATTATTTTAGGCTAGGGAAAAATTGATTATTTAAAAATGGAGGTTGTGACGGGAACCATAAAATCTCAATTGATGGAAGACAGAAGGGAAGGTAGAACTTCAACCGTAAAAGTATTGCTGACAATGTTTATGGTTCTTTACGTCGGACATTGGAACATATCAAGAGGTTGTTTTTCTCTCATTTCCAGATAATTAATGGCCTTATTAACTATTTAACCCGAATTTCTTGAAAAGGTCCAATGTCATTAAACTTTAACTTGACAAAAATAAAAATATTAAGAGGGGTTGTTCTTCAGCCACCCCATTCTTAAAATTAAAAAAACCTGAAAAGACGTCGGCACACATTTAATATTTTCCAAATTTCCATTTTTAATTGCTTCTTGTAGCCAATCAATAAAAAACTTCATAGTCGTTCCACTCCCTATTCCAAGATTCATTCCACTCTTAACTTCATCCTCTCCACAAGCAATTGCCGCAAATTTCTTTGCCCGATCAGAAGGTGACAGTTTATCCAAAATTAAATTATTTTCTGTAAAATTTGATGAATTTTTGTGAATTTTTAACATTTTTTGATTGGAAATTGATGTAATTGTTTTTGATGGTCTTTCGTCTTCACTTTCTGTGATTATATTCCTCTCATTTAGATAATAGGCCATTGTCGTCGAACGACGTAGAAGAGGGCGAAAGAGAAGTAATCGTTCGATGTTTACTCTTTTTAAGTTTAAAAATGTCTAGTAGTACACAAACAAACAAAATTTCTAAAACAAAAAAAAAATTAAAAAATTAAAATAAATTTTTAACAATTTTCGGGAAGTAGGCTTCTAAATTTTGGATCATTTCATTGTCTCTAATCTAACTCCATAAAATCTACTATCCGCAGACTACAAAAATTAAAGGGGGTACAGTCCAAAACGGCGCAACGCCAAAACGCACTGTCTGAATAACAGAGCTGCGTCGAAACAAAAAATCTTCGAAAATCGAAATTTTTAAAATAAAAAAAAATATTAAACCAGGGATGGGCCGGGCTATAAATCTACCGATATTACTATAATCCTCCGACAGATTTCCAAATCCCCGATATACCCCAAATCGGGTGATTATGGAAGATCCTCGAGCCAAAACTTCAAGTTTCAGCTACCTAAAGTTTTTTTGGATGACCAAGAAGCCAGATTTCTTCCTTTTTTGGTGCCGCAGTAATAAAATATTAAAAGAAATATACTGGCCAAAAGGGCTGTGCGCCATGACGTTTTGGCGTTGCGTTTTGGCGCTGTTTTTGGCCGATTTTGGCGTTATTGCGTTTGGCGTGTTTTTGTCATTTTGGCGCGGCAAAACGCCATTATTTTTATGATAAAAAATTTGAAATTTTTTGCCTACAGCCTCCCTAAATTCTTAAAATTTTCGCCTGCGGCACTAAAAAAGAAACAAATCTAAGGTCTGGGTCTTAAAAAAGGTTGAATACATTTCTCTTTTAAAAACGTCGATTCAGTCACAATGCAGGTGATTAAAAGTAATTAAGAGGATATTTGAATTAAAATGAATATTTAGAGATTTGATTTCACCCAACAGGAAAAGTTTGGTGAAATTAAGAAGGGAAGAAGTCTGACCATTCTTTACATAAAACAGTCCGCAAAAAGGGGGTGTAGGGATAACGGAAAAGTACCGTAAATATTGTCTAAAACATTTTTAATTGCACTTTACTCTTTGATCTTTTAAAATAAAACTGATGTAATAGAGGTATTAATTTAGAACAGGGCTTCGATTTCTGCGGATTTTTCCGTATTTTGTGATTTTTTGATATGACGATGAGGATTATTTTTAAAAATGCGGATTTGCGGATTTTTTCGATCAAAATTGCGGATTTTTATAAATTCGAGATCGAAGCCCTGATTTAGAAGAATTTACTGAAATTTTTAAAAATAAATTATTAACTTAAAAATAATTATTTTAGTATTTAAATATTGTTCAGGTTTTTATTAAATGTATTAAGAAAGAGATAATCCAAAAGGAGATAAATTTAAAGTTATTTTTAGTTAATTTTTAGTTGAATCCTTTTACAGATATTGAATTTTCTATTCGGATATTTAACTTTTATACAAAGCTTTTAGGTTTTGGGGATTTCGTTTTAGACTTTACTTGTTTGAAATTACTCTCTTAATTTTGAAATGTGGAGAAATTTTTATTTTTCTTCCACCTTCCTCTCCTAATTAGGGTTGTCGGTTTCAAACCGAAACCGAAAAACTAAAAATTTTTGGTTCAGTTAACGAAGAATTTGGTTAAACTGACAATTCTACTACAGACCCTTCTTCTTTTTAAATTTACGGGTGGGGCCGTCACTGTCATTAACACACTTCCTACACTACAAAGAGAGAAAGGAAATGACTTTATTTTAAAGTTTTCCTGATTTAATTATTTTTAAAAACATAATTTATTTGTTTCAATTCCTCCAAAAGAAAAATTATACATATTTATTTTGATTTAAAGGAAAAAATAATTTTTTGTATTCAAATTGTTGGCCTTTGTAGGGAATTGAGGGAACTGAAAATTTTAAAATTTTAATTTTGTTAAAATTAATTAATTAATTTTGGAAAAAGAAAATTAATATTTTTAATAGTTGAATTAACAAAAATAAAAATATTTAATAAAAGAAAATAATTAAAAAATATTTTTTTAAATTTGTATTTAAATTTTATGAATAGAGGCTCGGGGACAGGGCTGCACGCAATTGAAAAAAAAATTCCGCAACTCGCAATCCGCAATTGCGTGCAGCCCTGCTCGGGGAGCTACCCTAATTTAAATAAATATAGAAAAAAAATTAAATAAATTTAATGCTAAATCATGTCTAGTATTTAAATAAACATTTTAGATATTAAAATAATTTAAATAAATGTCTAGGTAAACTAAAACACAGGCTTGGTAATGGATACAGATAATATTCGGATATCCGCGGATATATCCGGATACCAAAATCCAGTAAAACAGCTGGACTATAGCTATTTCTCTCCTTTATCTAGTGCAAAAGGTTAATCGGCGGCTGGGAATGAACAAGCATTTTCAGTAGACCGGACTGATGTGTTAGCCATTACACCACGCCGTCTAATGCACAGCCTTAGGAATTAAATAGCTATATATGCTTTACAATCCGTGTCCATTACTAAGCCTACTAAAACATTTTTATTTTGTAATTGAACTTTTCTCTTCTTGATTTTTTTAAAAATAAAACTGATGTAATTGAGGGAAGGTCTTCCTTTAATATCTTCTTTTAATTTCAAAATAAAAATTCAAAATAATTCTCAAAAACAATTCTAATAAACTTTCTGAATAATAAATTTAAATAATTAAATTCCCCCCCCCCCCCCCCCCAAAAAAATAATCTTAAAAAATCCCAATCCCTATCATCACCATCAATCAAATCACAAATTTTCTTTTAACTTCCAAATAAATATTTATCCTCTATTTTTACTTTTTTTATTTTTCTTTTTGTCATCAATTTTTGTCTGTTCAATTCTTTTTTCTAAATATCCCATAAAATGACTCTTTTCATAAATTAATTTTTCACGTTCTGGCCCAAACGGTAATTTATTTGTGTAATTTATTTTATTTCTTTTTTCTTCACTAAACTGTTCCCATTCATAATTATTAATATCCAAATCCAAAATCAAATGGTAATTATTTTCCAGATATTTTGTGTCATTAACATAGAACGTCTTCTAAAATTAAAATTTTTGTAAATATAAAATCCCTTTTGTCAATTAAACAATTTATTAACCCAATAAACCTAAATAAAATATTTTATTTATTTTACCTCAACAAATTGGTCACTAAAATCGTTTAAATTTAAATTAACATTTATCCATTTAATTTCAATAAAAATTTGTTCCAATCCCAAAGGAATTGGGTATTCTTTACATTCTTCTTCAATCTCTTGAGTACCAATAAATTGTTCTTTTCCAATACCGTTATTTACATAATTTATAAAAATGGAATAACTAGTAGACATTCGATTTTTAAATTTTGATTCAATGCAAATTGAAGCAAGGAAAACATATTCTTCTTAAAATATTAAAAAATAATTTTTTTCATAATAAAATTACAAAAATTTCAATTTTTTTTTATTTTCAACCCCGGTTTATTGGGGATGGAAATTATTATAAGTTAAGTTGATGTTGAGAACGGAAGTATGCTATAAACAAATAAAGGCTCTACCATTATATTCCCTAAAGATAGCTAAGGAGGGAGGGCCAATCCCTAGCTAGTCCCTTTACCCCTAGCTAGTCCCCTTACCACATTTGTGTACTTCTCCCATGGCCTTGCTTCTCTCAATGATTTTCTGGCCCTAACCGCAAAAGAGGGCGCCTTGATTTTTTAAAATTAACGCGAAAATATAAAAAGATCAAAAAACTTCAACACATTACCCGTTCCAATACACAAATGTTTCTGTGTTTCTTCAATTTTTAATCCGATTTTATAATTCAGTCTTCCTCTACATTTAACAGTTTCGTTGGAACAGAGATAAGAAGTGCCAGATTTCTTTTTCGAATTTGAGTAATATTTGAAATTTTTGTAAATTTTAGTTTTCAAAAAATACCAATAATCACCTAAATATTTAATAAAAAATTTCAAAAAAATTAAAAGACAAACCAAAATTTGTTGGGAATTCGATTAAAGTATTTTTGTTACAAGCATCTTTAATTGAATTAATATCTTCTTTTTCTTGGTCTTTGAATCTCTGCGAGTTACTCGTTTTTCCTCTTTCTTAAAATAATTAAATTTTTTATTCAGAAAATTTCTAAGTTCTAAATTCCCCTTTGAGGGAATTTGGAAGAGATTGGATAGTTCTCGGAATCTCTCCTTTTTATTCCAATTCTTAGAGAAAGGAAAATGAAAAAAACCCTTAATTTTGAAAATACTCGGAGCTGTAGCTAAGATTTAAAAAAAGGGTTAAAGTTAGAGCACGTCGAGTACCGAGTAATTGGGGAAAACCCGAGTTCGAGTAATCCGAGTATTATGATCCCGAGTTCCGAGTCGAGTAATTACGCAGAAAACCCGAGCGGTCGAGTCGAGTAACTCGAACTCTACTTTAAAATAATAAAACATAAAATGGACGGCACTACACAAAACTTTAAAATAATTACGATTAACATCTATATTTTGAACATGTTTGCATAATTCATCCATAATTTCTTTATCTTCATCTTTTATTAAAATATAAATATTAAAATATATAATTTAAATTTTCAACATACTAGTAGTCCCTTTAAAAGAAGACGATGATGCTTGATAAAAAGAATTATAACCCGGATTTAATGAAAGGTTTTCTTGGAAGTTTTGAACTGTGCCAGAATGTGAGGAAACACCGAAATAGTAGTTGGAGGGATGGTTTGGAATAAAATGTTGATTGTTTGGGTAATATCCACTAGAATATTGGAAATGTGGAGGGAAATGATTTGTAGAGGAGGATGATGAAAACATATTTTCTGATTGAGAATGATGGAAATTTGGATTAAATTGAGGGGGTTGAATGTTTTGATTATACAAAGAGGGATGGGGAGGATTTGTTTGCATAGGGGTGGTTGAGTTGATTTCGAAATTAGGATTGTTTTGTATTTCCTAAAAATGTGAGAATTTATTATTTCTTTGGAAATTTTTAAGGGGAAATTATATATTAGGGTGTAACATAAATAATTAGCCCCCCTTAAACCATGTAGGCATTTTCGCGCGAGGGTTATCCTAAAACAGCATAATGCTAGCCCCTATTTCACAAATGCGACCCTCTAAAAATCAGCCAGTTGTTTTCCAGGGGAATTTCTTATATCATTGTATTCAACAGATTCTGCTCTATCAGAATCTATTTAAATTTTCATTCTTACTTATCAATTTTGCAGAGAAAAATCAAAAAGAAATTGTCTTGTTTCAAAAATACAAGTTTTTGTATTTTACTTCTAACTCCTGACAACCTAATACTAGGATTCTGATTTTTTGCCAGAAAATAGGCAACTCTCTTAGGATTATAAAAAAATATAATTCGAAGTCTGGAAATATTTAGTTGAATTTTAATAATTATTTAAAACACTTGCCACATGGGGGGCTAATTATTTATGTTACACCCTAATAACTAGTTCAGTTTATGGATATTCCTTTGTTTGTCAGGGTGAACATTAAAGTTTAGGACACTTTTCATTTTTCCATAACTTTTTTTCTCATTTACATTTTTTAATATTATCAAACTCATTTTGTAGCCCCTTCAATTCTCTTCCTGTTTAAAAGCCCAGTTTCTATATTGAACCCTTTTACAAACATCTTAAATTTGGGTAAAGTTATGGCATAAATAATGTGTCTTAAACTTTTATGGTCACCCTGTAGTATTCAAGATAATACTCAGAAAATAATATATAGGTAGGAAAATTACCTCCTGTCTCAAACTATTTGTTGTGCCAAAAGCTCCACTTCCCCTCAAGAAATACTCAATAGTATCCTTTTCAGGGTTCATTCCATCATTTTTTGTTATAATAAAAATAAATAATAATAAATTTATTTTTATAAAATTCTTTAGCATTTTCTTTTTTTAATTTTAAAATTTATTAATAAGTAAATAAAAAAATTTATTTTATAAATAAAAAATATTAAAAAGGGGAGTTTAAAAATAGCGGATGTGTCCTCGCTAAATTTTTTTATCTAAATCAGTCGTCTCGAAATTTCGATTTTCGAGATTTTCTCTTTCGAATCCTAATATAGAAAAGGGAATAATAAAAGAGCGTCGTTGCTTAAGTCTTGCAAAAAAAAATTAAAAAACATGTGACAATAAATCAATTAAATTTATTTAATTATTTTTTTTTAATTTTATAATTAATTTATTTGTTTAACGGCAAAACTTTTACATAAGCCTGATTAAAAAGACTTGATAAAATATGTAGATATATTTAAAAAGTTTAAGCATTTTTGAAGGATGGAAGCCAGATTTCTTCAATTTTTTGATTAAAAGAAGACGATGATGCTTGTTGGGTTGGAAGTAAATTTGTATTATAAACAGAAGGGAAGCCTTGATTAACTTGAAAGTTTTCTGGAAGGTTTTGAACTGTGCCAGAATGCGAGGAATCACCGAGATAGTTGGGGGGATGGTTTGGAATAAAATGTTGATTGTTTGGATAATGTCTACCAAAATTTGGGAAATTTTGATGATAGTGAAATTGATTTGTAGAGGATGGAGAAAACATATTTTGTGATTGATAATGATGGAAATTTGGATTAAATTGAGGGGTCTGAATGTTTTGGTTATACAAAGAGGGATGTGGAGGATTGTATTGTATTTCCTAAAATATGGAAATTATTGAAATTTTCTTTGGAAATTTTTAGAAAAAAAAGTTAATTGATCACAGATAAATTGTTATTTAATTGTATTTATAGGTAATTATATAATAATCTACCTGTTGTGTTAGATTAATTGTTGACCCCTGATTTACTTGAAAGTTTTCAGGAAAATTTTCAAATGTGCCAGAATGTGAAGAATTATCGAAATAGTTTTGGTGGAGATCGTCTGGGTAATGCCCGCCAAAATAATTTTGCTGATAGGGGAATTGATTTGTAGAGGATGGGGAAAACATATTTTGTTGATAAAAATTTGGATTAAATTGAGGGGGTTGAATGTTTTGATTGTACAAAGAGGGATGGAGATGATTTGTTTGAATAGGGGTGTTTGGGTTGATTTCAACATTAGGAGTGCTTTGATTCTCCTAAAAATGTGAAATTATTTAAATTTTATTTTGAAATTTTTAGAGGAAATTATGTAGTAATATAGGGTTATTTTATGGATATTTTTCTGTTTGTGGTATTCAAGATGATCCACAAAAGGGTTAAGAAGGCAAAGTAAACTTTGTAAATCTTAGCGATTATTTCTGCCAATCGTTGAAACATTAAAACAGAGCTTTTAAACGAACCCTTATTTTAATACTTTGTGATGAGTTTAAACCCAAAAAACACAATTTAATGCCCTGAAAATGACATAAATTACCGAGTTATTCCCACTTCCCCACACTAAAGATTCAAGAGTATCCTTTTCAGGGCCCATTCCATCATTTTTTGTTATAATAAAAATAAATAGTAATAAATTTATTTTTATAAATTTTTTTAGCATTTCTTTTAAAATCTGTTACTTTAAATGAAGAAAAAAGGGGCAAACTATTAAAAATTATTTCTCAATATTTTTTTGAAAAATTTATGAATAATTTAAAAATCTGTTAATTTAAATAAAGAAAAAATAATTTTTAAATAAAAATATAAAGAGGAGGAGGAGTTTAATTAAAAAGAGAAGCGTGATTTTCCTTTTTTCAAAAATATTCTTCAATTTTGTATTAATTTTTACGACATTCTTTTTTTTTTGTTCGAATTTTTACAATATTCTTTGATTCTTCAATGAGATTTCAAAATTAATTTAGCAAACAAAAATTTAATTAATTCTTAAAATTGTTTCTCCATATTTAATTTTTAAGTGTTTAAATAGCCTTTAAATAGCTACCGTATTTGCTAAAATAAAAACCCGGGGTAATTACCCGAAATATTAATTATTTCATTAATATTATTTAACATTTTCAAAGAAACATTTTCCTTTTTTTTTTAATTTCTCACTAAAAGCTAATCTTTTTACTTTATTCATTAAATATTTTGCTTTTCAAAAAGTAAATTATCATCTTTTATAGTTTTAATATCTAAATCCGTAAATTCTATTAAAATTAGATAAAATTAAAATATCAACAATGTTTGTCCAAAAATCCTTTATTTAAAAGATAAAAACAAACACCTTTTCCTATTTACATAAATCAAATTCATTTATTTTTTTAGCCTTTGGTATTAATTTAGAACAGGGCTTCGATTTCTGCGGATTTTTCCTCATTTTGTGGTTTTTTGATATGACGATGAGGATTATTTTTAAAAATGCGGATTTGCGGATTTTTTCGATCAAAATTGCGGATTTTTATAAATTCGAGATCGAAGCCCTGATTTAGAAGAATTTACTGAAATTTTTAAAAATAAATTATTAACTTAAAAATAATTATTTTAGTATTTAAATATTGTTCAGGTTTTTATTAAATGTATTAAGAAAGAGATAATCCAAAAGGAGATAAATTTAAAGTTATTTTTAGTTAATTTTTTAGTTGAATCCTTTTACAGATATTGAATTTTCTATTCGGATATTTAACTTTTATACAAAGCTTTTAGGTTTTGGGGATTTCGTTTTAGACTTTACTTGTTTGAAATTACTCTCTTAATTTTGAAATGTGGAGAAATTTTTATTTTTCTTCCACCTTCCTCTCCTAATTAGGGTTGTCGGTTTCAAACCGAAACCGAAAAACTAAAAATTTTTGGTTCAGTTAACGAAGAATTTGGTGAAACTGACAATTCTACTACAGACCCTTCTTCTTTTTAAATTAACGGGTGGGGCCGTCACTGTCATTAACACACTTTCTACAATACAAAGAGAGAAAGGAAATGACTTTATTTTAAAGTTTTCCTGATTTAATTATTTTTAAAAACATAATTTATTTATTTCAATTCCTCCAAAAGAAAAATTATATTTATTTTGATTTAATGGAAAAAAATAATTTTTTATTTTCAAATTGTTGGCCTTTGTAGGGAATTGAGGAAATTGAAAATTTTAATTTTGTTCAAATTAATTAATTATACATTTTGGAGAAGAAAAATTAATATTTGTAATTGTTAAATTAACAAAAATAAAAATATTTAATAAAAGAAAATAATTAAAAAATATTTTTTTAATTTAGATTTAAATTTTATGAATAAAGGCTCGGGGACAGGGCTGCACGCAATTGAAAAAAAAATTCCGCAACTCGCAATCCGCAATTGCGTGCAGCCCTGCTCGGGGAGCTACCCTAATTTAAATAAATATAGAAAAAAAATTAAATAAATTTAATGCTAAATCATGTCTAATATTTAAATAAACATTTTAGATATTAAAATAATTTAAATAAATGTTTATAGGTAAACTAAAACACAGGCTTGGTAATGGATACGGATAATATTCGGAGATCCGCGGATATATCCGGATACGGATACCAAAATCCGTGTCCATTACCAAGCCTGCTAAAACATTTTTATTTTCTAATTGCACTTTTCTCTTTGATTTTGTAAAATAGACTGATGTAATTGAAGGAAGGTCTTCTTTTAATATAGGTATCTTTTAATTTCAAAATAAAAATTTAAAATAATCTCCAAAAACTTTCTAAATAATAAATTTAAATAATTAAATCCCCCCAAAAAAATAATCTTAAAAAATCCCAATTCCAATCAGAGTCCATCAATCAAATCACAAATTTTCTTTTAACTTCCGATTAAATATTTATCCTCTATTTTTACTTTATTTGTTTTTCTTTTTGTCATCAATTTTTGTCTGTTCAATTCTTTTTTCTAAATACCCCATAAAATGACTTTTTTTATAAATTAATTTTTCACGTTCTGGACCAAACATAAATTTATTTATATAAATTATTTCCTTTCTTTTTTCTTCACTAAACAATTCCCATTTACAATTATTAATATTATCCAAATCCAATTTTAAATAATTATTTTCCAAATATTTTGTGTCATTAACATATAACGTCTTCTAAAATAAAAATTTTTTAAATCTAAAATCTCTCTTATCAATTAAACAATTTACAGGGTGACTAGATAGTTGCCCACACCTTATTTATCATAACTTTATTAAAACTCGATCAAATAATATCAAAATACAATCAAATAATAGAGAATTAAATGGGGGAAAAAATAAATTAGGATTTTTCGAAATACCCCTTTTTGGCTTTAATACAGAGGCGCAGACGCGAACAAAAATTTTTGTAAATTAGCCGCACCTCCTATATTCCTCTTTTCAGATGACAAAATTTTTATGAAAGAGATATGTCCGAATTGCAATAATAACTAATATTGGGCCTCTAAATCTCCTCTTTCTTATTCAGTTGTTAAGGATTTCCAACACGCTTCCTTCGAAATGATATGGACTGTTATTTGCAAAACGATCAAAAATCCTTGATTTTCATGAATCCTTCGGTGAAAATAAATAAATACGCTTAACTACGCGAAATCCTTCAGAGTGTTTTACAGCCTTGTGTCTGAGGAAACTTTTGGTATAGGGATTGGATCTTTAAGCAGAATTCAATCCCTGCTGTGATGCAAGGTTGTCGTGCAGCCAATTTACCCGGTTTTAGTTTGTCTCAAAAATGGCTACCGTACACACCGGTTTTGAAGTCGTTGATTTATTTTTTGGTCAATTTTTGAGGCAAGGTTCTTTGCTTAATAACCCAAAAGTTTGGAGTCACTCCGACAATCACTCTTTCGGAAATGGGGAAAAATAGCTAATAGCTGCGGCAATTTTGTAAAAAATTTTTGCTCGCGTCTGCGCCTCTGTATTAAAGCCAAAAAGGGGTATTTCGAAAAATCACTATTTTGTTCTCCATTCAATTCTCTTATTTGATTGTATTTTGATATTATTTGTTTAGTTTTAGTAAAGTTATGATAAATAAGGTATGGACAAAGACTTTCTACATAGTAGACTTTCTAGCAAAGACTTTCTATTTTTAGCTTATTAAGGAAAAAACTACATAAAAAATAAGATTCCCTTAATTTTTGTAAAAAAATAAAATTTGTTTAAATCCATCAAACCCCCCCCCCAAAAAACCTAAAAAAATATTTTTTAAATTTATTTTACCTCAACAAATTGATCATTAAAATCGTTTAAATTTAAATTAACATTTATCCATCTAATTTTAATTTTAATTTGTCCCATTCCCAAAGGAATTGGGTATTCTTTACATTCTTCCCCAATCTCTTGAGTACCAATAAATTGTTCCTTTATAATACCGTTATTTACATAATTTATAAAAATTGAATAACTAGTAGTCATTCGATTTTTAAATTTTGATATAATGCAAATTGAAGCAAGGAAAACATATTCTTCTAAAAATATTTAAAAAATAATTTTTCACATAATTAAATTTCAAAAATTTCAATTTTTAAAATTTTCATCCCAATTTTTCAGAAACTAAAATTGTAAGAAGTTATGTGGATGTTGGGGTCATTCTATAAATCAAATCAAAAGACGTTTACCATTATATTCCCTAACAAAGGAGAGGCCTGAGGTGTCCGTGGGACTTCGGGATGAAATTTGGTAGAGAGGTAGATCATACCCTACTTTAGTTATGAAATTTTCACCATTTTTGCTTAATGATACCGTGGACCGAGTTATAAGCCCCCAAAGTTTTGAGATCCCCCACATATGTACATATAAACAATTTCTATCTATTTACAAATGTGTTCTTCGGTGGTGCAGTGGTAACGTTCTTGAATACAATTTTTCTCCAAGGTTCGAGTCCTTATTGGGGAATTTAATTTATTTAATTAATTTTTAATTTTTATCCGAATGTTTTTGCCAAAAAATTTTTTAAACTTTTTTAATATTTTTAAATACTTATTTTTGCCCTTTACTCATTAATAGGGTAAATAAAAGCCTTGTGATTATTCCTTACTTTGAAAGTTTTTTCAAAAAATTTTTAAAAAATTGCAAAAAAATTAGAAAATTTTTTAAAAATTTTAAAAACATAATTTCCAAAAACAAAAACGGAAATTATGTTAAAATAAATTAATTTCCCCAATCAGGATTCGAACTTGGGGGACAAAAACTAAATCCAAGAGCGCTACCACTGCAACACCGAAGAATACATACAAAAATAAAAAGAAATTGCTTATATGTATATAAAAACGAAAGCTGAGGGGGGTCTTAAAACTTTGGGGGCTTATAACTCGGTCCACGGTACCATTAAGCAAAAATGGTGAAAATTTCATAACTAAAGTAGTGTATGATATACCTCTCTACCAAATTTCATCCCGAAGTCCCACGGACACCTCCTCTCCTTTGTAAGGGGGGGGGGGGGGGGGGGGGGGTTTTCAGTCCCTAGCTATGTAGTCCCTTTACCAGGCTACATCGGTGTGCTTCTCTTATGGCCTGCTTCTTTTAAAGATTTTCTCGCAAAAATATAAGAGACTAAGAAAACTTCAACAGATTTACCCGTTTTAATACACAAATGTTTCTGTGTTTCTTCAATTTTTAATCCGATTTTATATTTCAGTCTCCCTTTACATTTAGCTGTTTCGTTTGAACAGAGATAATAAGCGCCAACTTTTTTTTTCGAATTTGAGTAATATTTGAAATTTTTGTAAATTTTAGTTTTCAAAAAATACCAATAATCACCTATAAATATTTAATTAAAAATTTAAATGAAAATTAAAAGATAAACCAAAATTTGTTGGTAATTCGATTAAAATATTGTTGATACAAGCATCTTTAATTGAATTAATATCTTCTTTTTCTTGGTCTTTGAATCTCTGCGAGTTACTCGTTTTTCCTCTTTCTTAAAATAATTAAATTTTTTATTCAGAAAACTTTGAAGTTCTAAATTCCCCTTTAAGGGAATTTGGAAGAGATTGGATAGTTCTCGGAATCTCTCCTTTTTATTCCCATTCCAATTCTTAGAGAAAGGAAAATGAAAAAAACCCTTAATTTTGAAAATACTCGGAGCTGTAGCTAAGATTTAAAAAGGGTTAAAGTTAGACCGAGTAATTGGGAAAAACCGAGTTCGAGTAATCCGAGTATTATGAACCCGAGTTCCGAGTCGAGTAATTACGCAGAAAACCCGAGCGGTCGAGTCGAGTAACTCGAACTCTACTTTAAAATAATAAAACATAAAATGGACGGCACTACACAAAACTTTAAAATAATTACGATTAACATCTATATTTTGAATATTGTTGCATAATTCTTTCATAATTTCATCATCATTTTCATCTTTTATTAAAATATAAATATTAAAATATATAATTTAAATTTTTAACATACTTGTAGTCCCTTCAATAATATTTTTAAAAGAAGACGATGATGCTTGTTGGGTTGGAAGTAAATTTGTATTATAAACAGAATGAAAGCCTTGATTAACTTGAAGGTTTTCTTGGAAGTTTTGAACTGTGCCAGAATGTGAGGAAACACCGAAATAGTTGGAGGGATGGTTTGGAATAAAATGTTGATTGTTTGGGTAATATTCACTAGAATATTGGAAATGTGGAGGGAAATGATTTGTAGAGGAGGATGATGAAAACATATTTTCTGATTGAGAATGATGGAAATTTGGATTAAATTGAGGGTGTTGAATGTTTTGGTTATACAAAGAGGGATGGGGATGATTTGTTTGCATAGGGGTGTTTGAGTTGATTTCGACATTAGAAGTGCTTTGATTTTCCTAAAAATGTGAGAATTAATTTAAATTTTTTTTGGAAATTTTTAGAGGAAATTATGTACAGTGTTTTTCTGTTTGTGGTATTCAAGATGATCCACAAAAGGGTTAAGAAGGCAAAGTAAATTTTGTAAATCTTAGCGATTATTTCTGTCAATCGTTAAAACATTAAAACATAGTCTATAAACATATCCTAACCTTTACTCTTTGATGAGTTTAAATTTAAAAAACACAATTTAATGCTCAGAAAATAACATAAATTACCGAGTTATTTCCACTTCCCCACACAAGACTTTCAAGAGTATCCTTTTCATAAAATGGGTTCATTCCATCATTTTTTGTTATAATAAAAATAAATAATAATAAATTTATTTTTATAAAATTCTTTAGCATTTTCTTTTTTTAATTTTAAAATTTGTTAATGAGTAAATAAATAAATATTTATTTTATAAATAAAAAATATTAAAAGGGGGAGTTTAAAAATAGCGGATGTGTCCTCGCTAAATTTTTTTTATCTAAATCAGTCGTCTCGAAATTTCGATTTTCGAGATTTTCTCTTTCGAATCCTAATATAGAAAAGGGAATAATAAAAGAGCGTCGTTGCTTAAGTCTTGCAAAAAAAAAATAAAAAAACATGTGACAATAAATCAATTAAATTTATTTAATTAAAAAAAATTTTTTTTTAGTTTAATAGAAAAACTTTTACATAAACCTGATTAAAAAGACTTGATAAAATATGTAGATATATTTAAAAAGTTTAAGGATTTTTGAAGAATGGAAGCCAGATTTCTTCAATTTTTTGATAGGGTTGGGGCGATATTTAGGAATTAATGATCACCCCTTTCAAGGGTTATGGAAGGATAAAGGGACTTGAGGGAATAAAGAATGATTGGGAGGTATACACTGCGTAACAAAAAGATGGCACATCATGTTTTTTCGACATAACTCAATGGAAAAGGGTCCATTTCGATTGAAAATTTTTTTGTAGATAGTTTTCATGAATAGAATACAGATAAGCTTAACCGAGCGAATTAATTTTTTTCCTGAATTTTTTTATAAAATAAAAATCGTTTTAGCAGTGTAACAAAAAGATGGCACATTTTAAATTTTCGAGATTAGGAGTGGTCCAAAAAATCTACAAAAATTCCTGTAAACATCTCTATTAATATAGATAGAAAATACAAAAGAAACGAAGTTCTAATATACTTCCATCATCGAGATCTAGAAACCCGAAAATCAACGGAAAACAGGGGGTGAACGTCTTTAAAAAATATTTTCGACCCCTTATAGACTAAATTAAAATTTTATTTTACACTTTTCTGAAAGCCCTTTAAATTTGCTATAATACCAGCAATTTTTATTTGACAGAAATTTTTTTTCATTAAGTTGTACTTCATTAAATTTTTAAGGTGCTCAGAAAGGGGTAAATTTAATGATTTTCATGTCCATTGAATTTAACCCTCAATATCTCCCAAGTAAAATTTTTCGATTTATTAGAAATAAGGGTTTCTTATAGCAAATTTAAAGGGCTTTCAGAAAAGTGTAAAATAAAATTTTAATTTAGTCTATAAGGGGTCGAAAATATTTTTTAAAGACGTTCACCCCCTGTTTTCCGTTGATTTTCGGGTTTCTAGATCTCGATGATGGAAGTATATTAGAACTTCGTTTCTTTTGTATTTTCTATCTATATTAATAGAGATGTTTACAGGAATTTTTGTAGATTTTTTGGACCACTCCTAATCTCGAAAATTTAAAATGTGCCATCTTTTTGTTACACTGCTAAAACGATTTTTATTTTATAAAAAAATTCAGGAAAAAAATTTTTTCGCTAGGTTAGGCTTATCTGTATTCTATTCATGAAAACTGTCTACAAAAAAATTTTTAATCGAAATGGACCCTTTTCCATTGAGTTATGTCGAAAAAACATGATGTGCCATCTTTTTGTTACGCAGTGTATATTAGGGGCGTGATTAAGTGAGATTATCACCTGTCAACAATACTTCTTTATACATTAGGTTACCGCAGATAAAAAAGGGCTCTATATTAGGACATGCGTCCCATGAACTTTTATGCGTCCCATGGAAGTATATGCGTCCCATGATCGTATATGCGTCCCAAAAGTAGTATATACGTCCCATCAGAGTATATGCGTCCCATCTTCTCAAATCCCCTGATATTCCTCTCAATAGACGCTTGTTTGACTCAAGACTCGCTCAAAAATATATGTAAGGATTTGCATGTTAAAAAGGACTTAAACTTGGCAATAAAGTAAATAAAGAAATGCGATTTAGGTGTTTCTAGTTATAAGGCCATTCAATTGGAGGGGCCATTCAACTAGAGAGGCCATTCAATTAGAATAGATACGGTATTTTAGACACACCAGGAAATATAATAAGACATAGTCGATCCGGCCAAATGAAGTGCTGTATTTCTATTTAACACAGATGGGAAAAAAGTTCATCCATGTGAATTTAAATATTAATTTACTGCTCGTTGTCCCTTGAGCAAGGAAACATAATAACATATTTAATTGTCATTAATAAAATTAAAAATATTTACAAATTGTTTTGCACTTATACATATTAATGTTGGGACGCATATACTTCAAGGGACGCTTATATTAATTTTGGGACGCATATACGATCATAGGACGCATAAAAGTTCATAGGACGCATATACTTTCATGGGACGCATATACGATCATGGGACGCATATACGATCATGGGACGCATATACGATCATGGGACGCATAAAAGTTCATGGGACGCATGTCCTAAGATAGAGCCAAAAAAAGTACGTGAGAGGCTATTTTTCACTGATTCCCAGAAATTACAATCCTTATTTTGAAATTTAACTTTTTTTTTAATTTTTTATTTCAAAATTCCTTCTTTTACAGCCTGAAAAAGAATATATAAAAGTTGTTTTTTGAGTTTGATAGGGGTTCTTCAAAGATCTAAAACCCTTTAACCTTTAATATCCCAGATATCCCTCCCTATCCCCGCAATCATTTGATATCTCTCTAAATCCTCTTATTCCCTTTATATCTTTCCTCAAATACTTCGAATCCACATTCTATTTTCAATCATACTCCAAGGGGGCATTCTAATAGAGGGGGAATTCAACTGGAGATTCAACATTCAATTAAGAGAAGATTCTGTATCTTGCTCAGTTCAGGTTTATTATAGGCATCCTTTACTCATTTAATTATAATTATATCTTCTTCAACTTTTTTTAAATATTTATTTTTAAAAATCATTTAAAAATGTAAAAATAATATATAAAAAATTTGCACATTAAAGAAAGGTCATTAACAAAATTTTACAAAAAAAAAATATTTTTTCAAATAGTCTTTGAAAGTCCAACAAGTGTAACTCCTTTAAAAATAAATTATTATTTTTTAAAATTAATTAAAAAAACCAAAAATAGTAACACAAACAGCAGATAAAAGTAATTTCAAATCCTCCATTTCAATTTCTTTAAAATAAAAAACAGACCATAAACTGGCTATTAAACCAGGCAAAGTTGCATTAATTGGAAAGGTTATTGCTTGTGATAACTAATATATTTAAGTATTTAGAAAGTTTAAAAGATTTGAGTGGATTTAATGGAAGTTGTGACCAAATATAAAATTTTAGGGGAAATGACGAAATGAAGTTTTTGTTGATATGTAGTAGCGAGATAATAATTTTTAGGGTAAACTTTTCCGGAATAAAAAGGTCAGAGTTTTACAGAAAATGGAAACAGAAATATATAAAAATAGATAAAAATAAATTTATATTTTTACTAACATCGTTATGGTTAGTGTATGATCTTGTAATATCACAAGCTTGAAATACCAAACCTCCAAAAACGCTTGAAATACCACTGCGGAAAGAACATAATACCAAATAAATACTAAAATAACTTTTTAGTTATTTACTAGGGTTGTTCGCGGACATCAATTTGGTATTTCAAAGGTCTTTGGTGGTTTGGTATTTTAGGCTTTTGGTATTACAAGACGTTCCGATGGTTAAAGAATAAAACTTTTAACTAAAAACGATTTTTAGTTTAAAAGTTTGAATAAAAAAAGAAGGGATTCAAGTAAAAAGGAGTGTTTTTAAATTAATTTAAAAATTATTTTTTACAATATCATTAGCCAAAAACCAAGCAAGCATAGCCACTGCCCACAAAACACCGGCCAACAAAGAAGGGAATACTAAAGCATTATCCATATAAGGTTTATTTTGTTTATAAGCACTAAAAATAATTAAAAATTTAAAAAAAAGAAAATGTCAAAAAAACATATAAATAAGTAGAACAAATGTTGATGTTAAATAAATTCCAGTAAAATGTGAAAATACATAATCTATTGCATTTTTGGAAGGATTTTTGAAATGTTGAGGATTGTCTTGAATATATATTACTGGGGTAAAACTAAAAGAATATGAAATTTGAAGAAATTGTTTTTAATTTTACGTCGATCCATAGCCAATACCAGCAAATATAGAAGCTACAACAGCTCTAAAAAAAGAAAAAATTAAGGAAAAACTTGTGTAAAACTTTAAACTTATTCAGGAAAACCTTCCCGGAAACATTTTTTTCTGAAAAATTCTGCTAGTAAAAGTTCATAAAAGAGGGGTAGGTTAGTTTACTCGCAGCTGCGGGTAATCATCGAGTTCTGGGTCGATTTTTTTAATTAACCCTCAACTAAGAGTTTTGACTTCAACTAATTAAACCTCAACTAAGAGTCCCATTAACTTCTAAATTCCTTACAATATCCGTTTTTTCATTCCATCAGAATTTATTCTACTTAAATTAATATTGTTTTCTGTCGTTTCAATATTTACTCTTTCTTCCTCGTCTATTTGTTGTTCTACCAAACTTTCCCCTTCTTCAATATTTGTATTTTGGGGTTCTTCACGTCTTATAATTATTGGAGAGCCTTGTTGGAGTGAATCTCTTTTTGTTGTAAGGGGAGGTTTGGGGCGAACAAATGCAAAAAGAATTCCTCTAAAAATTTGAAAATTTTAGGAATTTAATTTTGGACCCCCCCCCCTTCTCCTTTCAAAAAATAATTTTTATTTATTTACCCAACAATAACAAAAACAAGTCCAAGATAATTCAAATTAGGAGAGCTAGGAGTACTTGCATTTACCTAAAAAAATTTAAATCTTGTCATTACAAATTTTTTTAATTTACCCCAAAAAGTCCAAAACGTCCAGTTGCCCAACCAACTTTTTTAAAATTAAAAATGTAATTTTTAAATTTAATTTAATTATTTACCAACACAGTTAACAGTTCCCCAAATTAAAATACCCATTCCTAAACCAATTGTTTTAATTATTGGAATAGCTGTTAAATTGCCTATGAAATGAAAAGAATTTTTTGTTAAATTTATTTTCTACCAATAGCCCAAAGAAGTCCACCAAGCATTGCCAAAGGTTGAAAGGGAGGTGCTCCAGTAGCGATATACTTTAAATATTTATAATTAATTGAATAAACAAAATTTTTGAGTTTTTTTTTGCTAAACTTTCTAACCACCATTTCGGAAGGATCAAAAATTTTGGGATATATATAGGTATTGCTGTAAATTTTTTTAGACATTTCTCGTACATTTTAGAGAAAATTTTGGATCAGCAAAATTATCCTCTTACTAAAATCCGCAAAAAAGACGAAGGGATAAGAAGGAGCCGGCCAACGAGAATAAATCCTCCAATAGACTCAATTTATAATTAAAAACTTTTAAAGACTCACCGTAACAACTCCAGACAGAAATATTGCAGAGCAAACCCAAAAACAATCAAATTTCCAAAAATAAATTCAAAAATATAAAACTAACAATCCACTGAACAACCATTCCATCACCAGGATCCCCAGCAACTCTTACACCCTTTTTAAAAAAAACTTTGTATTAGAATAATTACAAAATCCCCACCACATACATAGAACCAAAACAAAGGGAAGAAATTGCACAAGAAATGAGTCCAGTTAATGTACTCATTTCTTTTAAAAAGGCCAAAAAATAAATTCAAATTTAGAATAAATTTTTAAATAAATTAAAAAATAATTAATTTTGATGTTTGAACAAATAAAAATTAAAAAAAAATTTTTTTTGATATAATTTTTCTACAAAAATTAATTTTTAAAAATTAGAGCTTGGAAAACTCAAAAATTTTGTTTTTCAGTAGGAGGGAATTTGACTATTCAAAGGCTCTCTTTCTCCCAAAGCTCTAACATCAAAAAATAAACAAAAAAAAATCAACAAAGATTTCAAGAATAATCATCCCCTAAAATAGACAAAGTTAATTGATCATTATTACTCGAAACATCATTAATTCCATCATATCTACTAACATATTTGGCAATTGACCTTTTTACCTCTCCAATAGGGCTAAATAATTTGTCACCTCCACTAACCAAATCTCGTAATATTCTGAGAGGGATTTTATTGGAAAAAATTATTTTAAAAGGAAAGGACCTGTTTCTGCTAAGAAATTTCATATAATATTCTTGGCCTCCTTTAGTATGCAATACTGAGAGATTTGCTGCCATTATATCTGCATGACATTCATTCATAAAACTAAATAAAAATTAATATTTTAAAGAATCTAGAAGGTTAAGAAAAAATAAAATAAGTTGGTGGAGTGGCCAAAAAATGAATTCAGGGAATAAATTTTCCTTAAAAAACTAAGAGATTAAAAAATATTTTTCAAAGATATTTTTTTAGGTTCAAGAGGGGTTTAAAGCCTTAATCACAAGTTGGGGTGGAAAGATTTTTAGAGTAACCCAAAAAATGTAAACAAAAATCGGTTACAAAAACTGAATGACTGTTTTTGAATTGAATTTGAATAATCTCATGTTAAAAAGCCTTAAATAATCCATAAATTAATTAATCTCCCCGCCCCTCTTTTAATAAATTTATTTACATTCCCAATTTATTCCAGTTAACAGCAGCATAAATAGCAATTCCAGCAAGAATTGGAAGAGCAACAGCAAAAACTAAAGAATCTCCTCTAAACGCGAAAACGTGAAGAGCATAAAAACACAACATAAAAGTGAGAACCTTAAGAAAATATTACTAATTAATAAATAATCGGTTAAAATTTAAAACAAACGTGGCAAAAATATGTTAGTGCTTCCTGAAAGAAAGAAAAAATAATTTTAGACAATCAATTTATTATTTTTATTTAAATCAGGGGGACAACGTTTTTTGTAGACAATTATAAAAACAAAAATATTTCGAGAAAAGAGTGCGGGAAAAAATCGAAAATGTCTTTTTAAAACAAAGAATTGTTTCAAGTCCTGTATAAATTTGATCTCGAGTCTTTATGTGCAGTTTTGTTCTTAAACTGCTCTATTAATTGACTGATCAAAACCTCCCAATATCCCTACTAAACAAAATTTATTTTTCAAAAATTACCTGAGTCAATAAATAAGGCTTTTGTACAGCATAAAGATCTCTAGCAACCAAAAAAGCCAAAGCCTCATCAGATAAAACGAAAGTAGACAAAATTTGTTTACCAACTTCAGATTCCCATATAATACAAGCTGTTTTGCCAAGAATATTAAATGGCTAGAAAAAAATATTAAAATATATTTTTTTGTAATAAATAAACTACAATTTTACTTGTTTGGAAGGAAAGAATTGATTTTAGAAAAAAATATCCAAATAACCTTGTCAACAAATAAAAATAAATACTTTTGGATTTATAGAAAAAAGGGGGAGAGAGAAAAATTTCCATTTTTAATTCGTAAAACGAAAACTTTTGTTGAAAATAATAACAAATTGATTTTGATTTTTAAACTTTACTTAAAAAAATAATTTTAAAAATACTGATAGAATTTCGACTTTTCTTTGTTAAATTATTAAAAGAATAATTAGTGTGGAAAGAAAAATAAAGATAAAAAAATAAAAAGAAAGAAATATTTTTTAATAAAAAAAATATTTCTTCTAAAGTTTGTACTTTTCTCTTTTAAATTTTCAATAACAAAATGGAATGTAGAGAAAAGTGTAATAATATAATTATTTTCTCGTAAATATATATAAATTACCTCCAAATTTTGTTTAGCATATTCTAATGCCTCTTGTTCATTTTTAAATTTAACATAAAAAGGCAATGCAATTTGTGCACCTGTTGGACTAGCCAAAGTTCCAATTCTGATAGAATCAAAACTTTCTAAAAATAAAAAATTGAAATTATAATTAACATAAAGAGGATAGAGGGGTGTGTTCTACTAATAGAGAAATCCCTAAGAAACGGTATACCTATGTTATTCTATACACAATGCCTTTTATTTTCGGCAGAAATGCAAAATCCCTATAAAATTGCCGATAGTCATTGTTAGCAAGGGCAAATCCAAGGAAGCCAAAATTTCGGTGCACACTCCATGTTAGCCCCCTCCGAAATCAACCCCTGGCTACGGCCTTGATTGTTAGGATCCTAGAAAAGAGAAAACTTCAGAAAGCGTTAGATTTTACACAGGTCCCATTTAAATATGATTCCCCGCTTCTCCCATCCCTTTTTAAACTAAATTCAGTTCATAATCTCTCACAATCAGAAGGTCTCTCCAATATCCCAATCCCGCTTTTTTAATTCCCCTTATTGGACAGTCACAAGATGAAAAAATTTTCAAAACTAGGTAAATTATTCCCTACAAAATTAAATAAAGATTACTTTTAGCATCAAGTTGACATGTAAAAGAAAAGAAAGTATCACTTTCACCTCTCCCTTCTTTTTCTAACCAAAAGAAAGATTGCTGAAAAAAGAAATTTATTTAAAATTTTTAATTAGAAAATTAATAACTTGTTCAATCGTCTTTTTTAATCGATCAGGAAGTCTAAAAAATATTTAAAAATATTAGAAAATTAATAAATTTAAAATCAAAAAAACACAACTATGCCCCTTCAGAACTGAAAAATTTCTAAAAGAGAACTCACTCCCTCCTCCCACAAAATTTCTGGCAATAAATTGGAGCAGTAAAATTTATAGACTTTCAATTAAGAATTTTTAACTAAGCCAAATTATTTTTTAAATATAAATTTATTTACTCACTCATTGCTAACTTTGTACCTCCAGGGAAATAATGCGCTGAGTAATGGACCAGACATAAGAAGATTTGCAATGGGATAAGCTTAAAAAAATTTTTTCTAATTGGAAGAATTTATGTTAGTATCCAAAAGATAATTTTTTCGGATAAATCATTTCGAAGAGAAAATGAATTTAAATATTTTATAATTACAATAAAAAGTCCTAATTAAGAACTTGTGTCAAAATTTTCAATTACAGGCTTGTGACTGATACATGTCACTTTCTATTTAATTTATTTTCGGAAAGCCACAACTTCCCAAAGATTCTTTATTTAAAAACTAATAAAAATATCAAAACAAACCTGCAGTCACTACACCAATAACACCAACACGAAATAATGCCCCCTTCTTTGTAGCTAAAAAGTTGTCTGCTTTGCTTTTTGTTAACCTAAAAATTTTTTTTTAAATTTTAATTTAAAAATAAACCAAAATCTTTGATAAAATTCATCAATATCCATTTTTTGTTTAAACATTTTTGAAAATTATTTGAGAATCTAAAAGTTATTTATTTTTAGATTTTGGGAGTAAATCAAATTTAAAAAATATAATTTAAAGGTGGAAGAACAATTTTCGAAGAATTTTAAAATTTATGGATGCCTTACATCCGAAAATGCTCCGAAAACGAGTCAAATAATAAAAAATAAAAAAACAATTTTTAAAAGATGTTTAGTAAAAAAAATAAAAAAAACTCTAGAAAAAAAAAACAAATTTATTCAAACAAAAAAATATTCAAATTTTAATTTTATTATCTAATTCAATTCTTTCCAATCTGTCAACATAAGTAGCTGAATGACCCAAATAATTTCCATTCTCATCAAAATTAGATTTCCCTTTTGTTAATTTATTGAGTAATTTGCATAATTCTATACTGCTTTTTAAATAATCACTAAAAAGTAAAAAATAAATAAATTTAGAATTTAGACAAAAAACAAACATGCATCCATTTTTGTGATCCTCATCTCTAAATTAAAAAAAATAAAAATAAAAGAGAAGAATTTAAAAAATTAAAAAGTTTTTAAAAATTTAAGGTGTCGCGACTATCTAGTCAGCGATAGGAAAGTAAAGGAAAGAACAAGGAAATGGGCAGCAACTGAGAATAACAACAAAATTTGCAGCAGCCGATGGGTGGCTGGATGGCCGAACGAATTAGGCCGCAGTTTAGAGAGAAGAGGCCCTTGATCGAAGGACAGCATTTCAACCAAATTTTTCATAAAGGATTTATGGCCTCCTATAAAACCCCTCATTTTAAGTCGCTCATAAAAATTCAAAAAAATATTTTTTAAGGTCACAAAAAAAGTTTTCAAACAAAAAATGCTCTCACTAAATATTTTCTTCTTTCCCAACTTTTAATTAAAAAAATATTCAAAACAAACATTTTAGCAGCTTCAAAATCTAAATCAAAAGTTTCATCTCTATAATACATTTTCTCAGATAAATACAACAATAAAATACTTATAATCAAAGAAGGAATAAAAGCTAGCCAGTCATTGTGTTTTTGTGATCTTAAATAATAACAAAGTGCAAAACCTGGCATAAAAGCAACAATTGAAACAAAAAGCGTAAGTAAAAATTTTGAACTGAAAAAATTTCTTTGAATTAAACAAAATTAATTTAAAAATAAGGATCGAAAGGGAAAGACTGCCAAAAATAAATGACAAAATCAAGGGGGAATTTGGGGAGATAATTAGGCTAATGTAACCCCTCCTCTCCTAGATCATTAAACATTAATCTAAAAATTCTGAATACGCCCATGAATGGAATCACTCGTTAAAATATCCAGCTAGACGTAGATCCCTAATCAAAAACAAAACCTAGAAGCATAAATGAGTTCTCTGGCAATAACAAATTTTTTGGCGTTTTTTGTCAACAAAATAGTTTTGAGATCAGAATCAGTCAAAGATGAAGTATCTAATGCCTCCAATTTATCCAGCCCACTAAAATTTTAAATTAAGATTTTTAAATATTTTTGGAATATTTGCTAAAGAATTTTAACAATATCGAAGAGGAAATTTTTGAAAGTACATATGTTTAAGAATTCATGAGAATTCATGAGAGAATTTTCATGGCAACAGAACTAATTAAATAACGAATCTTACAATTCCCCTTAACAGTTATTGACGAGGATAGGAAATAGAAAAAAAAATAACTTTAACGTGTTTAGAAATTCTATTTCGTCTAGTCCAACAATTAATAAGGCTTAAATTAGGTGAAATTTTCTTAAAAAAATTTTCTATGTCAAAAACCCTCACCATTAACAATACATTATTTAAAGAATTTAAAACAAACTTTTCTTTAAAAAGCCTGAAGAAATTTGGATAATTTTTGCGTATTTGTTCTACATTATTAAGTACCAATCTATTTGAAAAACGCAAAAGAGCATTATATCTATGTTGAAAACATCCATGAGTTTTTGATTCAATATTGTCGCTAACCATTATTTTAAACTGAAAAAATTTAAAAAATTATTTTTAAACCAGCAACAGAAAAATATTAATTAATAAAATGCTTATTGTTAGTTTTGCTTTACAGAAAAGTGTTAAATTTTCGAGTCTCACCAGTAAAAATTTTATTTTAATTTCAAATTATTTTTTCTAAAAATTGCTCTATTCGTTAAGTTTTGTATTTTAAACAATTTTCTGACAAAAATGTTAATTAAATATGCTCCACTTTTCCTATGGTTCACAATCTCTCCTTTTTGTATTAAAAAAGGAAAATTAAGAAGCAAATAAAAAGTGTAAATAACCGGCTCAAAATTAACGGAATATTATAGAAAGAAATAAAAATATAAAAAAATTGGTAAAAAATCTTCAAATAATTTTCTTGAAGATTTTTTTGACATTTTTAATTCTTCAATTAACTATGAATGTCTTAGAATTTTTTGTATTTAAAAATAAAAGCTAAAATTTAAAAAAAATAAAAAATAAACAAACATTAGTGTTTGCATCTGCATATAATCTATCTTTTGTAATTGCAAAAAGTTCGTTATCAATAGCTATCATTAAATCATCATCTATTGCATTTGGCAAATCTGTATGTGTAATAGTTAATTTTTGAATAGCTGGGTATCCATGAGCATCTTTAAAAAATAAATTTAAAAAACAAAAAATTAAAGAAACCTTTCAGAAAAAAATATCCCGAAGTAATAAATAATCCACCAGTAAGTGTGTCGTATGTCCAATGTGTTCTAAATAAATGCCTTATTCCAATCATTATTAATAATTTCTAAATAAAAATATTTACAAAATAAATCAGCGTTAAAATAAAAAATAGCCGGCACAAATTTTAAAAAAATAAATAAAAATTCAGAATCACAATCACACTTCTTGATTTACTTAACAACGTAAAGCAAGAATTAGCCTAACTCGAAAACGAAAACCGAAAAAATAGCTTGCGGCAATCCGGCCGCGATAAGATGTTGGCGACAAAGTAGACCTTACCTAATTTAATCGGTTAAGGACGATTCAGTATCGCCGATTCAGTATAGCCGATTCAGTATCCGCCGATTCAGTATATGGCTATAACTTTCCTGATATTCGACCGATTCGAATAATTCTCATATCATTCGAAAGGTCTCGTGATTCGACATCTTTTTCATAATTGGCCCGATCAGATCTGATGATCACAAAAAAAGTTACAGCTTGAAAACCGATTTTTTATGCCTGTGACGTTGTTTATCAGTGATAACTTTTTGTAGAGTGATTTGATCAGATCAGTCCAATTATGAAAAAGATGCAGCACCCCGAGGCCTATCAAATCATATATAATAATTCCTACAATATTGATCGAGCAAAAAGTTATGGCCAAAAAGCCCAAATACTGAATCGGCCAATACTGAATCGGCGATACTGAATTGGCGATACTGAATCGGCGATACTGAATCGTCCCCTACCTTAATTTAATTAAGTAAAACTTCAAATTGGTAACTGCCCTAAAAAGTTCATTTGATCAATTTTGTTTTAATTTACACGTTTTTAATTTTTTTGTTTCAAAATTAGATAGTTAAATTTAGCATTGTTCAACATTTTATTTAATCAATTATGGAGGACCTTCAACGAAAAGCAAGATTATTGGAAAATGAAATTGATATGCGTCTTATATCTCTTAATAAATTTCATATTTCTAATGCAGGTTTGCTAAATTTATTTTTTTGGAAATAACTCTTGTAAACGAGGTTAAAGGCTCTCATTTTTTTATTTTTCTGTGAATTACAAAAATTTTTTTATCCAAAATTTTCATTTAAACTCAACAAATTAAAATTTGTTTTAATTTAGGTCAAACAGATATTCAAAGCAAATCCCATTCAAGACGTTCTTTTGACTCGCTTACGAGTGAAATTGAATCAAAATTGTCAAAATTAAGTGAAATTAATTTTCAGGTTTTTTTAAATATTTTTAGAAAAAAAATTAATTTTACTAATTTAGATGCAAGAATGTTTTGATAAAGATAAAAGTGTTTTTAACAAAACACCTCAACAACACATTCTTAGAAGGCATCAAGATATTCTTAGAGATTATAGTGCTGAGTTTCGAAGAACGCATGAAAATATTAAAAATCAATTACAAAGGTTTTCTTTAAATTTAGAAACATTCTTGCAAGGAAAGGTCGCGAGGTGTTCGACCTAAAAACGGTCGAGACCGGGCTCATTCGATAGAGAATGTGCCCTTTCTAGCAAGGATCCCCCGGTCTCGACCGTTTTTAGTAGGTCACCTCGCAACCTTTCCTTGTTAGTCGCTTTAAGACAAAATGATTTCTTTAGAATTTTTTAATCAAAGTTATACTTTTAATTGGAATTTTTTCGATGTTCTAAAAAATCTTTGTTTTGTATTTTATTAGAATTTTATTTATCTTACTAATTTTATTATTTTTTAAGAGATGAATTAATGGAAATGACGTCAACTGTAAATAATCGTTGTAGAACTACAGATTATTTAACTAGAGAAAATGAAAGTATTAGCGAGTTTGTTTCTTTTAATTCTTTTAAATTAATTTTATTTTAGTTGTGATCGTCTTTTAAATGATCAAATAAGTATTGCTATGTCTGTGAGAGAAGGGCTTTATTCACAAAGTAGTGGACTTGGGGCTATTAATAAACGTGTTCATCAATTGACTAGTTTGTTTTTATTTTTTAGTGTTAATCCTTGGAGTCATTGGGGTTTGGGGAGGGTCTGAATTTTTTAATTATTGTTTTGCCGGGCAGATTTTCTTGAACAAAACGGGGCGATTTTTTTCCTTTCAAAGAAAAATCAATTATTTCATTCAGTCCTTTCAGGAATAATAAAAAAAATTTTATTATTCCTGGACGGGGGAAGATAGAAGTACAAAATTCAGAAACCCCTAAAAAGGGATTGGGAAGCGAGATTTTATATTTGTTTATAAAATAGTTGGTAGTTAGACTTGAACTCTCTTTCCTAATTTAATTTTAAATTTCGTTTTAAATTTACATTTTTTTCTTTTAAAGAGAAATATCCAGCACTTAATAATTTGATGAACAAAATTCGAATGAAAAAACGCAAGGATACTTTAATTTTGGCGGCAGTTATTTCTAGTTGTCTTATATTTATTTTCATTTATCTTATGCATTGAATTGATGTGAATGAATATTTTGTAGTGGTAATTTTTTAAATTAATTGTACTCTTTTAATTTAAATAATTCAATATTTTTTGAGTTTAATAACTTTCTGATATCTTAAAATTAAAAAAAATATTTCAAATTGAAAGAGTACACAACTAAACTTTGATTTGTAAAAATTCTTTTAGAAAATGTAAATACAAATATATTGTTTAATATTTAAAAAGGGTTAAAAGATTCTTTAATTCCGCTAATTTTTTTATTTGGAAATTCCTTTCATTTTATTCCAAAACTAAAAATATTTTTTAAATTAAATTTTTAACAAATTAAATATATATTTTAAATTTTCCTCTTTTTTTTTAAACTTCATCGTTGTTCTTCTCCCTCTTGGTCTTCTAAAAAAATTTTATTAACGAAATATATTCAAATAATTAGTAAATATCCTAATTCTCTATTAGAAGCCCTAATTCTCTATTATCCTAATTCTCTATTATACTAATAATAGAGAATATCCTAATTCTCTATTATTAGTGGGCTTCTAGCCCGATTGCTAGAAGCCCACTAAATGAACCTCATTGAAAATAACCGACCGGGGCTTCTATTAGAATATTTTTGATAATTATATTTCAAATTTTTATTTCAAAAATTCCAACCATAACTTTCCTCTGCTGCAGTTGTAGTAGTTGTTGTTGGTGTTGTAGTTGTTGAGCCTTTCCTACGTTTTTTCTTTTGTTTTTTAGTTGATATTTGTTCTTTATTTGTTTCTACCGTTGTTGTAGAATTTAAAATATTTGTTGTCATTTCAGTTGTTTGTAAATTAATAATTGTTGTTGTATTGCCTAATAATTGTTGTTGTTGTGTGGATGTTGTTTGGATGTTTAAATTTGTTGTTGTTTCATTTTTATCTCTAACGACAACATTTTCTTCAATTATTTTATTGTTTTGTTTCTCTTCCACAAGTTGAGAATTATTTGTTGTTGTTGGCTGTCTATTAAGTGTCTCATTTTCATTCATCTTTACAACATTGTTTTCAATTGTTGTTGTTGTTGCATTTTCTAAAACATTAGCAAAAACATTGGTTGTTTGGTTTGTTTGTTGTTCAACTTGTTTTTGTTTTTCTTTTGTTTTTCCCTCTTCTCCAATGTTTTCAATTTCTTCTTCTTCTTGAGAGTTTGACGAATCTGTTGGTGTTTTTGTATTTATTAAATCAGAATTTGTTGTTGTAATTTCTGGTGTTTTTATTGTTGTTTTAGTTTCTTCTGTTGCTACTTTTGGTTGTTCGGGAGGTAATGTTGATGTTGTTGCTGGTTGTTTCTTTGCCTTAAAGTTTTGTTTGTTTTAAATTCTGATTTTTTAAATCAGAATTTGTAATTTTACAAAACCAGAAAAGTTTGTATTTTTCTATGACAAAGATAATATTTTTCTTTAAACTTGCCAAAGCTTCTTGGCGCAGTCTTTGTTCAATCTCTGCCATTTCTTTACGATTTTGTTCTTCCAATTCTGCTTGCATTACTTTATTTATTTAGAAATTTAATTAAAAAATTTTTCTTATTTTTTACCCCTATCTTGTGCAAATCTTCTCACTTCATGTCTAAAATCAACAATTTCCCCCGGATTCAAATCCCCACTTCTGTCAACATCCACTTTATCAAAAAAGCGTCTTATAAGCTAAAAATAATTTTCAAAATTTTTTAATTCAACAAAATAACCGTCGGTTCCAATTTATAACGATCTTTAACTAAACGTTCCAATTCATCCAAAGTTATTTGTTTATCTCTATTAGTGTCATAATCTCGAAAATGGTCAGAAACAAATTTAATAGATGTTAGTCTAACAAGACGAACAAAATCTGCTAATTCAACCTTTAAATTTAAAAAATAATTTTTTTTAAATTTTTCTCCCAAAACTTTGTCAAGTAATCCATTTCTGTCTTGGTCGGCGACAGCAAAAAGACTGTGTGTTTCTGCACCTAAAAACACAAAAATACAATAGATTTTTCTTTTAGGTATACCGCTCATATCGTCTTCCCGACGAGCTCGCTGCTCTGCTTCTCCTTCGTTTATACTCTAAAAGAAAATATTTGTAGTCAGAATTAATTAATTCAGAATATTTACTGAAAATCAAAATATCAGAACTCTTTTTGGCTCTATTACACAATATACGTCCAATCAACTATTATGCGTCCAATCAACTTTTATACGTCCAATCAAAGTTCGTACGTCCAATGAAAAGTTTATACGTCCAATGAAAATTTATGCGTCCAATAAAAAGTTTATGCGTCCAATCAAATTTTATACGTCCGAACATATTTTTAGCACTTATAATTTAAAATAAATATAATTTAAGAAATACTTTTTAATAAAAAAAATCCTTATTTCATCAATTAATTTCGAATGCTTTAGCAAAAATTAAACCGGGAATTGTATTCCAATTAGGGTTGCCGGCCCGGTTCGGTTCGATAGGTCGAACCGGGCATCGAATTTTGGCTCGAAAAAGACTTGGTGCCTGGTTCGATAAATTGAAGCCCGAAAAAATGACTCGAACGTCGGCCTTTTTCGAAAACGGCAACTCAAATATATGTTGAAAAATTTTGTTCACTTGTAGATATGGATCTCATAACGCGAATGCTTCTTAGAATAGTGATATGAAACTGGTACGTGATGGTACTGCAACTATATATGGGGAATCATTTTTTAATTTTAATGTTTAATGTAACAGACATTAAATCGTTTCTTAAATTTGTTTTAAATGTTAGCCCTTGAGCAAGGCATTATAATAAATAAAAATTATTTTGATTTTTTCTGAATTTATTTTACTGGACGTTTAAAAATCTATTTGGACGCATAAACTTTGATTGGACGTATAAAAATTTGATTGGACGCATAAATTTTTATTGGACGTATAAACTTTGATTGGACGTATAAAAGTTGATTGGACGCATAATAGTTGATTGGACGTATATTGTGTAATAGAGCCCTCTTTTTCTCAAGATAAAATCAGAATTTTCTTAAAAATATCAGAATTTTCTGATGAATAATTCAAAATTGGTTAAAAATTTGATCAGAATTTGTCCGAAAAAATAAATCAGAATTTTAATTCTGATTTATTTTTCCCCGCACTCACCCCGTCACCATCCTCATCCATTTCCGGAAGCAACATTAACGCATTTTTGACTGCCCTGCCTCTAATTACCGAACGGAAACCAGCAAATTCAACAGCATCTAATTGACCATCCTTTTATTTAATTTTAAATTTTATTTCCTTTCTAAGAAAAACTTCATTCTCATCTGCTTGGGCAAAAAAGGGTTCTAAAGTAGCCTCATCAAAGCCATAATGATCAAAAGCTATTTTCTTAGCTTCATCCATTGTTAAAGTTCCACTTCCATCTGTATCAACTACTTTTAAAGCTTTTTTTGATGTTTCGACAGCTTTGGCTCGAACCTTTTTTAAATTTTATTTTTTTAATTTTAAATATCTTTTCTACAAACAATTCTCTCAAAATCAGCAAATTCTGGTGCATTTAATTGTCCATCATTATTATCATCCACACTAGCTTTAATTAATTTTTAGAAGAAAAAAAATTTTCTTTTCAAAGAAAAATACCAAGCATTTCAACAACTTCCCCTGCTCCAATACCTTCTTGTTCAAATGCTATCATCTACAAAAAATTCTATTTTTTAAGAGAGAAATTTTTTTAGATTTCACTTATGTTAGAGAATTGTAATGTTCCAATTAAAAAAATTAATTTCTTTAAATTGGGCACTTTCCTAATCCAAATGATTTTTTAGTCTGATTTTCGACAAAGTTAATAGAACTAATACCCTTCACTAGGTCTTGTTTCGGTTAATCGAGTTTGTGTAACACTCCAACCTTTATCAAGATAAGGTGCCAGAAATAATTGAATTCGATTTCCGTATTAAAGGTTAGAGGAAAATAAAACAGAATGAAATGAAGGACAAAGATAAATGCAAAATTTGTACAATTACAATGACATAAAAATTCTTAAAAATTGTTCAGAAAATTTTAATCGTTTTCTTCACGTTTCACAACATTTACAAGTTTTAAGGAAACAAAAAAAATAAAATTAAAATTTTTTCAAAAATAAAATATAAACATACAGCAGCCTCTCTCATGTCAATATGTCCATCCTGGTCCCTATCAGCAGTCTACAAAAAAATTATTTTCTTTAATTTTTTAAAGAAAAAACAAACTTTCATAATTTGTCTAGCTAATCGAATACTCATTCCTCTAACTCTTCTTTAAAATTTAAAAACAAATTAAAAATTAAATTCTCAAAAACCTTCTTAATTTACTAAACAAAACAGCATCCATTTCATCCCCACTGCTAGGTACCTTTAAATTAATTTTAAAATTCCCCTTTTTTTATTTTTTTACAAATTTACCACTAAACGCCAAATCCGTTCAACATCTCTATTACTAATTCCATATTCTCGAAGAATATAAGCTTTTGCCTCGTGTAGACTAAGCAATCCATTGTGGTCAGAATCAACATTCTTTTTAAAGGAAATGATAATTTAAATGAATTATTTATAGATACCGTATTTCCTCAAATAGTACGGCCGGCCGTACTATTTTTCAACCCTCTTCTAAAGGGCCGTACTATTTGAGGGGGCCGTACTAATTGAGGGGGCCGTACTATATTTCAACCCTCCTTCGGAATTTTCTGAATAATTTTTTTGGTTATGCCACCTTGAACTAAGTCTGTGTGTATTGAAATTTTGGCCGTATCTGAAAATAATGCTGCAATCATATTTTTTCCTTATATTAAAAATGGTTAATTTCCTCATATTATTCTCTCTATTTCTGATTTGTGCCTTAAGACTATAAGCGCAATAGATTATTTTTCTTCAATTTTTTGAGCATTTACTTTTTTTTCTGTCCGATGTGTGTGCGTGTTTTGTCTGTCCGAGTTCGTCCGTTTGTCCGAGTTCGTCCGTGTTTTGTCAAAACTGTCCGAGTTTGTCCGTGTTTTGTCTGTCTGTCCTTGTCCGTCCGTATTTTGTCTGTCTGTGTCCGTCCGAGTCCGTCCGTGTTTTCTGTCCGAGTCCGTCAGTGTTTTGTCTGCTCGTTTCGTCCGTATGTTCTGTCCGTCTTCGTCCGTGTTTTGTCTGTCCATGTTTTACAGCACAAAAATGTAATATTTTTTTATTTTTTGCTTTTAATCTTTTCTCTATAATTACATTTGAACATGCCACAGGGAAATTCATTGGAAGTGAACGAGTGAAAAAGTCTGACCTTTCTGTACAAAATAAGGAAAAATATGGAAAGGAAAAAATGAAGGAAAAAATATGATTGCAGCATTATTTTCAGATACGGCCGAAATTTTTTTGTTTTTTATTACACACACTAGCGTGTGTCTAGAAACTTAGACTTAATCATATGCCTAGATCCAAACTTAAATTACCAAAGACCTTAAAATTTAAGGCTGCATTTAAAATGGCCTACATATCGAGTTTTGTTGTGTGTTTTGTCGAGCGTCAAGTGTTAGGTTTGTGCAACCGTGAATAATTAATTTAAAAGTTGAGAGATTAAGAAGAATTAGAGTGATTAAAGGGGTGATAAGAAGTCGGGAGACTGAACGAGATATCGATAAATTATCTGACTATTCGTTATTCACCTTGTTCCCAACTAATCCTTTTAAATTCATCCATACTCAAATCACGCCAATTCCATCGATATCCTTCCTAATCCAATAAAATCCCCATTAATCCACCGATATCCTCTTAAGCCCTCCAATTTCTATGCCAATAGATATTAAGATTTAATAAATTAGTTAAATATTGCGATGAATAATTACTATGATTAAAAATTCAAATTTTGCCTATTTTTATATTTTTTAGGTGGGGGCCGTACTATTTGAGGGGCCGTACTAATTGAGGGGGCCGTACTATTTTTCAACCCTCACCTAAAGGGCCGTACTAATAGAGGGGGCCGTACTAATTGAGGGGGCCGTACTATTTGAGGAAATACGGTATTTTGTTAGTAAAAGAATAGAACTCCTAATTTTTTGAAAAATTTCCAGAAATTAAGAATATTCTATTAGCCGGAAATAAATTACCGTATTTCCTAAAATAAAGCCCCATGCTAAATTAGAGCCCCACATCAACATCACTAAATATCCCACCATAAAATAGAGCCCCACTTTGGAGGATAGTTGAAAAATAGAGCTCCATGGGGCTTTATTTTAGGAAATACCGTATTCTTACTTTCACACAAATACTTAATTTCCGGAACATAATTATTAATTCCATATATTTCCGGAAACAATATTTTCTATCAGAATTTTAAATTATTTCTGATATTTTTCCGGAAAATATATTCAATAATTATTTTTAATTACCCAAAGATTACTTGTAAATAACGCAATGCAGCATTTTCCGCCTTAGCCAATACCAAAGGACGAATTTCATTAAATTCTAATTTTAATTTCTTTTATTTTAATTCTCTTTAAATTACCAATAGAAGAAAGAAACCCATCTTTATTAAAATCAACATCACTAAATATTTAAATTAATTTTAAAATTAAATTAAAATTAATTTAACTTGAAAAGGTTTTCAACTACAGAAGAACTTAATCCGTGATGGACAAACTATTTAAAATTAATTTTTCGTTTAAAATCTAAACAAAAAAACAAACAGCAGCATATTGAACTTCATTTAAAGAAAGAGCCCCATCTCCATCCAAATCAACACTTTTATCAACCGAAGGTATATGTGTTGGTGAATTAGTAGAGGAAGGAGAAGATGTTGTTGAGGAAGAAAATGGGGAAGAAGATGTTTGGAGTAATTCATTTTCTGTTGTTTCTGTTGGTAATGTTGTTGTTAATTGTTCTGGTATTGTTGAAGTTATTGTTAATGATGATTGTGCTCCTTCGGGAATAGATGGAGAGGAGGAGGAGGGAGAAGATTCACTACCTAAACAAAATTATATATTTTTAAAAAAAAGCAAAATTCTATAAAAAGTTTTTTTCGCGAATTAGTACATATTTGATTTCCGGAAAAGATAGATATTTATGGAAAAATAAATTTCTGGAATGTCCAATATATAAATATGTATATTCTCTGGTAAAGACAGAAATAACTGTTTTGTTAAACTATGCTTTTGGATTGTTTAATTTGTAAAGGATATTTTAAAAAATATTTTTTTGGGGGATAAGTATGTCGAAATACCAGAGTACAGGTAATATTTATATTTTCCCACCATGTTCAACACCTTTACTTTCTGATTGGGTAATATGAGATTGTTGTTGGTTAGTTTGTATTGGCTGTGGTAATTGACGATTTTGTTGTTCTGATACTGACTAGAAATAAATAAAAAATATTTTTTAATTTAATTTTTCTCAAACCGTTGCCAAAACAAATTGTCCATCTGGCATTCTAATTAAAGGTCCATTATTGGCAACAAATTGTGGTTGAGATGATTGGTGTGGGTCTAAAGGAGGGAACGTAATCGAGATAATTTAGAGGTAATTAAATAGAAGGGTCATTAAACAACTAACCGTCCAATTGTTTTGTAACTTTTGGGACGAGTGCTTCTGCTGGGTAAATCTGCCCAGAAGTATTGTTGTGATTTCTAGCTATAATATATTAACCAAAAATAATTTCAAAATATTTTTAGATTTAATTACCTTGTCTTTTATGATGGGATTGATTACTCCTTTTTAAGTTTTTACCCTCTAAAGGTAAACTTTCTGTAATTATTAATGTAAAGGCTAATAAATAATTAAAAATTAGGAAGACATTTCTTAACCGTTGTCGATTTAGCGGTGGCAATGCCATCGCGAGAGAAAAACTGTAAAAAAGTTGAAGTAGGTTAGAAAATACAAATATTACATATTCTTATTGGTGTTCCAGAAACAATGTATTTTCCGGAAAATACCAACTCAAGACAGAGTGGTGGCCTTTTTACCTTATTTACAGGGCATGTACCCTATTTTTGACCTTCTCTCCCTGTTTTCTATATTTGTCATATTTTGCCATATTTTTTCTATCCTGTAATATTCTTCAAATTTTCGGCATCTTGTAAATAAAAGGCTAAAAAGGAAGAAAGATGGCTTCATGGCCTTCCAAAATTTTCGACTACGGCGCTAATTCCAATTTTGATTTTAATTGTACACAGGCATGTGATCTCACTCCTTCTGATACCAATTTGCCCGATTTAGTTAAAAAAGTGAAAAATATGCTTAATAAAGTTAACATTGAGATTTTACTATTTTTCCCCTATTTTTTACTGATCTTTTCCTCTATTTTAGTGTTTTGAAAAAGACCATACAGACTAAAGATTACAACAAGGTTACTTCCTTAATAATTCTGATTTTTTAAAATAGTTCTGATTTTATTTTTAATTAAAAATAAATGGAAATGCTTTTCAAAACAAGATCTTCTTTAAAAGTAAAATGAACATTTGTTAAAGTTAATCACCCAAAATAATTAAATTTATAAAAAAAGTCAATGAAATTAGCATTTAAGAAGAGTTAATTCCCGTTAAAAGTTGATTTAGTTAAAAAACCCATATCCGTCACAAAAAAAACAAAGTAATTGCGCACTTCTGCCAATCTTTCAATCGAATGTTTGGGAAGAATCAGTAGATAAATCGCCCCAAAAAATAATTTAGTATCTATTCATGTCTCTCACCTCTTTTTTTTTCTAAATAAAAATAACCCGCCACTCCTCCTCCCCTTATAGAAATAACTAGATTTGGGTCATTCCAGTAATATAAAAGACACAAAATATGTTTAACGGCATAATCGAGAAAATAGCTAAAAATCAAGCAAGAAGATAAAGAAAAGGAGAAGCATTTTATTGTTAACCAAGGAATTTTATTTTAGAAAAAAGAAAAGTTTTATTTGCTTATTAATTGATTAATTGCTTATTATTTGAATAAAAAAGATCAATTAAAGGATAAACTGAAAGGATTTTGAAAAATGGAAAATTTTGGGCAATAGGGAGGGGTTTGAACGGTTCCAAGAATTTTAGAGAAGAGAAAACGCTCTTTCACGTGATAATAACTTTAATTAAATTTCAAAAAATTAAATTATAATATTTCTGGGACCGCCCACAAAAGCTTACAAGTTTACGGAAATAAAGACCGGATTAAAAAAGGATAATAAAGGCAAGATAGACAAAACAGAAATTAAAGTAAAGATAAAGTAAAGATATAATAAAGATATATTAAGTGTATTAAAAAAGAACAAATTTGAAAATTTAAGTATAAAAACAGAAATTATATGAAAAAACAGAACAAACTATAATATTATTAGAAATTAAAAACTACCATATAAAAACTACCATATATTATTAAATAAAAATATTATACATTAAGAGAGAATGCCTTTAATTTAACCCGCAAAAATTAGGAAGAATCAGAAAATAAATTTCCCTAAAAATGTTAGAGTTCCAATTTTCAAAAATTTCATTTTAATCTGGCTTATATGTTAAAAATCTGAATCTAAATTTTATTAAAATTAAAAGGTTTCAAGGTTCTGTTAGTTATAAAAAGCTCAGTTTCAGTCTGAACTCCAATAATTAATTAGAATTTTATTAAGGCATTAAAAAGCATTGTTTCCCTCCAAGCCAGAAAATAACAGATTATCAACAGAAAGAGATTTTATGGACACGATGGAGGGAAACCCGAAAAATATAAAAATTAGAGGTTTTAATTACTATCCAGCCAAAGCAGTCAAATTATTCTGATTTGAGGCTTCATTTTCCTGGTGAGGTTTTTGTAACTTTTCTGGGTCAATAACTAACTCCTTTGCTTTATTATACCATTTTTGTTCATCTTTATGAATTTGTTCAGTTTTTATTCTGACAAAATCGTCAGCCTTTCCATAGTTTGGAGGATTGGCATTCTGTTTATTTTTTAATTTAAAAAAATTCTTTAAATTAAAATTAACCGGATCATAACCAAGCACTTTAAGCATCGGTGCTATTTCATCCATTTGATTAACCACATCTTCAGGGATTTTTCCAACCCATTTTGAAAGAGCATCTAAAGAATAATTCTTTAAAAAGGGAAAAGGTATTTAAACTATAGAACGGTTAATTCTTCACGAACGGTTAATTTTTGCCCGTGACGGCTCGAAAAGAGAATTTTAAGGACTTTTGAGTTGCGACAAGCAAAAATTAACTGGTCGTGAACAACATTAATTTAAACTTTAGAATTCTTAAAAAAACGAGACGAGGAAGATTTCTCATTTCAATTCAAAAAGCGATCAATTTTTAAAGATTAGAAAGTTTCTTAAAAAATAATCGAACCTAAATTTACTGGTTTAATTACTTGATCTGTACTTCTCTCAGTTTTAGAAATTGAAATTTTATTTCCAATAAACATCTCATGGTGTAAAACAGACATATTCCAAGGTAAATTTAAAAAATCCAAAATTTTACGCATTTCTTGTTCAGGATGTAAAACAAGCTTTTAAAATTTAATAATTAAAAAGATATTTTTTATTTAAAAAATTACTTGTTCATAATAAACTTTTAAACATTTTTCTTCTCCAACCTGCTTGCATTGTTCATTCATTACCTTTAAGTTTTAGAAAAACTATATTCAAAATTCAAAATCAATCTTAAAATAAAAAAATAACATAAAAATCAGATCCGTAAGCAGAATATTTTCAAGGAGAGGGAGGGGGGGGGGATATTTATGAAAAATTCGTCCTTTCAATTCCTAAAATACTAAAGGGGCAACTAAAAAAATCTTTTTTCCGATTTCGAGGGGAAGGATAATTCCCTCTCATTTCCCCTTGATCAGCCTAATGGAAATTAAGATAATCCAAAAAACACTAATTTCCAATACTTTACTAATAATCTAAAAATTACTAAAAAAGTTAAGAGGCCCTAAAACATCAAGTCAAATCCTCTATTCATTTTCTAATCATTTTTAGATTAAATTCCGAAAAAAATATTTACAAATTTCTGTTAAAAAAACCTCAATTCCAGCATTCCATTTCTGTAAACATTGTTTAAAATCATTCAAATCAAATCCAGTAATTGTAATTTTTCTTGAAATTATTGAATGAACAGTTGCCCTTCCATCTCTTATCATAAAAATGAATTTTGCTTTTGGAAATAATTCAGATAGATAAACTGTTGATTTTAATGTAAATGGGTCTTTATTGCATAATCGAGGTGCTGGGTCTCCATGCCCAATTATTACATTTACAATAAATGAAGAAATTGCTGAATTAATTACTTTTTCGTTTACACCGGCTTCCTTAAAATTTTAAGAAAATAAATTATTGATTTTTTAAACTTTTTTTAAATTTTCCGAAAAACCAGCGAAGTGGGGGAAATAAAGTAGTTAATGAGTCAATTTCGCCCAATCTGAGAAACTTAGCTATGGCTATTGGTCCTATTTTTTATTTCTATTTTTCCTTTTTTGCTATTTTTTCTATCTATAACTATTAACATAAAAAGAATCCATTATAAAAGTACCAAAAAATTTAATTTTAAAATAAAAAATACTTGAAGTCTCCTCCATTCTTTTTCACTCTTTTTCCATTGAGCACGTAAAGCTAATACACGGGGAATTATTCGAGTTTCCTCTCCACTAAAATTTAAAATAAAGATAGTAAAAAATATATAACCAAACCATCTAACATCCGGATGAGCATCTAACATTGCACGCATTAAGGTTGTTCCAGATCTTTAAATTTTAAAATTAGTATAAAAAAGTTGAATTGAATTTTTTAGTTTTAAATTGGAAACAGTATCGGCATTTTTGCAAAGCCTAAAATCTATGATGCCATTATTCCATGGGACTGGTTCAGGGTTTAACACCATTTTTTTAGCCGTTTTCCTCGGCTCGTCTCCCACTGTCTGCAACCAATACGTTAAACTATGGGTAGCATCTTTGGTTAGCTATACGCCTATTTATAAAATCCAAGACCCATACAACCCAAAAAATGTGGTCTAACAAACCACGAATTGTACAAGGAAAATGTATTAAAAATTTAAAAAAAACCTTGGAATTCCACCAATAAAAATAAAAGGATTAAAATAAGCCAATTCATCTATTTTATTGTAATCAACAGAAGATCTAACAGCATTGGAAATAATAGTTCTTTCAAAATAATTAAAACAATTAAAGGAATTTAGCCAAAGAAGGCAAAAAATAACAAAAATAGTTAAAGAACAAAAAAGGAAAAGTCTCCGTCTTTGCCGTTGGAGCATGTTTCCTCTGCGGCGTGAAAAAAAATTTTAGTTTAAAAAATAATGAAAAAATATCAGCAAAAAATAAAATTTTTAAAAATAATGAAATTTAAAAATAAAATATAATTTATAATTTTTTTTAAAATTATAATGACAAATTTACTCAAAAGCGAAAGTAAAAAAATTTCCACTGAAAGCCGTTGATCCATCCTAGTTAGACTACATTCAAGTAGGCGCAATGTTCCCTGATCGCCGGTAAAGGGGAAATTTTATAAAAAAATACAATTGTCTCGGGAAACATAAACATTTGAAATTTAAAAACTCATTTAATCTTCATTCTCCGAATCAGATAAAAATAATCCATAATCCAAATCATCAGCGGTCTGTTGATTGGTATCATCCTTTAAAATATTTTAAATTAAATTTTCTTTATTTGTTTAGCTTACATTATTCCCAGAATTAT